TAGTCTCGGTGTGCCTTGTTAAAAATCACGGAGCTGGAAAACAGACATAAAAACAGCCGATCCGCCTCGAGCTAATAACGGGCAATACATACACGATGGAACACTGCACAACCAACACACGCGCTATTATGCTCGTTAGAAGATTTAGAGTTGCTGAACAAACATGAATAATTCATTAGGACTAATGATTGCTTCCTATAGTTTTTGATAACATGATCACAACTACAGATCAGGCCAATAACCAATACGGTTTCAAGCACGATGTGGGTACAGTGGGCGTTCATAATTATTTTTATTTGGGAAATTCAATACGCTTGAAGTCAAACATGATATCGCCGAGGACAACTTGAAAATAGGACAAGGATAAAACCACGACAGAAAGTTGTTCATAAAACCGAAAGGTTAGAAGAAAAAAAATCAGAAATGTTCAGACTCTTTCAAAAACGACATGAGGAAATTATAGTTAAGGACACTGAAAACAGTATACATGTATTCAGTTTTTCCTGTCAGAATTTAATTTCAAATTGACCGTTTCTGGTCTAAAATGATTTGAAAAAAAAAAGTCTTCAAAATTTTGCCAGACATTTTGGATCTTGCAGAACTAAATACTACCGATCTTCAGAGTGCATAAGTTGTGAGAAGAGATCATCAGAGGGAAATGCACCTAGTTTTAAAAAAAAATGTCTTCCATTTTACGGACGCATATAATACAACAAAGTGTGCCTCTTTTGTGGCCAATTAGCATTATATGTATTCCTCCGGTTACACCGATCCTCCCTCCCCCGGGCCAATGGCCTGTCTTGCCCGCCGGCGCCATCGCCACAACTCCGGGCCAACTTGCCGAAATGCTACACCCGAGGCGGCCGTGTGGTGCCCCGCGGGCTAACCCTACACCCCAACATTAAACCCCGAGTCATCCAACAAAAAACATCGCCCGCCTTGGAAACAAAGTAGGCCGCATCTATAACCCCCCTGAACCATTCTTATCGCTCGGCTGGACATAAAAAGCGCCGGCGGGGGTTTGTTAGTAAATAAAGAGAAAAGGAGACGAGTTTGCGTGTGTACGGGGACCGAGAGTAGTAGTCCGGGAATTGAGAGTAGCACCAGGTGCTTGGAGTGATCGTGACGGGGGGATTGAAGCGCGGGCACGGCAGAGCAAGCGGGTAATACGAGCCTAGAGAGCCGAGTCACTCGGACTTTTGGGCGTCCGTGGAAAACAAGGGACATGGGGATCGGTGGAGAGAAATAAAAACCCAACACCTCCAGAGAAACTCTCCACGTCTCTGGGGATGGCTGATAGCCTACAGTACAGTCAACTTTCTGGGTTTTTTGACACCGATTCGTCGTGGGGTTTGGACCCTACAAGGAGCCACGCACGGGTAATTGTTTTGGGTAACGACAGTCCAGACAAAAATCCGTGTGTGTTGTGTTTTATAGTGGGACCTGCATGTGTCAGCTCTTTCTTTTGTCTCCGAAAAAAAATCCAAGGTCGCTGAGTTTTTATCGACGGGAAATTATTTCCAGTCTGCTTCGTGACGACGTTCATTGTATACACACAGTATGCCACATTATACACTATCATAACACCTTTTTCAAAAGAAGCCCTTGAATTTATTGCCAAGCGTTAGGAAGTCTCTGCCACCGTCACCTAATACAATACAGAATTACCCTTTCACCTCAGACGTTCCATAATTTCTCTACATTAAATAATTTCAAGTTCACTGCACCGTGAATACCTAAACCACATTAGCGCATGACCGCAACCAGCAAATCGCAATGACTGTACGAAAAATAAATATGCTTTGCGCTATCTTACAAGCCATTTGGTTGGATGAAAAATATAACATGGATTCTAAAAACACAACTTGTGATTGTTCAGGTAAAATAGGTGCTCCTGATTGGTCGGACCGTTAAGCTGTCAGCTTTAACGACCAATTATAAACATTCTGAGATGTCAACATCCTAGTTCAATTATGAATATATGAATGTGATTATAAGCAATGATATACACAGAAAAAAACGCATATTTAAACATCTAGATAGAGGATAAATCTCTAGTATTAAAAATAAAAATCTTGCATACTGGTGGGTGTTCGATGCATGAATGAAATGTAACATGAACTACATTTCATTCAATATAATCTCATAAATGTTAAATAATTAGTAAAGCTGAAGTACAGTTGTCATTATGTATCCTCAGTAAATACAATGTTTAAAAAAAAAAGGGACAATTAGGTAAAAAAAAAAAAAAGTCGGTCTCTGGTCAGACCCGAAGTTCTGGAATTGATGTGACGACGCGTTTTCTGTTTGTTTTTTTTTTTTTTTTTTTTCCAAGCTTGTATTATACAGACAAGGTGGGTACTATTTTGCATTTTTGTGTCCTCATTATACATTGGTGTCCTCCATAATTTGCCTTGGTGCCCTTTATCATTTGCCTTGGTGCAATTTCCCCATTCCTTGGTGCTCCTTGGTACAAAAATTTGAGGAGGCGCGGCAATACAGGGCGCTGTTGTAGCTTCCGTGTTAATTTGAAAAAAAAGAAAAGGTTGACACGCATGATTAAAATCGACGCGCGCGCTGACCAGAGACCGAGTTTTTTTTTTTTTTGGCCTTATTAGCAAGTCAAATTTGCAACGTTGATGCCCAAAAAATATTGTCAGTACCATTTAGAATATTTTACTAGAGTTTCACTTCTTATTTTTTTTTTTAGCAATCCAATTCAAAATAAAAAATATATCCAATAATTGCAGTGATTTTCAGAAAAAAAGGCCCCCTCCTTTTTATTTAAAACAATGGTAGATTAGGCAAAATCTAAAAAAATATTAACAAAATCCCCGTTTTTGTTACGTAATTGGAATTTGCACCTATGCCATGGTTAACTATAACAGATAATGCCATGGTTAACTATAACAGATATTTCAGGAAAAACATTACTAAAATACTACACTCTAAGAATTCCACAAAGTTGAGACCAATAATACTTTCATTCAAATCCCCTACTTAACCAGTTAGTATATCCAGCTCCAAAAAAAAAATCAGCACCCAAACATTAATTTAGTCCAATTTATGGAGGAAAAATCTCATTTAAAAAAAGGAAAACCTTATACAAATCTGAGTTGAGAAAACTGGCAGGTCAAGTCAAAGGCCACAAAACCCTCCGTAGAAACTTGGCCGGACCTAGCAATAATGTTTGTTTTTTTAGAAGTTTGTAATACAAACTATTGCAATATATTGAGATCGATTGCTGGTCACATTCACTGTGCACATAAAATGCCAATCCAACCAAGGCTTTATGTTTGCTAACCAGATTTTGTAGTAACCAAGTTTTAATTAGCGATACAGGCTGTACATATATTTGTGCTAAGCATACTTCTCATTTAGTGGGTTAAAATTCCGGTGGTTGTTGCTCCTTTTTTTTTCTTTCTCAAACAAAACAATTCCGCGTTTACTACATTACCATTATGGTCAAACTATCTGATGCAAACCGCCACTGCTATAAAAATAACCCTTGTGGATAGACACAATAGCGCCCTCTTGTGGCTAAAATGAGCCAACCACTGCCATTATTACCCCAGATGTATAAAAATGAGATGTCACTATACAAGTTTTCAAGTCACTACGAGTTGACTAAAAGAAAGTTGAATTCATGGTGTTTTTTTTAAACCATTTAAGCACCATTGTTAGAAATTCATAGTGTTACTATTAAAGGATCATTTGTATTTGTCCCAAAAGTTGCCTACCAAATTATTATCAAAAAGCTGACATGGATTAAAGATCGTACTGGTACTAAACACCCCGTGAAATTATTCCGTCTGGCTTGCTGTCATTTAGAACAAATCAAGAAATGTAGGTGATTTCCAACGATCAGTCAACAGAAAGACTTTTGGGAAAAAAGAGCCCGTGCTTGAAAAGGATTGTGCATGGTTTTTAGTGTTTTCGCGAAAAGTGTAATATCCACTGAGCTGAAACTTCAACAGGTTAGGTTTTGAGCTTTCTTCTTTGGATTTTGAGTGGTGTTAATATTGCAGTACTCCTGGGTCCAAGCCCTTCATGACAGTGTGTAAACTCTCTTATGAAAAATAATCAATGCATTTAACTTTTCGGAGTGAAGGGACACAAAAATAGGAATTTCTAGAAGAAAAGTAGGAAAAAGTAGGAAAGTCAAGAAAAAAGTAGGAAAAGTAGGGAAAAAATTGGAAAAAAGAAAAAGAAAACTAGAGGTTCTATGTCTGTTGGCAACAGAACATAGGGCTTTTTCGCATTATGCTTATTTATGAGTAATATTTTTTCATTGTACCAAGTTTGAAATCAATTCGAGGAAAGGAAGTGTACAATTTTGGACGCAGAATACAATTGTAAATATTAAAAAAAATCATTATTGTGACGTCACTTCAGATTTTGCATACCAGTACCATTATCTACCTACCCACCAAGTTTCATGACAATCGGACCTACCCTTACGTGTGTTTTAAAAAATTGCATTTTTGATGACGTCATGATGACATCAGACATTTTTCAAAATTTTGTGCATATACCTATTACCTAATAAACCAAATACAAAAAGAATTTTGAATTTAGCATGTTGCGTTCGTGAGATATGGCTTGAAGGTCCAAAAATTCAAAAATTCATATAAAATCACATGATGACGTCATGATGACGTCACCTTATGTTTTATCTATAACACATCCCTGTCTACCCACATACCAAGTTTCAACCCAATTGGACTCACAGTTCTGTAGATATAGGACTTCAAAATATGCACGTTTGTGATGACGTCATGTGACCCCTGATGACGTAATCATGACGTCACTCTTCGGGACACAACTTTGCCATAAGGACAATGCATATGCTTAATTTGAATGATGTACGATAAAGTTCAATGCCAAAAGTGGCGTGTACTAAAATCGTGTACAAAGTCTATGGGATTTTTCATGGAACAAAAAGAAGAACCCCAAAAAATTTAAAAATCAGAACAAAAAGAAAGGCTTTTTCGCAAATTGCGGAAGAGCCAATTAGGAATACTTGAAAGCCTGTAAAACTGAAATGGTAAAAAAAGTATCAGCCTGGATAGTTTTTGTGTTTGCAAAGATCAAAACCAGGGTTAGACTGCATGAAGCCGTTAAAGCAAGAAATACTGCTTATCGAATTTGTATGCTAAGCATATATGAGCTGGGAACCAGTCACATGCCATATACATCCAACACAATTTTACCCGGTAACCAGTTTTCGCTAAGAAAATAGTTCCTGTACTTAGCGGCTCCAAGAGAATGGCCCCTGATAGTTTCTTTAATCGTCCTGTTTGCCGACGTCGTGGAGAACCTCCAAGACTTCTTCTAGCGCCTCCCGACTGGATTCCTCCAGGTCATGTGACCTATCATGTGACCTCTGCCACTGACTCTGGTACCTCTTGTCTTTCTGGAGGCGCTTGGCGGCAAGTTTTCGCAGAGCCTCGGCCTTCTTGTGGACGTACATTTCGTGGATGAGGGAGCGAATCTCTGGGTCCTGAAGAACCTGGTCGAACTGTCCCGTGTTGATGACGTCCTTCTGCAAAGATATGGGATTGGATTTGTTATTGACTTGCGATTGACTTGTGATTGATTTGTGATTTGACTTCTGGAGTGACTTGCGATTGACTTGTGATTGATTTGTGATTTGACTTGTGAATGAATTGTGATTGATATGTTATTGGCTTGTGATCGACTTGTGATTTGACTTTTAATAAAGTTGCATTTTGAATTGTGATTGAATTGTGATTGCCTCCTAATTTCTTGTGATTGACTTGTGACTGACTTGTGATTGACTTATGATTGACTTGTGATTGATTTGTGATTGACTTGTGATCGATTTGTGACTGACTTGCGATCGACTTGTGATTGACTTGTGATTGACTTGCGATTGAAATGTGATTAGTTTGTGATTGATTTTTGATCGACTTGTGATTGACTTGTGATTGACTTGTGATCGACTTGTGATCGACTTGTGATTGACTTGTGATTGACTTGTGATTGACTTGTGATTGCCTTATGATTGACTTGTGATTGGCTTGTGATTGACTTGTGATGGACTTGTGATTGACTTGTGATTGCCTTATGATTGACTTGTGATTGGCTTGTGATTGACTTGTGATCGACTTGTGATTGATATGTGATTTACTTGTGATTGACTTGTGATTGGCTTGTGATTGACTTGTGATGGACTTGTGATTGACTTGTGATTGATATGTGATTTACTTGTGATTGAGTTGTGATGAACTTGACTACCATTATGATCCTTAATGAAACTCCTGTTGTGTCGATGATTGCTTACATCATGTTTATCCAGGTTGTGCGCGGTGTTAGGGGGCGGTTTCACTCCGTCAGCGAGGTCATCTAAGTCAACGACGATCTCCTCATTAGCCTTCTGTTCATCGTTAAAGATGTCCACCACGTCCTCGCTGTCCAGTTTACCAGTGTGCTCGGTGCTGACGGCTGGGTTGGCATTTGGTTTGGAAAAGGAAGCAGAGGATTGAGTAAACTTGACTGAGTTGAACTTAAATGTCATTTCTTTAAAGTCGCTGTAGCAGTGTTGTAGCCGAGTACTTTTATCCGAGTACAAAGTACTGCCGAAAACCAAGCTATCAAGTAGTGTACATGTCATTAAAAAGAAAAAATAGTCATGGTTATATGTCAAAACTCCTCACCACAGCCACTTATTTGAAATACAGTTAACTCCGGCTAAACCGGCACTCTCGGGACCCGAGAATTTGTGACGACTTACGCGAATGCTGATATATGCTATAAGTCGTCATTTTGCCGACTTACATGAATGGTCTTTTGCACACATGATTCATTGCACTAATTGGCTTCGATTTACCCTGGATTATCTCCTTAATGCTTGAGTTGAATCCAGCAAATTAATCCTCGAATTGTATCATCATGTTTGGGGTGTTGATAGTGGAGACCACGATACATGTGTACGTGCACAGTAACAAATTAAATGTGTGCGTGGTCCAGTATATACCACGCACGCATTGACTGAAGCAGTAGTCATTCAATAAGACGACCCCCAAAATGGACAGAGCGCATGCGTACAGCCAAGAGGGGGTACTGGTATTGATATGCTCATGATGCATATGCGATGTATGCAGTAGGACACCCTTTTTCGACACCGATGCATGCAGCAATCATGGGCCGTGCGAAACCACTTTTCACTCGACACTTTGCCAACCGCAGAACAGGAAGTCGATGCCAATGCGTGATTTGCTGAATGCTAACTGACACAAAGGATTTTGTAATGCATTTTATAGAAAGGGGACCGAGAGTAACACAACGACTTGAGCGAAATGGCGACTTATAAAAGCTGACTTAGAAATAAAAAATATTCAATGGAAATGCATTACGGACAATTGGGACTTTAGTCAGACGGCTGACTTGAGCGATTTGACGAGTTGTACGATGTCGGTTTAGCCGGAATTTACTGTATTCAAAATTCCTGTGGAAGACAAGGTAATAACCATTCATATGAAACACTCATATTTTTTTCTCAATGTACTCTATTTGCAACCAAAAAAAACGGTGAACTTGGGTCCAGATCGTTCTGACTCGCCCTGAAGTATGACTGCAGATTGAGCTCAAGATTGATTTATTGGAAATTGTTAACAATATGAAATGCCTCACCGTTGGTGTTCGGACTCCTGTCGTCATCTCCAGTCCCGTAGAGTATCAGCTGAATATCCTTCAGATCCACCACGTTGTCGTGCTGTCGGGGAATGTCCGGCCACTTCGGCTTGGGCTGGACGCCGGCCGGAGTAAAGTGATGCATCAACTCAAACACCCAGGTCCCCGTTGGGTTCTCCCCCCAGTTCCTGACGGACATGAACGGGAAATTCTTGACCTCGTCCGAGGAGTTGTCGTTACGCCGTCGGGAGAGGAGCTCCGAGGGGGTGCCAAATGGGGAGGAGAGTGTCAGGGAGACGTCGCCACGCCGTCGCGCCTGGAAGGATATGCGGACCTTGACGTGTTCCAGTTTAGTGATCTGGGGACAGTTGACTCGGAGATGGACACTGTGAGCCATTCCTTGAAGGACGGACCTAGAAACGGTGGGGGGAAAAGAGGTTAAGTTATGTTTTAATCACCACTAGAAGTCACTCTAATAGTATCATCAATGAGTCGATCACGAGTCCAATCACAAATCAGTCGTAAGTCAAATCACAAGTCAATCACAATTCAATCACAAGTCAACCACAAGTCAATCACAAGTCAAATCACAAGTCAACCACATGTCAATCGCAAGTCCATCACAAGTCAATCACAAGTCAATCACAAGTCAATCACAAGTCAATCACAAGTCAATCGCATGTCAACCGCAAGTCAGTCACAAGTCAATCACAAGTCAATCACAAGTCAATCAGAAGTCAATCACAAGTCAATCACAAGTCAATCACGAGTCAATCACAAGTCAATCACATGTCAATCACAAGTCCATCACAAGACAATCACATGTCAATCACATGTCAAATCACAAGTCAATCACAAGTCAACCACATGTCAATCGCAAGTCCATCACAAGTCAATCACAAGACAATCACATGTCAAATCACAAGTCAATCACAAGTCAATCACAAGTCAATCACATGTCAATCACAAGTCAATCACATGTCAATCACAAGTCCATCACAAGACAATCACATGTCAAATCACAATTCAATCACAAGTCAATCACATGTCAATCACAAGTCAATCACATGTCAAATCACAAGTCAATCACAAGACAATCACATGTCAAATCACAAGTCAATCACAAGTCAATCACAAGTCAATCACCTGTCAATCGCAAGTCAATTACAAGTCAATCACAAGTCAATCACATGTCAATCGCAAGTCAATCACAAGTCAATCACAAGTCAATCACCTGTCAATCGCACGGTATTAATTTCTCCAGTCCAATCGGAACCGACAGTGAAAAAGATTGATACTGCATGGTGACCATGCATTTGTTCAATAAGCGGAGTTACTCTTGATCAACCCACTGAGTATGACAGAGAGATAGAGACGATGGTTTTGCAAAAGAATTCATGCCACGTGGGTAAGGGCAGGCACAAAAAAAGTGATCACTTTGTCCAAGACAGGTATTTGGGGTTTTGGGGGGTTTTTTCGGGTCGGGTCGGTTCGGGTCGGTTTACCTTATTTTTTTCGGGTCGGGTCGGGTTGGTTTAAGGGAGTTAAGATCGTTTCGGTTCGGATTCGGTTTATATCTCTAGTGTTTCGGGTCGGTTTGGCCTGGTCGAACCGACCCGATGCACGTCATTAATACAAATGTTGTTCTCTGCGTATTTTGTTGACATCCACTCACTTGTTGATCTCATGTACCGGCTCCTCGCAAATCCTCTGTTCCCCGACGTTCTGCCATGTCAACGCCAATTCCACCATCTTCCCGGCATCCAGCATGCCAAAGCCAAACATCTCGTTGACGTGGAAACCGGCGCCGTTGACGTGCCAACCCGACTCCACTGTATTGGGGATGTTCGCTCCGTTGACGACGACATGCTGGACATCTCGCCAAGTTAGGTTTGGACTGAACAAGCGTGGGACAGAAACCGAAAGAGTTGATAAGTAACCATGATCAAGTTCAAGCACACAGTTAAGTTTACCATGGCCCCCTGCACAAGTACCCCCTCAATGCTAAAAAAGGGAGAGTAGGGGGGGGCCCTGGGAGAGACATTCCAATGCATTGCTGACAAAGCGTGACGCTCACACCAAGATGCTAGGGTTTTGTGCACATTTGGAATAAAATTGGTCATGTGTAGTTCGTGCGAACCAGCACGCGAATGCAGTGTGCCATCCATTGGGTCACTACAGTGGTCAAAAAGCGCCCTCTCTGTTCGTGCAGAGCCCATAGTTTGACCGACTGTCCTGAGTGTCCTCGGAACCTGGGAACGGATGCATCGTTGGTTTTCAATAGCCTTATTTTGGTCATTAACAATGATTTTTCAATGATTTTGTTCATCCATATTTCTTCATGTTTTGTGAAACGCCCCTCTGGCCGAGATATGGTATGTGCCCAGCACGCCTAGTGCTAAAATCTCCTTATATGAAGATTGGCGTACGCACAGTGCTGCACGATGTGGCGCAGAATGCAGCGGCTCTCAGCAGTGTTTTATTACCGGTGGTTAAAAACCACCCACATGTTGGGCTTTTGACCAATAGGAATGTTCAAACTGTCCTAGGTGTTTATGAATTTCTATTAAAATGTTCGGTTTTTTTAGCTGAAATTCAGGTCCTGTATTCCAACTTTGATAACAGCTCTCCAAGTTTTAAAGGTAGAGTCCATCATTTGTAATTTGTGCATTTTGTTCGTTTGAAACAACAAAAGAGTTCAAAATCTAATGAAGGATACTGAGCAACTAACCTGATGAAGTTTCAGCTAAGCTTCAGCTGTACATTCCGAGAAAAACAGCATTCTAAGATCTCAATTTCAAATCAAAAGTTGCTGAATCATGTTTTGAATTGTTTTGAATTGCAACTATACGCGACGTCGCGCACTGATCCGACGAATTATAACAACCGCGCGCGCATGTGCGTCGTTCGAATACTTGTGCGCGCTGCGCTGAATAACAAAACGAACTACTAATTTAAATTTTCCTACGGTGCTTCTTAAGAATCACCGTTGGAAATGCCTTCTTTCGTTGATTACTTCAAAATGACAGCTTCCCAGAAAGAATAATTTCACAGGGAGTTTAGTCTCCTTACTATCTTTCAACCAAGTTAGTTTTTCAACAATAATTACGCCAGTTACTTTTCGGATGGCTGCAAATAATGGACTCTACCTTTAACCGGAGTAAAAAAAAAAGATGATATTGTCTGGCTTCGAACCCTACTCACTTTGCTTGCAGGACCAACGCCATGAGGCCGGCCCCTAGCGGTGCGGCACTTGATGTCCCGATGAAAGTATCGATACACTTGTCATGAATGTCCGTTGTAATCTGCCAGAAAAATGCAAACATTTTAAAGTTAAAACCCATGCTTTTGTTAAAGGTAATATACAACATTTGCTTTTGCTGTAGTTTTCAGAAATGGATGGATTTGGGGATTGCATGTAGAATTTTATAGCAAATATTGTTACACTGATCTGTTTAAAGGGAAGACACAACATTTGCAAACATCAAAGAACGAAATGATCAAACTATCACGTAATACCTTACTGAACTGTTAGGGAATGAGAGTCTAAAGCATCCTTTAAAATCGTGGCTCCTGGTGTGCTGACATTTTCACGAAAAGCTGTATTTTTCCAACGCTGGTCAGCCGACCAGCGTTGGAAAACACTGGCTTTTTTCAAAAACTGTTCCTACTCTTTCATACTAAGTTATTCTGACTTTTCTTTGCAGTTGATTACACACCTGTGAAGGGGTGCAAGCCTGCGCTAGACTTATTCTCGACCTTACAATTCCCCAAAGAGTATTAATTGCTCCGTTTCATCTTAAGTGCGGTCAGGGAACCAGACTACAAGAATATGATAGGTTTTCTTGGTTTTTCCAGCATCTACAAGCCCAAAACGTGAAGTACCTAAGTCAGTTTAACACTATTTTCTATAACATACTAATCCGCCAAATCCATTTATTTCTGAAAATTGCAGCAAAAGCAAATGTTGTACATTCCCTTTAAAGTTTTGTGCTCATAGATGCTGGAAAAACCACGAAAACAACGCGGTTCTTGTAGTCTGGTTCCCTGACCCTACTTAAGACGGCACAGAGCAGCATATAGACATCAAGGAATCGTCAGGTCTGGGAACCAGACTACCTGGCTTCCACCCATTCAGGGATGTGTAACCAATCGCAAACAAAATGTGGGCTAACTAAATTTTGTAAATTTGGGGCAGTGTTTGAAAAAAAGTCAGTTTTTCCCAACCATGGTTGGCCAACAATGGTTTTGTTTTTTGAAAAAAATAACAAATGTTGATAGCTGTAGAAATGTTAATGTATCATTTATCTTTTCATTAGCCCTCCTAGCCTTCTGCACTTCACACCCCTTCAAGTTTTTTGGGGGGAAAAAAACACTTTTGCCCATAGAGTTAGCCCCCACACTTCAAATTCCTTTGAGGTAATCTTCTTTGGAGTATGGATAACACTTTAAATCCCTGCACAATTTTTGTGTGTGGTAAAGGTTTCAGGCCAGTAAATAGGCCCAAATTGCCTATGCCGGCCAAACCACGATTCGCATGTGCTCAAATTCTCTGCTATAAGAACATTTTGTGAGCCACGAACTTGAGGGTTTGTAAAAAAAAAAAAGAACAGAAAGGTGGATGCCATACACAGGACTGTGAGCTTGTATTTCTGTGAAATATTGAGAAATTGGGGCCTAAAAGTGCTCTATTTTGAAACAGAGCACAGGCATTCGTTTTCAAAATGGCCATGGGCGTTAGGACCATTTTTATCTTTGGATGTAAATTTCCTTCAAAAGTCAAGGGATTACCCCCGGAAAATTGAACAGAAAATGAAAGAAGATGAAATAAGCTTTAAAGGGAATATACAACATTTGCAAACATCAACAAATAAAACTACCACGTTTTTACGAAATACCTTACTAGGATGTTGGTTAATGACAGTTCAAAGCATCCTGTAAAATTATGGCACCTGGTGTGAAGTCATTTTCAAGAAAATGGTATTTTTGTATAAATTTCCAACGGTGGTCGGCCGACCACTGTTGGAAAAACCTAACTATTTTTCAACTACTGCTCCAAATTTACCATTTTTTTTTCAGTCAAAATTTTGTTTGACTATTGGTTACATGTTCATGAACGGGTGCAGGCCAGCTAGACTGGTTTCCTTACCTTACAATTTTCCAGCATCTATAAATTGATCCACTTCATCTTTAGTGGAGTCAGGGAACCAGACTACTTGAACATTTTTGTTTTTCTTGGCTTTTCCAGCGTTTTCGAGCACAAAACGTCAAACATGTCAGTGCAACAATATTTGATCTATTATACTAACCCCTCAAATAGTTCATTTTTTTTAAATTACAGCAAAAGCCAATGATGTAAATTCTCTTTAATATGATGGGTGTATCAAACCCCTTGGAGAGATATGAGGATTTTTGGAAGTGGGGGCATTTATCATTGGGGTTTATTGCAGTTTACTTGCTGGTCTGTAACCTTAAGCTCAGGGCAAGCAGGCAGATTCAGTCACGCTTCACTGCTCTCCACAGTGCTGGGTTTTGTGCAGTGACTCTCTGTGTGACACAGTTACTGTACAGGGTGTTTCAAAAAAAGGAAACTGAGCTTATTTTGTTGATTTCTCAGGTATGACTCATTATTTAGGAAAATGGTAACCACCATCTGTTACATAAACCATGTCTTCTTTTTCTTGACACCAGGAACTCCATTTAACGTCCCGGATGACTGAGCACCAAGTGATGTAACTGACATGCCAAAAATGGCCTTGTACCACATGCACCATAAGACCAATTGACAGTTATCAGAGAGAGAGACGTTATCAGGAATGCGTTCACAGCAATCAGAACCAGGGCAGAGATTTGCGTTGAAAGGAACGGAGGGGGAGGGGGGGGGGGTATGTTGAAGGACAGTGGGCATAAAGGGGACAGTGATAAACCTTGATATGTTTTAGCAATTGAATAACTGACTTTGATAATGTACGTCCTGGATTTTGTTATTTTCAACATGCTGAAAACTGTCAATTGGTCTTATGGTGCATGTGGTACAAGGCCATTTCTGGCATGTCAGTTACATCACTTGGTGCTCAGTCATTCGTGACGGTAAAAATAGTTCGTGGCATCCAGAAAGAGAAGACATGGTTATGTAACAGATGGTGGTTACCATTTTCCTAAATAAAAAATCATACCCGAGAAATCAACAAAATAAGCTTGGTTGCCTTTTTTTTGAAACACCCTGTATAAACACGTCATATCCCTTCACCTGAACAGACCTGCAGGGTTTTAAAGGTTGACATATTGCTCGTAATATTGGAGGATCAATCTTACCACCAGGTTCTGCCGTTTCATCATTTCGCTCTTCGTACTCCGGTCGTTCATACCGCCGGACAGAATCACGCCCATGGTGGAGGGGCAACTCTCCATGAAGTAGACAGACTCCCCCTTGTCGTTAATGGAACCGACCGAGATGGTGTGGATGTTCCCTACGTAGGCGTCGGCACCGCAATCGTCGTCATTATGGCCGCCGTTACCGGAGGCCCACATATAGATGGACCCCTTACCCCCACGACCCTGACGAACAGAAAAAAAACAAGAAATAAACACATCGATCAAACACTGCGCACTGACCCATCAGATCATAACGTTTGGTTGACGGCCAGGAATGAGCTTTTCGGTCAAATAAAAAATAAACATGAAAAAAAGTAAGACTGCTGCAAACTGCTTACTGACTGGATGGACCTGAAATATATAAATCTAAAAATTAATGTGGCCTGATGTTTCGAACTTAGCAAGTTCTTCTTCAGAGGCTAAAACAGAAATGACAGAGGTACATACATTAACATGGGGGTGCACACAAACATGCAGGGCTGAAAGAAGAAACACAAAAGGAGGATTAGGTGGGAACAGATGCAGGGGAGGGTGGATGAGAGAACAAAGAAGCAAAGGGAGATGGCAAACCACAAGGGGTCTTGTGTAAACAGGGGAGGGACCAGAAAGGGGAAGGATCAAAGGTCACAGGGAGTGGGAACGGACAAAAGAGTGTGAGAGTGAAGGGGATGATGCAGGGGGGGGGGACAGTATGGAGGTGGAAAGGGATGAAAGATGGGGGAAGATGGGTAAACACAAACAAGGAAGGCCAGGTGGATTTTCTGTAACAGAAGACAATGGAGGAAGAAAAGGATTAATCATTTCCAAGTTGGATGTTGAGACCATGTGGTTGAATAGTTCGAAGACGATTCATCCACACTTTCTCTCTGCTGAGGCGAACTGAGTCCTTGCGATGGCCAAGAGATTCAATGCCCTGCAAAATCATATCAGAAATGGAGTGGTTAGGCAGGTTGAAGTGATGACCAACAGGGGTGTCTAGTTTCTAGTTTCTTGGTCTAAACATGTTTAGCTTCCCCGCCCGCTCAGAGATGCCAACTTTACAGACTACAAAATAGTAATGATTCTTCCTGCAAAGAGTAATGCTAATGTAAATACATAGGACAACAATCAAGTTGAAGAGTAACCACAGTACTTTTCAGAGTAACCACAATGTTGGCGTATAGGACAGCTGGAACTTTCAAGAGTAGTAACATGCCTCAAAATCCTTATTCTTAATCCAAAAGAGTAATGGTTGGCGCTCTGCCCGCTTCCTTTTTGGAAGCCGCCTCCTTTTTTTGGGGGGGGGGGGGAACAAACAAATGATACATTTTAAACAGTGACATCATTTTGTTTGTTGCATCTAGCCCATATAAAGCTGGTTTGTCATTTCCCGAGTCCACATGGCCGCCATTTTTTTTTAAAAAGCTGGCTGCCATCTTGAAAAATAGCCCAGTCGGGCGGCCATTTTGGAAGAAAAAAAGAGGGGGGGTGCCTCCTACCTTTTTTTCAAAAAGGCAGGACGCTCAACACTTTTTTTTTTATTTGGCCGTAAACCCTAAAAGAATGAGAATGCTCCCAAGTAAACTTTATGTCATGCCCTTTCAGAAAAATTCAACCGAATACCAGTCAAGAGTAGAATACATCTCATGTGATTCTGGCTGGTAACCCATTTTTACCTTCAGCTTTGCAAATTTCGGGCGTTTTGTAGCTGTGTGCAATTTGCCAAAAGACCTCAGTCTAGCTTTTTCATATTCACCTCTCGACAGCCCTGAGCCAACGCTTCCGTCATTAGTTTGCCCGGTTCCCTCATTGTCTTGCCGTTGTCGGATGGTCCCCAGCAGCAGCTGTAGATGTCGATGTGTTGGTTAGCGTACGTCAGAGCGTCGGCCTCCATCGAATCTGTCACGTCACCATCCAGGAATCTTATGCCTGACGAAAACATAACACATGTAAATGGATTAAAAGCATATAAGGGCATCGTTTGTGGTTCATGCATTTTGCTTGTTTACAATAATGACACCAAACAAAATATTTTTTAAAAAACATGTTAAAGAGGTTGTGGAATGCTCGAAGACATTTCCGTAATTTTTCGGGTATATGTAGCCTAAGGTGTGATGAAATAAAAACGACTATCGTGTCTGTCATGAAATGAGTACAAAAGGTCCTTTTGTACAAAACATAGTAAATCGTGACGTAATAAACAGGACTCCCGATGCAGCGTAGTGTAAACGAGTCCTGTTTATTGCGTCACGATTTACTGTTTTGTTTGCTGCCCCCAACGACGACTTTTACACAAATTGCACGTTCGGGTCGAAACAGGACCTGAAAAACAGCTTTCAAAAGTACCTTTTGTACTCATTTCATGACAGACACAATAGTCGTTTTTATTTCATCACACCTTAGGCTACATATACCCGAAAAATGTCTTCGAGCATTCCACAACCTCTTTAAATTTCAGCTCGGTGGATATAACACATTTCCAAAAACTAGTAAAAAACCATGCACCACATTTTGATCAAGAGACACGATTTCGTCGAAGCACTCTTTATTCCAAAACATCAGTCCTTTTGACTGATCATTTGAAATCGCATATATTTCCTGATTTCGTCTAAATGACAGCAAGCCAGATGGAATAAGTTCTCAGGGTGTTTAGTACCAGTATGATCTTTCATCCAAGTATGCTTTTTGAAAATAATACTGTGGGCTACTTTTGGGATAGATGCAAATGATCCTACGTGTACATGAACGAAAAGGAATGCCTTTTGCCACAGTTCATTGAATAGCTTGTGACTTGACTGGCTACTGGATGCTTTGTAATGAACTTGTGAGGACTTGCGAGGATGTGTGAGGACTTGCAAGGGAGTTGTGGAGACTTGTGGGGACTTGTGGGGATTTGTCATGGGCTTGTGTGGACTTCTGCAGAATTGTGAGGACTTGTGGAGACTTGTGATGGGCTTGTGAGGACTTGCGAGGATGTGTGAGGACTTGCAAGGAAGTTGTGGAGACTTGTGGGGACTTGGGAGGATTCGTGATGGGCTTGTAAGGACTTCTGCAGAATTGTGAGGACTTGTGGGGATTTATGAGGACTTGTGAGGACTTGTGGGGACTTGTGAGGACTTGTGTGGACTTGTGATGGGCTTGCAAGGACTTGCGAGGATGTTTGAGGACTTGCAAGGGAGTTGTGCAGAATTGTGAGGACTTGTGGGGACTTGTGATGGGCTTGTGACGACTTGCGAGGATGTGTGAGGACTTGCAAGGAAGTTGTGGAGACTTGTGGGGACGTGGGAGGATTCGTGATGGGCTTGTGTGGACTTGTGCAGAATTGTGAGGACTTGTGGGGATTTATGAGGACTTGTGAGGACTTGTGGGGACTTGTGAGGACGTGTAAGGACTTGTGAGGACTTGTAAGGACTTGTTATGGGTTTGCAATGACTTACGAGGATGTGTGAGGACTTGCAAGGGAGTTGTGGAGACTTGTGGGGACTTTTGAGGATTTGTGATGGGCTTGTGTGGACTTGTGAGGACTTGTCATAGACTTGTCATGGATTTATGAGGGCTTGTAGGGACTTGTGAGGACTTGTGAGGACTTGTGGGGACTTGTGGGGACTTGTGGGGACTTGTGAGGACGTGTGATGACTTGTGATGGACTTGTGAGGACTTGTCATAGACTTGTCATGGATTTATGAGGACTTGTGGGGACTTGTGAGGACTTGTGGGGACTTGTGGGGACTTGTGAGGACGTGTGAGGACGTGTGATGGACTTGTGAGGACTTGTCATTGACTTGTCATGGATTTATGAGGACTTGTGATGGACAAGACTAGAATACTTCTTGTCCGAATGTCTTACCTCCAATACCAGCCTTTGGTGCCGCGCCAACGCCACATATTCCATTGTCGGCCTCGGCGGCAATTTCTCCAGCGCAGCGTGTGCCATGACTGTAGAAGCATCAACCACAAATACATGCATTGTCATTATGGTCGCCATCATTGTTTAATTTGAACTTAGTCTTGGGGCAAGACGTTGCTGTGATACGATATTGTTGATGTACCCTAACGTGGCGCGGCCCCCAACGTGGCGCACTTGATTTTTCACCTGTAGCGCCTAGCTAGAGTAAAAGTTTAAACTGAAATTTCGCAGAAAGTGAAATTTCAGCAAGTTCTAAACACTCCCGTTCATAAGTCGCGAGTTTCTTTACCCGTTACAAAGTTAGAAGAAAATTTAATTTTGGAGCGATTTTCCGATTTTATTTTCAAGTGCAAAGTGAACCCTTTGAAAATGCCCCGAAAAATAAGAAAATAATTTTCCGACAAACATCCGTCTGGGTATGTAAGTAGAGATAATAATTATTTATCAGAATTTATCAAGTTAACAGAAATTATTAAATGTTAATTTGGAATTTTCCGAGATTTATTTAAGTGCGCCACGTTAGGGAACACTCCGCGAATTTGTGCCCAATTTCCAGACGCCACCATTTTTGAATTTCGGATTAAATTTTATGAAACCGAAATTGTTCACAGAGGTTAAATAGCACGCACTAATAAGTTAAAAGTACCAGTATTTTACTGCATGAATTTGAGGTTTGTGAACAAAGAGGTTTGGTAACACTACAGGAGGAAAGTCGGGTAAGCTTCGAAGTGCGCCACGTTAGGGAACACGACTATACACCATCACCCGCCACAAGCGGGCATTATCAGATCGAATCATTGATGAATCACTATTACAACAACATCTCGGGAATCTCGTAATATCTCCCATCAATGACCTGCTTTATGTTGGATGGGAGCTCTCAACTGATGAAAACAGTCGCTTGGTTGATTTTGACTGAAAGGACAATTTGGCACAGTATGTTGAACAGTAAAATTATCCAAAACTGTAGTCTTGGCCGCATGCTGGATTTAGATTCCATTTTTTCTGATGACACAGACGCTCACTGGCAAGTGCAGTTGAGCCGTGGCGGTGGTAGAAGAAACTTTAAAGTTTTGAACTCACTTGTTTTTCCCGCCCTTCTCAATGCGGTCGTCGGGGTGGGGGTTCGAGTCATTACCGTTGAAATCCCACGATGCATCGGGGTCCTGTTTTCAACCAATCAGGACACGATGTTCAGAATTTAGAAGTTAGTACATTGAATGATGTCAGGGAAGTCAGGTTGGCGTAGCGGTGCTTTCCTTGCCTTCCACCGCTGTGACCCGGGTTCGAATCCCGCCTGGGCCAATATTTTGAACAGGTTTTCAGTCCCTGCCTGATTCCGTGGGTTTTCCCCAGAATATTCTTCTGGGCTTTTCCTCCCACCTCTAAAACTGTAATTTCTTCTCATTGTCTTCTCTCTACAGGTTTCTTCAGGCTTGCGAGCTACAGTGCCTAGGGCGCTTTTGAGGAATCCTTGGTTTCATTACCAGAAATGATTAATAATAATAATAATAATAATGTACTGTGGAGAATGTGTTTAGGCCAAAGAAAAGAAACGGTAATGGGTAGGAAAATAAATTTATTTTGTAACTTTGTTATGTTTGTCTGTCAGTCTTTTATAATTACTTTGTTTACTTTAAGGTTCCTTCAACAGTATTTTGTTTAGTTTAACTTTTTATTGTTGAATGAACCAAGAACACACACATTGCATTTACATTTTTGGCCAAACGAGGCAATAAAAAGTTGGAGGTCGGTTACCGTAAACACACAATTTGTTTTTAGGCCTTACTCATGCTGTACTGTTGAGGTACATGTAGTCTGATTTTTTTTCTTGATAATAATTTTCAATTGACTAACTTATTTTCCAGGTATAAGAAAGAAGGCTTTCAACCAATACCAACGTTAATTTAATTAATGTAACTTACATAGTTTGCCTTCAAGTCTGGGTGAGTACCGTCGACACCTGAAACAAATGAATGAACACATAAAATAAATTCGAAGGGGATCATAAATCAAAAGTGAACTACTAAAACGTTGTAACTCTGTTTGATATTATTTCTTCACAAATTTCAAAAGCATGCAATTTCAGAATAGGGTAATCTAGATAATAAAAATACAAAACATGCAAAAAAGTCAACATTCAAATAAACTTCTAATACTGAAAACCCTGTAGATATCAACCATTTTTTTGGTGGTTTAAAGGGATGTACATCATTGGCTTTTGCTGTAATTTTCAGAAATGAACTATTTGAGAGGTTAGTATAATAGATCAAATATTGTTACAGTACACTGACATTTTTTAAGTTTTGTGTTCGAAAAGGTTGGAAAAACCCAGAAAAACAAAAGTGTTCCAGTAGTCTGGTTCCCTGACTCCACAAAAGATAAAATGGATTAATTTATAGATTATGGAAAATTGTAAGGCAAGGGAACCAGTCTAGCTGGCCTGCACCCGTTCATGAACATACAACCAATAGCAAACAAAATTTGGACTGAAAAAATGGTAAATTTGGAGCAGTAGTTGAAAAATAGTTAGGTTTTACCAACGCTGGTCGGCCGACCACCGTTGAAAATGTTTACAAAAAAAAACGTTTTCTTGAAAATGACTTCACACCAGGTGCCATAATTTTACAAGATGCTTGAGACTGTCATTTACCAACATCCTAGTAAGGTATTTTGTAAAAACTTGGTAGTTTTATTTTTCGATGTTTGCAAATGTTGTATATTCCCTTTAAAGTTTACATGTTTACATGACTCACACGTAGGAATGAAACAAAGTGTACAAGTACACATGATTGTGGTTACACTACAAACACTCAAAAACAAATAATAATATTGTCTTCAAAATTCATTTAACATGTCTAACCCTAAGCTCCCTAAACTCCATCAAAATCCCCCCCCCCCCCTCATTTTGGGGGACTTGGTCCTGCAGGCCTGATTTGACTAAATATTGGTGGAGTATGATGGACTTGGGCCTGGAGGCCTAAAGCAAAGCATGCATTGGAAGCAATGGGATTGATGGATTTTGGCGGACTTTGTCAATAGTAAAAAAAAAAAAGTCTACAGGGAGTTAGGGGTAAACTTCATACCAGTAAAATAGCAGTCGATTTTATCAACAAAGTTTTAGCTGAAACAGAATTAACTCAACAATAAACATGCAATGCATAAAAAATAATGCTTAAAATTAAACAAATGTCGACAAGGTTAGTTATATTCAAGCATTAATGTGTAATTTGTAATAGTTTGTTTAAAACACAACGTCTGGTCAAACTGTTTGATGAAATGCTTTGGACAGTAAAATACATGTATTTCAAAAATTTGGTAAGAGAATAATTGACAATTGTCAACAAAGCGGGGGAGGGCAAGGCAGCATGCTTCTTCAAACTTTGTAAACAGTTCACGATGAAGAGGGGTACAATTTGAAGGATATTCTGGGTACAGAACTATGTAACAACATCAAATTCACAGGGTCTGTTCGGGATGAACATGCAAGGTGAAAAGCGTTGACGACTATATTAATTTTTGGGGGGGGGATCTTGCAGCAGGGAATACTGGGATGTCTTATAAAACATCAATGATTTCTCACCTTTTTTTCATGGGACACATTGTTAAAGGGAATATACATCATTTGCTTTTGCTGTAATTTTCAGAAATGGATGGAATTGGGGGGTTGGAAATATATAGCAAATATAGTTACACTGACTTTTTTGAGGTTTTGGGTTCGAAAATGCCATAAAAACCAAGAAAAACAATCATTTTCCTGTAGTCTGGTTCCCTGACTCCATTTAAGAAGAAACAGAGCAGTTTACATACATTGGGGAATTGTAAGGTCAGGGAACCAGTCTAGCTGGCTTGTACCCGTTCATAGGTGTGTAATCGATTGCAAACAAGTGCGATGGTCAACTGGGGCCAGTATTTGAAAAAAAAGCCAGTTTTTTTCCAACGCTGATCGGCCCATCAGCGTTGGAAATTGATACAAAAATACCACTTTTCTTGAAAATGACAGTATACCAGGTGCCATGATTGACAGGATGCTTTACACTGTCATTCACTAACAGTCCAGCAAGGTATTTCAAAATGATTTGGTAGTTTTATTTTTTGGTGTTTGCAAATGTTGTATTTTCCCTTTAAATGGCCAGGAATAACAAACACATACAAACAAATATTGAAACATGCAAGGGTGAGCAAAATAAAATTGAAATACACAAAACAAAGTCAGCCATCTTGAAAGGAAGTGTTTTGAACTTACTCACGTCACCTTGAAACCTGTGGGTGGATATGTGGGTAGGATTACATGTAAACTATGGAATGGGATAGGCCACGTGATAAAACAAGAAATAGATATGTCATAAATCTCTTATTTTTAATAGTTTTTAAAAGTTGAACAAAGAAATTTACTGGAGCAGGGTTTGAACCTGCGACCCCCGACTGCCGTTCCGGTGCTCTGGCAACTGAGCTATCCGACCCTATGTTGGTGGCTTTCCCAATTTGTCAAGGGGCACTAGTCAAAACCATAAACTATGCCATGTCACCAGGGATCACGCCCAAAGTCACGATGCTAGCAACATGAGCAATGCTGCAAACCTGGCAAATAGCAAACGGGGATCACTCAGAGAGCAAACGGCTTTTGTTTATTTCTGAGTTGTGTTGAGAAGAACCAGTTAACGTGAGTTCTCAAACAGAACGCTGTGTTCAAAAGACAGCAACAAAGATTTCTGCTGGAGTTGAACTGTCCACTTAAAGGTATAGTCCATCATTTGTAATTTGTGCATTTTGTTCGTTTGAAGCAACAACAGTGCTCAAAATCTAAAGAAGGGTGCTGAACAACTAACCTGATGAAGTTTCAGCTCAGCTTCAGCTGGATATTTTGAGAAAAACAACAGTCTAGGATCTCGATTTCAAATCAAAAGTTGCTGAATCACGTTTTGAATTGGGCCTGAATTAAGCGCCCGAGACACATTCTCACTGAGCAGATTGCAGCTACGCGATGTCGCGCACCGATCCGACGAATTATAGCAACCGCGCGCACGTGTGCGTCGTGCTAACGCTTGCGCGCACTTCGCCTATTGAAAAATATGAACTACTAACGGAAATTTCCAACGGTGTTTCTTAAGACGCACCGTTGGAAAGGTCTTCTTTTGTTGATTTCTTCAAAATGACAGCTTGCCAGAAAGAATAATTTCACAGGGAGTTTAGTCCCCTTACTATCTTTCAACCAAGTAATGTATGTTTTTCAACAATAAATATGCCAGTTATTTTTTGGATAGCTGCAAATGATGGACTCTGGCTTCAAATAGTCTTTACACAAAACCTCCACTCATGAGCCCATGTGCAACTGCAGTTCTTTACACATTTTCCCAAACTAAATAAACAGTTTTTGTGTTCATATTGGAAAGCTCTCAATAAAGGATAACAAAGGTGGGACATTTGTGTTGTGGACTAAAATAAATTTGTTGCCAATTTCTGGTCAGCAATTCGTTCCAAAGTCATGACAAAATTTAGTCATCCACGAACCCTATGAGTATTAAATTCTCCATCACCAATATACATACATGTGCAAGTACTTTGAACAGAAAACACAACAAAACGATGTTACTTGCATTCAGTTCTTAACCTGGTGCATCAATCATACCATGGTATTATGTATGCCCGCTACCTTGTGCAGCTAAGACATAATGCACTCCCAAAAGAAAGTTAATGTTAACAAAATTTGGAGAAATTTACCAGAAAACGAACAATAGTGCACTGTGAATTAACATTCAAAACAACAGACCACAGTCATACTGTCGCAAAAATAATTTAGGGCGATGACAACAAGATCTGAAGTCGTTCTGAATTTCTCCAAGAGATTGTGACGTTTCCCAGTGGTCAAAAAAAGTTAGTTTTCTTAGGTTTTAAAAACTTTGATTTTGCATCTTGTTTACTTTATGTGGAAAAGTAACTGGTTTTCAGAGATCGCCCGAAAAAGTACTTCTTAAAATGGAGTTCTAGAAAAAATCTCTGTGGTTTTCTGCTCCCCCAAAAAGAGCAGTTCATACTTCAGGCAAAAGCGAGAGCAAAAAAGTTTCAAAGATGTCAATAACTGTTCTTTCAATTTGTGCTACAATATGATATTCATTTCTCACTTAAGTTTGCAATCATAAAGAACCAGGTTTTTAGGAAAAACTTCTGCACTCCTGAGCATTTCTGATATGACATCGGTTGTACTTTACCCCTCCCCCACCCCCCTGTGTGTAAACTTACCGTCATCAACGACCGACACCACCACGCCCTGTCCCATGATGCCGAGTTTCCAGACCGGTGCAAGGTTCATATCCACACCGGGCGTCGCGTCGTTCTGGCCGTCATTATGCTGAAAGGTAAAGTGAACATGATGAAAAGCAACAAAGACGCATTGTTCTTCGCATAGTCTCCAAATAAATTCATCACGCCCCAAGAAAAATGATATTCATTCCAACCAGACAGAAACATGTTTCTTAAAAAAAATCTCCCACATGTATACATATGCACTGGGTCCATGAAAGGAAAAAACCCACAAGAAACATTGGTTTTTGTTACAGAAAATATATTACAGAAATATTAAAGCCACAAAATGTATTCATCATTTATTCAACATGAAATGTGTTCTCCCTGCGAGTAGGTTTGAGTGAGACTAATAAAGGCATTCATTGCCTGACAAGTAGTTTATTTCATCATTTACAGCTATAACAAAATGTAGTCAACGACAGTTTGTTTAAAATGTTTAAAGGCATTTACAGAATCATTTTCTTGTCATGCATTTTGTTCGTTTGCAATAATAACACCACTCAAAATCCAAAGAAAAATGTTCAAAACCTAACCTGTTGAAGTTTCAGCTCATGTGGATACTACAGTTTTCAGAAAACAGTAAAAAAAAAAATGCACAACCTTTTGATCACGAGACACGAATTTGTAGCACTTTCCATGCTTTTCAGTTCCAAAACTTGGTAAATTGAAAATCACCTACATTGTTTTTTTTCTTCTAAATGACAGCAAGCCAGATGCGACAATTTCACGTTACCAGTTTAGTACCAGTACGATCTTTAATCCAAGTAAACTTTTTGATAATAATTTGGTAGGTTACTTTTTGGGATGAATGCAAATTTATGATCCCATATTATTCAGAATGTGACTATTGTGCAAAATCAACTATGACACACAGAAACCTACCAAGTACCACTGATCGGGGAACCTTGGATCGTTGAATGGTGGCACGTAGTCGTCTCCGGTTCTGTCGTGGGCAACGGCCACAGTGTCCCGCTTCTCGTGGTAATGCGTCTCTTGTTGCTCAACCCAAGATACCTGATAATGACATGGAAAATGGAAGACGAATCACTTACGTGTCTTTTTTATCTGCATGTGAGGGCTCCATGCATGAACGAGAGAGGGCGCTTTTACCACTTTTGAGGCAAACCTGAAGCATCCACTTTTCTTTTCTTAAAGGGAATGTACAACATTTGCTTTTGCTGCAATTTTTGGAAATAAATGGATTTGGAGGATTAGTATGTTATAGCAAATATTGTTGAACTGACTTGTTTCACGTTTTGGGCTGGTAGATGCTGGAAAAAACAATGAAAACCAATTGTGTTCTTGTAGTTTGGTTCCCTGACCCCACTTTAGATAAAACGGAGCAAACATGACTTTGGGAAATTGTAAGGTCAGAGAATCAGTCTAGCAGGCTCGAACCCCTTCACAGGCGTGCAAACAGTTGTAAAGAAAACGTGGAATAACTAATTATGAACAGTTAGGAGCAGTTTTTGAAAAAAGCCAGTTTTCTCCAACGCTGGTCGGCCGACCAGCGTAGGAAAAATACAATTTTTCTTGAAAATGACAGTACACCAGGAGCCACAATTTTACAGGATGCTTTAGACTGTCATTCCCTAACAATCTAGTGACGTATTTCGTGATTATTTGATCAGTACGTTTTGCGATGTTTGCAAATGTTGTATCTTCCCTTTAAATTTTCAAAGATTTTTAACCTGCTTGTTGGCGATACAGTTTTAGTGCCATTGTTCTTGGAAGTGGCAAAATATCATTGAAATGTTAATTATCCAAAATTGCAATTGAAGTAAAGGTTATTGCTTTAATAATTGAACAATTAAATCGAATTCAATTTAAAAAATTAATCCAATCACCCAACATATTCAACAGCTGGCATGTACTTCAAATGTATGCAGCGTTCAATTGGACAAAACAAAGATGGCGATGTCACCAAATTCAATGCCTATTCAATGCTTAACCCAGATTCAGCATGTCCAGGTGAGAGTGGCCCAAGTAAAATTTACACCCTTTCACTTAATTGATTGTATTTCTGGATCTTAAGGACCCAAATGGAATGGGATAAAAAGGAGTGGATTGAGAAATAGCCAGGCTTTAAAGCTATAGTCCATCATTTGCAGCTATCCGAAAAGTAACTGGCATAATTATTGTTGAAAAACATACTTGGTTGAATGATAGTAAGGGGACTAAACTCCTTGTGAAATTAATCTTTCTGGCAAGCTGTCAATTTGAAGTAATTAACGAAAGAAGGCCTTTCCAACGGTGCTTCTATAAGACGCACCGCAGGAAATTTAAATTAGTAGTTCGTTTTGTTATTCGGCGAAGTGCGCGGAAGCATTTGCACAACGCACACGCACTTGCTATAATTCGTCGGATCAGTGCGCGACATCGCATAGCTGCAATCGGCTCAGTGAGAACGTGTCTCCGACGCTGAATTCAGGCCCAATTCAAAACATGATTCAGCAACTTTTGATATGAAATTGAGATCCTAGAATGCTGTTTTTCTCAGAATATACAGCTGAAGCTGAGCTGAAACTTCATCAGGTTAGTTGTTCAGTACCCTTCTCTAGATTTTGAGCACTTTTGTTTGCTTCAATTGAACCAAATGCACAAATTACAAATGATGGACCATATCTTTAATGTAATATATAATTTCATTGAAGAAACAGTTTGTTTTCTAAATGTTGCACTTTTTTGGGGCACACTCAGTGTTTTGACAAGCACTTGTACATGTACAACATGTACATGACTTTTGAAATGGTACAGACAAGGTTTTCTACTGATACAAAGTTTGGCTTTTCCATTTTCAATGGTCCCATAAATACTGTTGCCTTCACAAAAGACCTTGGGATTTTGACAACTGGATTTCAAAGACCCTTCTTGGCAACAAAGACTGGGATTTTGTAAGTCAGATATCAAAGAAAGCCTTCTTGACAACAAAGACTCTACTGTCCTGACCCTTGCTGAAGCATTTCCCAGAACATTTTCCTGTTTTGTTGGTACGATGCAGGATCGTCCATATGGAGAAATGAGTCCACGCAAAAAGGGTATTGAGAATTTCAGGATAGCCTTCAATATGCACCATTTGAGTGGCCTCAGTGCCGATTTGCATAACACTCACTGAACCATGACGGTATGCAATCAGTAATATGCATGCTTTGCAATAGAACATGTACACAACCAGCCACAGCACACCCTACCGACACTACGGTACACTATAGTATACAGTACTGTAAAAAAAAAAAGTGGACAGTTCCACAATGTCGGACATACCTTTTTGACAATTCAAAAGTGTTGTTGACTGGAGTCTCTATTTTGGCTTGAGACTTGACTTGACTTGGAAAATATTAATTGCGCCTTAACTTGACTTTGATAACTTTGACTTGCTGACATTAAAGGGAATAAACAACATTTGCAAACATCGAAAAATAAAACTACCAAAGTTTTTACAAAATACCTTACTAGGATGTTGGTAAATGACAGTCTAAAGCATTCTGTAAAATTATGGCACCTGATGTGAAGTCATTTTCAAGAAAATGGTATTTTTGTATACATTTCCAACGGTGGTCGGCCGACCACCGTTGGAAAAACCTAACTATTTTTCAACTATTGCTCCAAATTTTACCATTTTTTTCAGTCCAAATTTTGTTTGCTATTGGTTACATGTTTATGAACGGGTGCAGGCCAGCTAGACTGGTTCCCTTACCTTACAATTTTCCGGCATCTATAAATTGATCCATTTTATCTTTAGTCATGTTAGTGGAGTCAGGGAACCCGACTACTTGAACATTTTTGTTTTTCTTTTTTTTTCCAGCATGTTCGAACACAAAACTTCAAACATGTCGGTGAAACAATATTTGATCTATTATACTAACCCCCCAAATAGTTCATTTCTAAAAACAAATACATGTACAGCAAAAGCCAATGATGTACATTCTCTTTACACTTTTGTTAAAATAAACACAATTTTTCAGGCTTATGCAAAATTCGGTTAACAGAAAGCCAAGGACCTGATGTACATGTAGCTAGCTAGGCGTCCTGCACGATTCCTAACTTGTATTCAGATATTGCAAACTAAAGACTTGTATCGCCAATAAAGGATGTTGAGAACAGGGTACTTGTGTCATGTGAATTATGACGAAGCATGCTCAGACGGACTTAAAACACTTTACTTGTGACTTGACTTGATTTGTGAAGATTTAACTTGCGACTTGGCATAGAAAGTTTTGCAACTGTGAGTTTTACATGAGAAACACAAAAACTGAAGGCTTCACAGCGCCGAAAAATTCACGTAAACTTCACTAATTTCAAATAATACATACATTTTATTCAACAAAGTCCCAGCGATTATCCAGTCAACAAACATGCATATTTTCATTTTTTTCCAAATTTTTCAGAAATGATTCCATAATTATGCCGTTTATAAGTACTACAGAGTATCGATTCCTCAAAATAGTGGAATCACAATTCCTATTCCGATACCAACTTTGGAATCGATTCTAATCGATTCTGGCACAGAACCGCCCAAGCCTACATGTATATCAAAGTTCAAACAATTAAACCTTTATCCATAGAGCTACATGTATATTAAATTACTAGAGCGCTAACTCGATGTACAAACTAATGCCTGCTGGGCGCATCCGTGTTTGTGCACAAACCTATGGAAAACTCGAAATTTTGTACAGCTTTTGTACGGCTATTTGCATATCAGCGCTGGTATTCCATATCGGTGCGTCACCGAAATGCACGATCAGCAAATGAACGTTTCATTTTGCTCTACGCAAACAGTGCAACGTGTGCGCATTTCTCCGCTAGGCTGCAGATGCTTTTCGCCGTGACATTTTTTTAACCGTCATGGCGCGCTAAAGTTGTTTGCGTATCTTCTACTTCCGCGTTGCATTTAGAGTACACTTTTAAAATTCAACCCATCTATTTTGATTGTGTTGTACAAACACGCACATAAATTCAAAATGTCTGCGTCCAGAGCGGCTTCAAAGAGTCTCCGCGCGCAAGAATGAGGAGTTAGTGCTCTAGTAATTTAATATAGCTCTATGCCTTTACCCCACCCACTCAACCTCCCCCCTCCAGCCCCACCCACCCCACCTCCCCCCTCTGGCCCCACCCACCCCACCTCCCCCCTCCGGCCCTCACCCACCCTTACCCTTGCATCTTCCTTTAGCAGACTTGTAACATCCACAGCCTCTCTCCTAGACCTCCTATGATGGTTATCTTTCTCCAATCTGTACATATTCTCCAAAGTTCCAATCTGTAAAATAGGGGGGAAAAATTACTTATTAAAGGGGCCATGCCATGAAATTTTCCCAGAACACAGTTTGTGGAACAAAATTTCTTAAAGCTATTTGACATCTATTTTTGGTTAATTTTTAATGAAAAGTGCACTTCTTTAAACATTTAAAATTGTCCATTATGCCTTTCCTGACAACTGTGGGCGCTGTTGCTGTGATGTCATTTCAGGAAGACACTGTTCAGTTTATTAGGGGGTTTTCTGTTCAAATGTGAATCCGTCGATCCGAAAGTCTGCCCATGGAAAACATTTGTGAGAAAAGTTTGCTCATTGGCTTACTGCCATGTACTGACACAACAACTAATCACCCAAGAAAAGAACATTTACACACTCTCAGCAAAATATCCAAAATTCTGGTAACTTTTTGTGCTGAAATAGATGTAACATTGAAGTTACCGCCTGGAATGATATCACACTTTTGCTCACAAAGGAAAATTGCCTTAGCATAAAAACCAAAAGGCACCAAAATACCCGTGAAAATAGTAAAACGAAAATTGAAAATAAGGATTTAAGGAGACACAAAGGTTCATTTTCAAAGACTGCATGAAACAAATGACATTGTATGGCCCTTCAATTTTTGGGCAACTGTTGCAATAAAATATTTGAAGTCAGCAATTTGGCCTAAATTTGGTTATCGTAAACACACAATTTTTTTACGACTTAAGAATTTCAAGCACTTCATGTTGCTGGTATGTTTTTGCAAAAGATTTCCTTTTTTGTTTCGGCCAACAATGGACATAATATAAATGACGTGTTGGAAACTAACAGAATTGAGCTTTTATTAGGCCCAAAAAAAAAAAGTCTCCAGTTTCTGGTATGCACGCGCGTCGCCGTAGCCATGCACGTCGGCAAAATGAAAAAAGGTTTTTTTCAATAAAAGATGATGTCTCAAAACCGCCAAACTCACTGGTTTGACTGGAATCCTGCTGCTGCACAATTTTAACGTGTTTTTAGATGGGGTTATGATCGAGAATTTAAGCTTTATGTGGCCTCTCTAGACTCTTATATATTTGCACTAAGTTTAGTCGGGCACCATTTGCAGTCATCAGCCGACATTTGAAGCAAAAAAAAAAAGGTAAAAAAAAAAACAAGCGTCGTCGCCGCACCACTTTTTGGGCAAGCTCCATACCAGAAACCGGAGACTTTTTTTTTTGGCCTTTGCTAATTCTATTTTAACACTTTGGTTTGTACACTTTTCTTTGTTTTGATGAAATCTGTTTTTTAATCTGATTCACTGAATTGAAATTATAATAAGGTTAAAATGTATCTTCCCTGCCTCATATAATTCTTACATTAATACATTTTTTGTACAAATTATGTTTTAGTCTTACAAAAATGACATTCATCACCCCAACTCAATTTGTCTGGCGTTTTACACATTTTGCAAGGTGCAACCCAATGTTTGATAGTCCTACCCATTAAACACACAGCACGCAACAAAATAACTATTTGAACAGTGAACAGTGAATGAGACAGTCTAGCTTCACAGCACACAGCAACCACCCAACATGCCCAAACTCTTGTAGAGTCCCTGTGCAAATAGATTTTGTTTAAAGCTATAGTCCATCATTTGCAGCTATCCTAAAAGTAACTGGAGTAATTATTGTTGAAAAACATACTTGGTTGAAAGATAGTAAGGGGACTAAACTCCCTGTGAAATTATTCTTTCTGGCAAGCTGTCATTTTGAAGTAATCAACGAAAGAAGGCCTTTCCAACAGTGCTTCTTAAGACGCACCGTAGGAAATTTAAATAAGTAGTTCGTTTTGTTATTCGGTGAAGCGCGCGCAAGCATTGGCACGATCACACGCACGCGCGGTTGCTATTTAATTCGTCGGATCAGTGTGCGACATCGCGTAGCTGCAATCGGCTCAGTGACAACATGTCTCTGACGCTGAATTGAGGCCCAATTCAAAACATGATTCAGCAACTTTTGATTTGAAATTGAGATCCTAGAATGCTGTTTTTCTCAGAATATACAGCTGAAGCTGAGCTGAAACTTCATCAGGTTAGGGCCTAGTTGTTCAGTACCCTTCTTTAGATTTTGAGCACTTTTGTTGCTTCAAACGAACAAAATGCACAAATTACAAATGATGGACTATACCTTTAAGATACCAGTACATGTACCTGTTTCTGTCGGCACTTTCTGTTATCATGCTATTAACCTTAACTCCCTCTAGCATTTTTGCTAGGATGCAACCTCAATCCTGCAAACTCCTCCAACTGCCTCCATGTCAAAATTACACTCAGCCTCAATCCTGCAAAATCCTCCTATATTTAAAATATCCACTGAGCTGAAATTACGGCTTGTTAGGTTTTGTATTAGTGGTGGGTGAAATCAGAGATTATAAAATCCAGTTATCCAATTTTTTTTTTTTCAAACTGAATAACCGTTATCTGATTTTACCAGAAATTCCCATCCAGCTCACAGTCATGACTGGGTAGGCCTATAGTATGCAGGATTCAAAGACCACAGGGCCTTTAAAAAACACTCCAGAGATGTAATGTTGAGGGGAAAATACATGGGAACTCTCTGATAATTCGAAATGAGCAGGCTATTCATCTACCAAAAAGACCACTAGCACGTGAATGCAGTTAATACAACAGAGACCATGGAGCACATTGGGGGATTGTTCCAGTTGCTTTTTTAGCCTGTGTCACAAAGAAATGGAAGGCTTAATTGTTTTTAAAGGTTGGTTTCGCGGTTTCCAAAATTAAAAAAATAGCGGAATTCAAACAGAATGTTTTAAAATTCACCATTTTAATCCCACCACTATTTTCTATTCAATTGTGTTGTTGTTCCTTGAATCGGCAAAAACACATTTTTAAAATTTTTTTTTTGCAAACAGTGTCCATTACCTTTCAGTTACATTGGGAATTTGGGATTGAAAATTCTGTCTGCATGTAAAATGTACAGATCTGCCATAAAAACCAAATACCAAAAAAAACGCGGCAACACAGATGTTAGCATTCGACTTCCCGACACTCATTTTTGCCAATTTAAAGACGCGTGACGCTTAGGAAACATCTGTAATGCATAATAAAATATGTAAAATTACACCAAGTCGGCACTGGCAACGTATGTAAAACAATATGGTAATTTGATACGGCTAATATAAGCCTAATGACAGACACATCCTGTGCAGTTAAAGAATAAAATACCACCATATGGCACAATGCATAAAATATTCTCTAGCGCACTGTATTGCAGTTTCATTGAATACGAAAAGAACGGATCAAACGTCTGCCACACGTTTACTTGGTTCAGTAATAGACGAAATGTATTATAACAATTTGGAATTAAGTAAAAAATTCAACCTCAAATGCAGTTGGCAGACGAGTGCATTTTGAGTACCAAGCTAAATTTGTTTATTGGATAGGCCGACCTAATTTTTATTTAATAACAAGAACATTTCAGTATAACTAAAAATAATTACCCTATTCTTGAGAGACCAAGTAGAAATATTTAATATCAATTTAAAATTTCATCCTTACTTGTTTCAATTACATGTAATTTTTTTGGAAAGATTTCCATACAAAGTTCACTCAAAACCCTGTGTACAAACCCTATGAGAGTGGACTGAAAAATTCTAAGTGTTTTCTAAGAAAATGCTTGTATTTTCTCACTGCTCAAATTGACTTTGATGACATGAAATTGCTATCTGGGGGCTTGTTAGTCAATACAGAGGAAAATTAGTGAACTTAGTATATGGAATTCTTTCCATTTTTTTAAATCCTTAAATGTGAGGCACTCTCTCTGGCAAAATGAGACAGAACTGGGCACAGGCCATAGTGGAGAAAAATGAAGGGAAGAAGAAGAAATGGGGGATTTGTTTCAATTTTCAGATTTATAAATATTTGTAATCTTTGATGTGTCTACTGCACAGATTTTAAAGAAATAGTATAAAAATCGTGGAACAACAGTGTTTTTAAAGGGAATGTACATCATTGGTTTTTGATGTAATTTTCAGAAATGAACTATTTGAGGGGTTAGTATATATAGATCAAATATTGTTACACTGACATTTTTGAAGTTTTGTGTTCGAAAAGGTTGGAAAAACCAAGAAAAACAAAAATGTTTAAGTAGTCTGGTTCCCTGACTCCACAAAAGATAAAATGGATCAATTTATAGATGATGGAAAATTGTAAGGCACGGGAACCAGTCTAGCTGGCCTGCACCCGTTCATGAAACATGTAACCAATAGCAAATAAAATTTGGACTGAGAAAATCGTTAATTTGGAGCAGTAGTTGAAAAATAGTTAGGTTGGAAAAACCTAACTATTTTTCAACTACTGCTCCAAATTAACGATTTTTTCAGTCCAAATTGGAAATGTATACAAAAATACCATTTTCTTGAAAACGACTTCACACCAGGTGCCATAATTTTACAAAATGCTTGAGACAATCATTTACCAACATCCTAGTAAGGTATTTCGTAAAAACTTGGTAGTTTTATTTTCGATGTTTGCAAATGTTGTATATTCCCTTTAAAGAAAAATAATTTGCATGTTTCATTTTCACAACAAAAAGTTGAAACTTTAAAGGCTTTTTCTCCAAGGCGTTGTGAAACATGCCGGGGGCTTGAGCTGCGTATGTTGGTTGGGAGGTGGGTTGGTCGGTGGACACTTTTCTCAGGGTGAATTACACTGTGTATCACAGCCTTGCCAGTGAATTTCTATGGAAAACCTGCAGTTTTGTAACATGCGCATGCGTCTTATTTGCATATTAGATCACACCCCATTGCCTGGCAAAATTCGCAGTTGTACAACTCGTGGAACTGCCGTGGGTTGTATCACTTGGTACTTGTTTTAAGTGTTAAATTTTGACATGTCGATAAACACAAACTGGAAAGATTTCCATATACGAAGTTCACTCAACACCCTGTGTACAAACCCTATGAGATTGGACTGAAAAATTTTAAGTGTTTTCTAAGAAAATGCTTGTATTTTCTCACTGCTCAAATTGACTTTGATGACATGAAATTGCTATCTGGGGGCTTGTTAGTCAATACAGAGGAAAATTAGTGAACTTAGTATATGGAATTCTTTCCATTTTTTTAAATCCTTAAATGTGAGGCACTCTCTCTGGCAAAATGAGACAGAACTGGGCACAGGCCATAGTGGAGAAAAATGAAGGGAAGAAGAAGAAATGGGGGGATTTGTTTCTATTTTCAGATTCATTAATAATTGTAATCCTGATATGTCTACTTCACATATTTTAAAGAAATAGTATAAAAATCATGGAATAACAGTGTTTTTAATTTTAAAGAAAAGTAATATTGGCATGTTTCATTTTCACAACAAAAAGTTGAAACTTTAAAGGCTTTTCCCCAAGGCATATTGTTAGGCCAAAAAAAAAAAAATATTCGGTCTCTGGTCAGACCAAAGTTCCGGAATTGACGCGGGACGCGGCTTTTTTGGTTTTTTTTTGCTTTTTTTTGTTTTCTTCTAGCTTGGACTGTACAGACAAGGTGGGTACTATTTTGCTTTTTTGGTGTCCTCATGTACATTCATGACATTGGTGGCCTCCATAATTTGCCTTGGTGCTCTCGATCATTTGCCTTGGTGCAATTTCCCATTCCTTGGTGCTCTTTGGTAAAAAAAAATTGAGGAGGTGCAGCAATAGAGGGCGCTGTTGGAGCTACCGCGGAACATTTTGGAGAAAAAAAAAGATTGATGCGCATGATTAAAATCGATGCGCACGCTGACCAGAGACCGACTTATCTTTTTTTTTGGCCTAACAGTGTTTTTAATTTTAAAGAAAAATAATTGGCATGTTTCTTTTTCACAACAACAAGAAGTTGAACTTTAAAGGCTTTTTTCCCACGGCGGTGTGAAACATGCTGCGGGCTTGAGCTGCGTTTGTTGGTTGGGTGGTGGGTTGGACGGTGGAGACTTTACTCAGGGTGTATTACACTGTGTATCGCAGCTTAGCCAGTGAGTTTCTATGGAATTTTTTACCTGCAGTTTTGCGTCTAATTTGCATATTAGATCACGCCCCATTGCCTCGCAAAATTCGCGGTTGTACAACTCGTGGAAGTGCCATGGGTTGAAACACCTGGTACTTGTTCTAAGTGTTAAATTTTGACATGTCGATAAACACAAACTTTAAAGGGACACTAGGTCCTGGAACAGCCCAATTGGGCTACAAAACGCCCTTTGAACGAGATTATGTTAATCGGAAAGAACATTTAAAACTAGGATAGAAACATCCACACAACTATCCTTTAAAAACTGTGTGTTTTTTGTGTTATTCCTGTATTATGCGTGCGAGAACGAATTTCGGGGTCCACTTTTGCGACCCCATAAATTCGAGCCGTTTGGATGCTAGTTGTGATTTCATTCGTACGTGTAAAGTGTTCGCCTCTTCCGGACGTTGAAGAAACCATTTTTTTTTTGCATTGGTGATTGGTCACGGCTGTTCCCGAGACACACATGGTGTATATCGTACACTGTATGAGAACGACACAAAAAACGTATTCGTACTCTGTCGTGTCCGATATAAACAACCGGGGTTTTTTTGTCTTTTCTCGGGAACGGTAAGACATTAGGTAGGTTTCCTTTCATCCACATGTTTGAAATAGGATAAGTAAACAATCCAAAACAAGAAATTTTGGGGGATTTCAGGACATAGTACCCCTTTAAACAGCCATAACTTGTCAATGGAATCTCCGACTGAAGTGCAACAAACAGTATTGTGCGGAGAATTTTATTCTCTTTTCTTATACCCGCAAACACTCATTTCATGCCCAGTTCTGTCTCATTTTGACAGAACACCTCATTTATTGGAAACTTACCTTTCTGACAAACGTGAAACCGTATTCGTCCGCCACTTCCCTGGCTACCCTTTCCCCTCCTCGTACTTCCACCGCCCACTCGTTGTGAAACATCCGGTCTTCACGATCGTCTGTGACGGCTGCCCCACACAGGAGTCCAGTCAGGGCCAATAATACGAAGGACAAGAAACGCAACGCCATCTTGAATCTCAACTCTGTTTAGGAACCAACAAAAATTGGGAAATTGAATGTTATTTTATCTGCAGTGCAAATGTCTTTCGTCATATCTATAGATTTGTTTTTCTGTATTAAGAGTCGGACCATATAGACCATTGAAAATTGCACATTTAAGATGATATCACATGACGCATGATGACGTCATCAATATGTCCATCAGCACAGACCTTTTTTGCTATGTGGTGATTGTGTAAAGTTTTATCAAGATCTGAATATGAAAAAAAAACTGTTGAAAGTGCCGCCTAGACAATTTGTGTACAAAGTCTACATTGTATTGCTAGGAAATAGTACAAAAACAAACTACAAGAAAGAAAGAAGAAGAAGAAAAAAATCAGAAGAGAAAAAATGGATTTGCCGCTATTAATGGCAGGAAAAGCCAATTACATTGTATTGCTCTATGAACATTAGAAATAGAATAAAGCAACCACATAAGTTGAACATGTTAAAAGTTGTTCCTTCCTCCAAATGGTCACACCACACCAATCAGATCAACTATTTCTTGTAAAGTTGTAATCTTATTCCTCAATCAATGTTTCCTTGCTCAATGCTTTAACGAACACAGGGAACCATGTGCATGATGCCTCAATGAATAATCAAAACTACTTACCGTGCGTGTGGCTTTCAATCGGTTCTTTTCCCCCGCAGCACACGGACGGCAAAGCGACCTAGCTCCGCTCCCACTACCCCGCTCTGTCACCGTACCCGCAACTTCCACACCCACCACAATTCTGATCAATTTCCTCCGATTAAAACATGTCTGCCGCTCAAAAAGTCGCAGAGTTTAGAAGAAATGATGTCGTGGTGTTCCAAGGCCTAGATCGAAGCGGTATTCACGTGAAATTTGGTGACAGAATGAAGTATTTTGGTCGCTGATTTCGCCGGCAGAAAAGTGGGTTACGTTGCTCCTACTTCGTGTACTTTCATGAAGTCGAGTAGCGGAATTGTCAATAGAGGGCGATCTTCATTATTATAAAGTGGCAGAATGGTAAATAGAGGGCGGTCTTCATTATTTATTTTTGATCAAATTAGCCGCGCCTTACCAAAATAAACACATCACTGTAATTTAAGTAATGATTAATTTCTTCATGATCGAATCATGTCCCAATGTGTAACTGTTGACCGAGGATAAAACTGTGATCACCACGTCGAGTAAGAAAAACTGGAAAAATAATTTATTTTTTTAAGCAAAATTCACCACATGATTTTGGAGACACATCAATCATGCACAAATTTTGGAAAAGAACTGTGTTTTTAAACTAAGGAAGGCAATGTATGCTATTGCTAACTTTTAGTTTTAGTTTCTTTTTCAGTAATAAACTAAAAATCTCTTTTTTTTCCAGATGGACTCCATTAAGTCAGCAGTTAACAGAGATTTCAGCCAGGCATGCCAGGGGACTTGGTATTGCAGCGCGGCGTTACATTGAGGCGCATGCAATGAACTCATTTCGACTCGCATGCCAAACATGGCATCAGGAACGTCACCAGACAGATTTCCACTTGTGCCCTATCCTTGTTTGTACATCGGTGAGTATTGTCCCTTTTCTTGTTGCTTTCCTTTACATTCTGGTCAGCCTTTTCCCAAAATATTCACAGTATTTGAAATGGCCAGAGATCAATCCCCAGAATTAACACAGTGTTAATGAATCGACTCATACGGAGTACTTTGTAAAACTTGTATGTTGCTTGATTTTTACATTTTGTTAAAAATAGTAATACATGTAATGCATTATTGAATAAATTTATAAATTGATTTGATTCATAGCAGGTTCCCAGCAATAATGTTTTATTTTACCTGTGTTTACTTTTTCTGTTTCTGATCCTTTTCCTCTCAAGATGCTTCATGGAAGGATGTCCTGTCTTCGCTGCTTTACCTCGCAGAACCTGACAACCAAAGAGACAAGATCGAATCCGACTTGAGACACATCTGGAGGTCCGGCAGTCCCACCAATCAAAGCCATCCCACCAGCCACTTTATTTTGCCATGTTTGTCCGTCCGATCAGCCTTCGACCTGTTCCTCCGCGTGAAAAAGTACCCACCGGGCTCGGAGATCCTGATGACGGCCATCAACATCCCTCAGATGCTTCACATCGCCCAGCACCATGGACTCCGCGTCAAGCCGCTCGACATCAGCATCGACACTCTAGCCCCTAAAATCGAGCTTCTGGATTCGCTGATCTCCGAGAACACCGTTGCAATCGTCATCGCTCACGTTTACGGCCGCTGGTCCAACATCGATGACATCATCGACACCTGCCGCAGTCGTAATCTCTCCATCTTAGAAGACTGCGCCGAAGTCTTCTGCGGCTTCCAGAAACTCGGGCACCCGAAAGCGGATATCTCCTTCTTCAGTTTCGGCGCGATCAAACCCAGCACTGCCTTTGGGGGCGCTGTTGCCAGAGTGAAGGATCCCGAATTATTCAGCCAGATGCAGGAACTGTACTACAAATATCCGATTCAGAGCAGAGCTGCGTACATCAAGAAAATCCTCCAAAGCGTCGTTGGGATGGTCGCGTTGAACACTCCAGTACTCATGAGACTTATGCTGCCAATTTTTCATGCCCTCGGGTTTGATCACAAGGAAGCAGTGGTATCCATTCTAAGAGGATTTTCCGCCAACTTTATTGATACCATCCGCCAGCAACCATCCACAGCATTGCTTAAAATGATGCTAAGAAGGCAAGTTGATTTTCCCGAAAACTCAACCTTACAAAACTGAATTTGCTAACCACAGAAACAAAATCTTGTTGAGCCACAACATTGATTGTCTAACTCATCTACACTCTTTCTCAAAGGCTCTTAAAATAGTTGAACATTTTGGGAATTGTGTCTTTTCTGTTGACAGATTTCAGGGTTTCGACGAGACAGAATTCCAAGAAGGCACAAGAAAGTGTGACTACGTCAGCGAGCGTCTTCCTCAAAACTTGGAGTACGTCGGAATGGATGTTGAGACAAGAAACTACTGGCTCTTCCCAATTATCGTGGTAAACATTTTGCAGTAGCCCCTTTGAAATGAATAAAGCTAAACAATGCGAACCGAAAAATGGAGTTCCAAACTCACAGAGGCCCCATTAAAAATTAGTGTCAAAAGTATTTTACGAGTTAGTATTCACAGTATTCAGAGTATATTTAATGGAGCCTTTGTTATAGCCACATGTAGCACAATGTTTCTGCTAATACCGGGGACCGTTGTAAGTGTACAGTAGTGTTGTAGTGAGTATGAGTACTTTGCCATGAGAATGACTACTTTGCCACGAGTACGAGTACTTTGCCATGAGTACGAGTACTTTGTCACGAGTATGAGTACTTTGCCATGAGTATGAGTACTTTGCCACGAGTATGAGTACTTTGCCACGAGTATGAGTACTTTGCCACGAGTATGAGTACTTTGCCACGAGAATGAGTACTTTGCCACGAGTATGAGTACTTTGCCACGAGTATGAGTACTTTGCCACGAGTATGCGTACTTTGCCACGAGTATGAGTACTTTGCCACGAGAATGAGTACTTTGCCACGAGTATGAGTACTTTGCCACGAGTATGAGTACTTTGCCATGAGTATGAGTACTCTGCCATGAGTATGAGTACTCTGCCACGAGAATGAGTACTTTGCCACGAGTATGAGTACTTTACCACGAGTATCAGTACTTTGCCACGAGTATCAGTACTTTGCCACGAGAATGAGTACTTTGCCACGAGTATGAGTACTTTGCCATGAGTATGAGTACTTTGCCACGAGTATGAGTACTTTGCCACGAGAATGAGTACTTTGCCAAGAGTATGAGTACTTTGCCATGAGTATGAGTACTTTGCCATGAGTATGAGTACTTTGCCACGAGTATGAGTTCTTTGCCACGAGTATGAGTACTTTGCCACGAGTATGAGTACTCTGCCATGAGTATGAGTACTTTGCCACGAGTATGAGTACTTTGCCACGAGTATGAGTACTTTGCCACGAGTATGAGTACTTTGCCACGAGTATGAGTACTTTGCCACGAGTATGAGTACTTCGCCACGAGTATGAGTACTTTGCCACGAGTATGAGTACTTTGCCACGAGTATGAGTACTTTGCCACGAGTATGAGTACTTTGCCACGAGTATGAGTACTTCGCCACGAGTATGAGTACTTTGCCACGAGTATGAGTACTTTGCCACGAGTATATATACATGTACATTGTCATGAGTACGAGTACTTTGCCATGAGTATGAGTACTTTGCCATGAGTATGAGTACTTTGCCATGAGTATGAGTACTTTGCCATGAGTACGAGTACTTTGCCACGAGTATGAGTACTTTGCCACGAGTATGAGTACTTTGCCATGAGTATGAGTACTTTGCCATGAGTATGAGTACTTTGCCACGAGTATGAGTACTTTGCCACGAGTATGAGTACTTTGCCACGAGTATAAATACATTGTCATGAGTACGAGTACTTTGCCATGAGTATGAGTACTTTGCCACGAGTATGAGTACTTTGCCATGAGTATGAGTACTTTGCCGTGAGTACGAGCACTTTGTCACAAATACGAGTGCAAGTACAAGGAAATTTTTTTGTGAGTACGAGTACAAGTATGTTTCCACGAGTACGAGGATGAGTATGTTTCCACGAGTACGAGTATGAGGGCGAGTATGTTTCCACAAGTACAAGGATGAGTATGTTTCCACGAGTACGAGTATGAGGGCGAGTATGTTTCCACAAGTACAAGGATGAGTATGTTTCCACGGGTACAAGTATGAGGGCGATTATGTTTCCAAGAGTACGAGGTCGAGTATGTTTCCAAGAGTACGAAGTTGCGTATGTTTCCACTAGTACCAGTACGAGGGTGGGTATGTTTCCGCGAGTACAAGTACATGTATGAGTACTTTGCATGAGTACAGCACATTGCAATGGGTAAACATGTTCTCAAGGTCTAGACAGGATTTGGCAAGTTTGTTTGTTTGTTTTTTTGTCCTTATCACAGAATGAGCCAGAGAAAGTTCTGAAAGAGTTGAACTGCCGAGGGGTGGACGCTTACCGCGGGGCAACCCAGCTGACCTGCTTAGATCCCACTCTTGCCGACCCCAACGCGACCGATCCTCTCCAGTTTGACCAAGCTATGGCGCTCTACCCAGACGAGGCCCGCTACCTCATCGATCATGTGATCTACCTGCCGGTTCACAAGCGCGTGCCGTACAGCTACCTTGACAAGATCTGTCTCGCCGTGGAAGTTGTCATGCGAGAGACGACATCACGTCCTTTCCCTAAGAAAATCTGTATCAATGGTAAGACAGTGGTTTTGGAAAACGGACGAGTGAAAGTTGAGAGCAAATTGTGAAACAAAATTTATTGTAGAATCTACCAGAATCTAACACACATGTTGGGGGGGGTGTGGCCTAGTGGTTAGGGTTTGTGACTCGTGATCAGAGGGTCAGGGGTTCAAATCCAACTGCTGCCTAAGCTTTGTGTTCCTAGGCAAGCTGTTTTACCCCAACTTGCCTCACTCTACCTAGGAGTACAAATGGGTATCAGCATCAATTAAGGAGAAATCTGCAGTGGACTGGCATTTCACTTAGATCAGGCATGCAACTGGGAAATCACAAAAAAAAGAGGAAATTCAAATTTTTCCCAGACTTTGTACAGTGTTTTTCTATTTTCAGTGGCACACATGTGAAGTAAAAAAAAGAGGAAATCAGCTGATCCGAGGAAAAGTTGCATGCCTGTTAGATGAATGAACTGATAATTCGTAACTCTATGCTTTGCAAAATGAGCAAAAGATGGTTTCAAAAAGATATTTTATTTTGTGAATGAAAAATTGCCCAAATGTAATTTTTGGCTCAAAATAATTCCAGGAGGAAATGGAGGTATTCATAAATTGTGTGTGGCTACATTTTGATAATTGATATTGTAAATTTAATTAGTGAGACGTGCCAAAACTATTGTACATCTGAAATACCTAACAAATCTGTGCGATGCAATTTTCTTACTAAAGTATTTTCGAAATTTAATTATCTGAAATGTTTCCGTACAAACTGAAAGTAATCAGTAATCAACTCTCTGAATACTATTGAACAAAAAGTGCTATGAACAAAAAATGAGGATCGGATCTTCCCAAAGTGAAAAATTATTTGTTACTTCCGAAGACTTAAAGGTACTAAGTACTACTGTAATTAACGAAGTACTACATGCAATTAAACAATGTGCAATTTAATTAAACAGGTATTTTCTGAAATATTTTATCTGAAATCTTCCTGCACGAATAAGAAATTAGTAATTTTACTTTCGAATATATATTTGTAATTGTACTTAAATGCTTAATAAATTAACATGTCGTGAGAATACGTATATGCTCAATGTTTTAATCATGCAATATTTTAATGCAATAAGGTGCTTACAAAATTTGTATTCATTTCGTCAACGTTAATAATTTGATAAAAGATTTTAGGCTTTGCATGGTGGAGTATCGATATCGTTTCAGTTTGCGGTTACACCATGTGGTAATAAGTTGTGTACAAAGTACTAGCAAATTAACCATTTGTTATTTAAGCACTGATTAGAAATCCTAGTGCCAACTTTGAATGTGTTGAATATTAAAGGGAATGTACATCATTGTCTTTTGCTGTAATTTTCAGAAATGAACTATTTGAGGGGTTAGTATAATAGATCAAATATTGTTACACTAAAATGTTTGAAGTTTTATGTTCCAAAATGCTGGAAAAACCAAGAAAAACAAAAATCTTCAAATAGTCTGGTTCCCTAGCTCCACTAAAGATGAAATGGATCAATTTATAGATGCCGGAAAATTGTAAGGTAAGGGAACCAGTCTAGCTGGCCTGCACCCGTGCATGAACATGTGACTGATAGCAAACACAATTTGGACTGAAAAAAATTGTAAATTTGGAGCAGTAGTTGAAAAATAGTTAGGTTTTTCCAACGGTGGTCGGCTGACCACCGTTGGAAATTTATACAAAAATACCACTTTTCTTGAAAATGACTTCACACCAGGTGCCATAATTTTACAGGATGCTTTAGACTGTCATTTACCAACATCCTAGTAGGGTATTTCATAAAAAATTGGTAGTTTTGTTTTTCGATGTTTGCAAAGGTTGTATATTCCCTTTAAGCATAGAATAAGGTCTTATGTGGATATAATGACCTTCGGCTTGGGCCATTATCTGCGCCAAGGCCCCTAGCTGGTTTTAGACGTACTTCTGCAATACTGGTCAAGCACATTACATGTATTCCCATTCATAAATACCTTTCCGGTCAAAGAGTCACAACAAGTCAAACATTCACAAATTTCCAACCATTTGTTCAACAATTTTACTTGTTTTGTGAAACACCCGACTGGCCATGTCTATGGTATGTGCCTTGCGCGTGCAGTGCTAAAAATCTTCTTATATGGAAATTGGCGTGCACGGTGCGCACTGCGTGATGTGGTGCAAAACGCTGCCCTGTTTTACCGGCGGTTTAAAACCACCCATGTGACAGGCTCTCGACCAATAGGAATTGGTAAACTGTCTCAGATATTTATGAATGATAAATAAACCTGTTAAATACTGGATATAAAATTGTTGAAAATCTATTGTGGAATGTTTATGTGATATGCAATTGGGTCAAGGTGGTAGTTCCACATGATGGAATAAATGGCAGTAGATGTTTCAAAATCTGTTCTGTTCAACATAACGAGTGAGTTTATTATGAAAACAAGAGTACAGCAAAATGAAAATTATATGGAACACTACGATTGCAACCATTTTTTTCTGAATCTACGTTTATGTTTGAATTTACATTGTACAAACATATTAGTCAAACAAAATATACTAGTATAACTATTCACATTAAACTTTTTTAGAGTAGATTTGTTTGTTATAAGGGAAAAGTGACCACTAGGACAAAAAAATAGGCTTTTTCTTTAGTTTGAATAAGGGAACATTGGCTAACATGCTGGCATATTTCTTAACACCTTCAAAACATATCTTTACTTGCACCAAATAATATATTTACAGAAAAATAATTCATTTCAAAGGTAATTTTGATACAACATTTGCTTTTGCTGTAATATTCAGAGATGGATGGATTTGGGGGTTAGTATTTTATAGCAAATATTATAACACTGACCTTTTTAAAGTTTTGAGTTCACAGATGCTGGAAAAAACCAAGACATAATTGCTGCTCTTGTAGTCAAAACATTCAAAACACACAATAAATTGCTGTTTTTGGACGAGACAGGTCTTAGGGTCATTGCGTTTATATGGTGATATTCTTTGAACGGATTGAGCAATTTCAGTATTTTTTCCATATAAAAGTAGCTTTTGAAATTGGCTATCCAGTCATTATTATTTTTGGTGCTACATATTTTTTTAAATATGAAATACATTTTAGGGGGTTTGGGTTCCGCTTTTTTTGACTCACCCTGTAGGCATAAAGTGCCGGCAAAGCACTGGCCCAATAAATCAAGCATTGCACACATAACATAATTGTATATATAAATTTACCAGTAAATATCAACACTGTCTAGCCCTCCTACTGAAAATCAGTTACCGGAGCATTATGTAAAACCCTGCAAGTCAGTTTCAAGTGAAAGGATAAAGCCTTTTCACACTAGAGCCTATCAACCCGGGGAAGAAGTCGAACCCTAGGTGAACTCGGTGCTCCCCTGGGTTGAGTTTCACAATGGTTTCATGCAAACGGAGCTTATTTCCCTTGGTGAACCCTGGCGAGAGTTTCAACCTGGGTTGAAAATCTCAACCCTGGTCCGGATCAGGGTTGAGTTCAACCCAGGAAGATATTCAATCTTGGGCTTGGTTGACACAGGGTTGGCGCAGGGTTGAACATGTTCAAGAGTAAAAACGTCGCACCCTTTTAACCCTGCGTCAACCCCGAGATTTGTCTGGTGTGAAAATGCCTAGAGAATCACTGCACAAACACTGTGGAGAGCAGCGAAGCGTTACTGAATCTGCCTCTTTGCCCTGAGCTTTAACACACAACACTGGCAACGTATTTTTGCACAAAGCAAGTGTTTTCTGTATCTGGCAGGTCTGTATTAACCTCAGTTTCGTAAAGCATCGTACGTTGTTGTTTCGCACTGAACCTTAAAGGGAATGTACAACATTTGCTTTTGCTGTAATTTTCAGAAATAAATGGATTTGGAGGATTAGTACGTTATACAAAATATTGTTAAACTGACTTGTTTCACGTTTTGGGCTTGTAGACGCTGGAAAAACCAAGAAAACCTATCATGTTCTTGTAGTCTGGTTCCCTGACCCCACTTAAGATGAAACAGAGCAGTTAATACACTTTAGGGAATTGTAAGGTCAGAGAATCAGTGTAGCAGGCTTGTACCCCTTCACAGGTGTGTAATCAATTGCAAAGGAAAGTCAGAATAACTAATTATGAAAACTTAGGAACAATTTTTGAAAAAAAGCCAGTTTTTTCCAACGCTGGTCGGCCGACCAGCATTGGAAAAATAAAGTTTTTCTTGAAAATGTCAGCACACCAGGAGCCACGATTTTAAAGGATGATTTGGACTGTCAGTCCCTAACAATTCAGTAAGGTATTTCGTGATAATTTGATCATTTGGTTTTTTGATGTTTGCAAATGTTGTATCTTCCCTTTAAGGAAAGTCCCGGACTTTTCAAGGATTTTGTAGATTAGCTAACACAGCACACATGTGTACTACATCATCCACATATGGCAGTAACTCACTAGGATAGGTAACACTGAGGATATTGAACAATCTGATTCTCTGAACGACTCGTTCCACACGGACCCGGACTGACGAAACGTTATAAGCCATTGCTACATCACCGGCCTTAAAATGACGGTTAGGTATGGCTAACGGTGGCGCGACAGCTACAGCCTGTCGTCCAGCAACTTGTCTCGCAAGGTCGGGAAAACCTTTACTCGCTACGATTTCATCATCCGGCTCGAGCATATTCAAAAATCCCGACTCGACTGTGATTTGACTGTCCGTAGCACTGCCAGTGTAGACCCGGGATAAAAAAGAAATCAGTCCGTTTGGGGAACTTACGACCAAAACTTTGCACGTGCAGGTTCCCTTACAGGGGGAATACAGCAAGACTTGTTCTCTCAGTATTGCCGGTTTCTCGGTTTTGAATTCGAGGCAGTCAAGGATACACCTAGCGTTTGGATACTCGGAAAAACCGGACGGCATCATGGCATGGACCATTTCCGCCGAGGGCCAGACGATCCAGTTTCGCGTGACGCGGCACAGGTTGTCCAGAACAAACTGGAAATTTCTGGAGGCTGTGGTTCTAGACACAGAAAAAACAACCCCTAAGCACGAAAATGACTGACCGTGGCGCAGCTTCATGAGAAACAAAAGCAGGCAGTTTTCCAAGGACATGCCTCTTGACTTTTGCGGCAGTAGTGAGTAGAGGAGAAAGAACACGTCAGGCAACACACCAGTGACGTCATGAATCTTGTCGACTGCTTCGTCCGTGCCGTCCCAGCCGACAAATCCACGGGGTTTTGCTTCCAGAGCTGCTAGTCTGAACCGTCTTTCTTTGGCCTCTGAGAAACTGCCGCAAGGATCTCTGCGGAATGACGTCTGTGTTCCGACATCGTTGCCGTCCACGCAGCAGTACATACTGTGGACGGGCGTCTGTGCGTGGTCGTCACCACACCAGCACAAAACCTCAATGGGAAAACAGACCTGGGTTTGTTTGTTCTTGATTCTCTCCTCCACTGGTTGATGGAGACTAACGTAACTGTGGTCTGCAGACGCTAGAGGGACGGAAGGCTCTCGCTTCTTTGTCTTCCATTCCTTTAGTCTGACAATTGCATCGGAGTGGTCTGCTCCTACCTTCAACCTCGGTTCGTTGTTTTTCCGTCCTCCTTCGAAATGGCAGGCGCATAGTCGTGTCGACCGTCCCGGTGACCAAGGGGAACCATCATATCTATATTTTAAATTAAAAAAAAAATTCAATTAAAACATATCGCATCACAAAATATTACCTGCGTAACAGATCACTGCGGAGCATTGTTTAACTGTTCAACAAGAAAAAAATCATGATTGTCTTGACACTAGTTTACTGCTCTCAAGATTTGCCTATTCTTTTTCAAATGTATAGAAAAATTACAGCGACCCCCCCCCCCCCCCCCCCCTCGCCCGTCTGTGGTCGCCCCCCCCCCCCCCCCCCCCCCCGAAAATCCGCCCATTAAAACGACGCCGTACACACGTGATGTACGCACGACGTTGGCAAGTACTACGCTAGTTGGGGTCAAACCAATGTCAGTTTCTCATCAAATAACAACCAAATATTTCACAACATACACAGAAACCATAGCTCTCATATATTCTTACCTAATGTGGTTTGCTTTCCCCGACAAAGCGATCCACAACTGCCTTCGCCTCGTCTCGTTTTCCGAGGGAAAACAGTAGAACTGCTGGCTGGGACAAGTCGCCGCATTGTGAGGACAGCCGTCCATTGCACAAATCTTCTTCTCTCGCCACGACCGCCGCGTTCGCCCCATTCTTTTCTGTATTTTCTTTTCTGTCTTTCACGAGGTTTGTGCCATATTCCAAAGTATAATTTCGCGATTCACTTATTCGCAGCTAAACGATAATAATCTGTCGTGTTTTCAGCAGCAGTGCAAAACTAAAAAGCAAGATGGCGTTTAGTGGTCCTTCAATTTTTCTCAACCAACCGTCCTCGTCCCCGTGGCGTTTGAGAAATTGATAGCAACACACAACAACCACTCTTAAAAATACATTTTGAGAACGAGGTTCAACCACTCGTTATTTTTGATGCAAAACTTGTAAAAACTGTAATAAAACCTTAAGCTGAGTTTCAAGAGTGAGTTTTTACCTTGAATTTGAGCATTCTTCGTTGAGAATTTCTTCGATATAAGGGGTCATCAACAACAAGGCAATTTTAGCCGAAAACCTTTTTGGAACCCTTTTTTCGATTTGCCATATACACCTCTCTCGTTTTCGTCGTTGAGGGCGTGGGTGTTCATTCATTCAAACAAACCTTTATTTATTTCAATATTGCTGACAAAAAATGCAGTGAGTCTATTTAAAATAACATTAATGAGAAACTGAGAAAGGAACAAGAAATATTTATATAACCAAAAAATTATGTAAATAATCCACAAAAACTACGACTCATTAACAAATAATATAAAAACAGCAATATTGTGGCATGCGAATTCGAAGAAGCCGAAGGCTTATATTGCCATGCCAGTACAAACAAACACAAACAATTTACAAACATGAGTGGACAAACAAGAAACAAAGACAAGAACAATTATCTGAATTCTCTAATTGGAAATGAATTGTAGTGTGCCTGCCTAACTTGGAGCGAAAAGAAAAAGAGAAAAGAAAAGAAAAACAGCAGGCTAAAACGGCTAAAGGGTTGGAGATATAAGAGATAATAGATTTAACAACAGATGAGCAAATTCCATCGAATCCTGGACTGGTGTTTCCGCACAGGTTATTTACTAATCTCCATTATCTCAAGAGAATCAAAGAGAAGCGATATCGACAGGATTGAAGAACATTTCGTTCCCATCAGAGCAGTTCTCTGGGATGACTTCCTTTCTCTCCTTACCAAGAATTTTGTTTATTTCACGCCAAGTATTTTTCATGTTGTTTGTACACGTTTCAAATTTCTTGGCATAAAAGGTTTTCTTGGCAGAACGGAGGACAGCAGTCAACCGATTCCAATAACTGGTGTGAGAGGCGCTTATTGGCTTCTGATGGGCTTATACGTATATCGCCTGTATAACTTGTTTTTGCGATTGCAAGAGCTTACAATAGATGGGGTGATCCAAGGTTGGTTGTTTTTCTTCCTGCTACAGTGTTGCGAAACGAGAGGAAAATGCCGGTTATAAGTATCAGAAAAGAGAGAAAGAAAATTGTTATAAGCAGTATCTGCATGCTGACATTTGGAGACTTCTCCCCAATCCACAGCTTCAATATCTGAGGTGAAGGAACGTAAACTATCAGCGTTGATGTTTCGTCTAAAGTAGGTCTCAGTAGAATGCTTGGAGTTTCTAAAGAAAGAAGAAGTAATTTGAAAAAGTGGCAGGTGATCAGAAATATCAGTATTCAAGATATCTGCTGAGATACTAGCATCAATGTTAGTAAGAATGTTATCAGTTAGGGTGCTGCTGTGGGGGGTGACGCGTGTTGGCTGGTCGATCAGAGGACGCAGGCTATAAGATAAGAAGGTGTTGACAAAGTCGTCCGTGGGCTGATGTTCCGAACATTTGAGAAAATCAAGATTAACATCACCCATCAAATAGCACAACTTATTCTCTCTAGAAATAGTATGGAGACAAAGGTCAAAGTTACGCTGAAAAGTATCAAGTTGAGTACCAGGGGCCCTGTAGATAATACCCACAATAACATTGCGAGAGTGAGTGCGTTCGATTTCGATGAAGACACATTCATAATCAAGCGAAGACGGCATGATGTCACTACGCACATGATACCTCAGAGACTTGCTGATGAATAAAGCTGCTCCTCCTCCGAGTTTATGAGAGCGTGAGGAGTGAATAAGGTCATAACTGGTCATGTTGACATACGGAGGAGGGCTTTCTCCGAACCATGTTTCAGTGAAGCCGAGAACAGAAAATGAATGAGAAAGGCAGGAGAGGTAATCTTGGATATCATAGAAATGTTTACAGAGGCTTGTAGAATTCATGTAGAAGATAGAAAAAGAGTCTTCATCGATATTCAAGGTGTTGAAGCTATCGGTGAATAAGTTAAGGCAGGCACGACTATCATCATTATCAAACGTGTCATCAAGATTAAAATCAAATGACATTATACACACATGAACAATGGAACAAATACAGACAATTAATTACCTAATAGAAGTATGTAGAAAAAAGGGGGGAGTTACAATATTGCTGTAATGAAAACAAGAGGCAAAATATCAATAAAAACAGAACAAAACAAAGTGCCTTAAGTAGAAAAATAACTCAAGCCAAATAAATAAAGTGAAGGGAAGCTATAGTTAGCAAGGCGAATGGAGCATGAAGAGGAGAATGTGAACAAACAAAACTATCGACTGATGTAAACATTAACATAAAAATTCGAGCATAAAACAAAATAAATGCAAAATAACTCAAGCCAAATAAATAAAGTGAAGGGAAGCTATAGTTAGCAAGGCGAATGGAGCATGAGGAGGAAAATGTGAACAAACAAAACTATCGACTGATTCAAACATTAACATAAAAATTCGAAACAGAAAAACTAAATATATGCAAAATACATGTACATCTAATCTACGAAAGGAATTCCAATGCTACAGACAGAGCCACTGACAAAAATATACTTATTTATAAGAAGAAAAACATAACAAGGCGACTGGAGCATGAGGAGGAAAATGTGAACAAACAAAACTATCGACTGATTCAAACATTAACATAAAAATTCGAAACAGAAAAACTAAATATATGCAAAATACATGTACATCTAATCCACGAAAGGAATTCCAATGCTACAGACAGAGCCACAGACAAAAACAGCTGAAAAAAATACACTGAAGAAAAAAAATGGATGAGGCCAAATGAATGAAATAAACGAATGGAAAACAAAATTAAATCTCCAAAACAAGTAAGGACAAGCTGAAATGACTATGATCAACAAAGAAAACAAAATCCAAGAAAACATCGAGGGCTGAGCACTGGGTGTTTTTTTTTGGGGGGGGGGGGTTCAATCTGAAGTTTGTGCATGTATAATTTTTTTTTTATTTATCCGTCGTATCAGAAACATACAAAAGTGCCTCAAGCGCCCTCATGTGTAAAATTACGGCCATTATTTGCAAAACAAATGGCTTGAAAAGGATACGGAATGGATCAATGACGGCTGTTTTGAGTGAGTATGAAACTATAGACACTCTTTATTGTACTGTCAATCTATTAAAGTGCCCTTTCGTTTGGAACAAGAAGAAGTAGTAGTACAAGTGAGCACCGTTCAGAACCTACTGGTGATGGGTGCAACCGGAATAGGCGACCCCCTCTCCTAAACATGTTTATGTTATAATAGAATGGTACCCCTTCCAAACTCTATATTAACAACACCACCATTATGTTTATTCTACCAACTTTTGACAAAACCAGGGGCGGCGCAGAACCGCGGGGGTTGGGGACACTCCCCCCCCCCCCCCCCCAGTGGCGTAGCCAGGAATTTTTCAGTGGGGGGGGGGGGGGCGCTGGGGGGGGGGGGGGCGCTGGGGGGGGCTGGAACATGTCATGGGGGGGGGCGTCAAGCAGGGGCGTCAATCGCTTCTCAAAAGTGGGGGGGGGGGACATACCTTAGTCATAACTGATGCAAGTGCGAAGCCCTTACGGCGTGGGGTTCGGGGCCCGCTTAAGGGCCCCGAAAAAAATTGGATTCTAGATGCTCTGTGGTGTGATTTGAAGCAATTTCTTACGACTTTCCTCCATGCTTTAACTACTATTTTCTTGGCAAAAATAATTATTTGAACATCGTTTTCGAGGTTGGAGACATTGAATTAGCTATCGGTATTCTGAGCTATTGGCGTGGGGTTCGGGGCCCGCTTAAGGGCCCCGAAAAAAATTGGATTTTCGATGCTCTGTGGTGTGATCTGAGGCAATTTCTTACCACTGTAACCAATAATTATCTTAGCACAAAAGATAATAATTTAAACATTTCGAGGTTTTCTCAGCTAAAGGCATAAGAACATTTTGTGAACATTGTTTTCGAGGTTGGAGTCATTGAATCAGCTACCAGAAGTTCTGAGCTATAGGCGTGGGGTTCGGGGCCCGCTTAAGGGCCCCGAAAAATTTAGGATTCTAAATGCTCTGTGGTGTGATCTGAGGCAATTTCTTACCACTTTAACCAATAATTATCTTAGCAAAAAAGATAATAATTTAAACATTTCGAGGTTTTCTCAGCTAAAGGCATAAGAAAATTTTGTGAACATTGTTTTCGAGGTTGGAGTCATTGAATCAGATACCAGAATTCTGAGCTATAGGCGTGGGGTTCGGGGCCCGCTTAAGGGCCCCGAAAAATTTAGGATTCTAAATGCTCTGTGGTGCTATCTGATGCAATTTCTGACCACTTTAACCAATAATTATCTTAGCACAAAAGATAATAATTTAAACATAATTTTCGAGGTTTTCTCAGCTAAAGGCATAAGAAAATTTTGTGAACATTGTTTTCGAGGTTGGAGTCATTGAATCAGCTACCAGAATTCTGAGCTATAGGCGTGGGGTTCGGGGCCCGCTTAAGGGCCCCGAAAAAATTAGGATTCTAAATGCTCTGTGGTGCTATCTGAGGCAATTTCGGACCACTTAAACCAATATTTTCTATGCAAAAGATACATTGTAGTACATAATAGGGCCCATGGCGTCATGTAGATCAATGATTTTTTTTTAGAAACTCAAAATCTCAGTGGGGGGGGGGGGGAGGGGGCGACTGGGGGGCGACAAGGTTTCATGGGGGGCGGTCGCCCCCCCCCCACCCCCCCCCCCCCCGGTGGCTACGCCACTGCTCCCCCCCCCCCCGCCTGCCATATAGGCCCAATTACCCAAGTGCCTCATTTGCGGACTTCATGTGCCCCTTCGAGCATGTGCCCCCTCGAGATGAAAACAAAACTGACCCAAAAATTTAAGATACTTTGTTTTCAGTAACCATTTCCCAAAAGGTATAGAGAGTTCTGACATGAACGAGGAATATGAAAACCAATCCCCAAAACCCTTACAAAATGGCTCCCTGAAAATGGGCACATGCTATTTTAATATGCATATTTTGCATAATGGCCGGTTTTGAAGAGCGCCCCCTATTTTTCGAAGATGGTTCCAGCACTATTAAAGCTTAAACAAACCTCTTTCGTCCAAAAATGCGATTTCAAGAATCATCGTCACAATTGCCTTCAAACATTACCAGCGATAAAACCTTAGTTTAAAAGTGAAAAATACTCAACAAAGTCCTTTTGAATGCCCGGGTTTTTTTTTCAAATCAAATAATTATTATATTTAATCTTATAACACCTCACCCACAGATTCTGTGTCTCGATTGGCCGAGAGCGAGTCACATGTTACTTTCCAATTTTGCTATCTTTCTGTGAACGGCCAAAAGTACTATACCCGTAGCAACCAAAGTACTATACCATTGGCAACCGAAGTACTATTTCCACGGCGCGGTATTTGTGTGCAAATGCATGCTGGTGTGCGCGTTGCGCGTTAATTGCGCGCAGCGTATTGTTCCAAAGAAAGCGCGCCGCAGACTTGGGTTCAAACATTTCGTGAAGAGGTAGTTTGGAAGAGAGAAATACATTTTCCACCAATTTTGTATTAAAATTGAAGTTTATTTCAACTGTGTTCAGATTTAAATAATTTAAAATATTAAAATCAAGCAGAATCTGTGGGTGAAGTGTTATAAAACAAATATTGAGTGCTTTATCTCGTGGTGAAGTAAAACTAGCCTCCCTCGATGATCCATGGACCATTCTATTTAGAGAAAATAGAATGTCCATGGATCACCTCGGGAGGCTAGTTTTACTACACCACTCGAAGCATTCAATATTTGTAAATTATAACACCTCACCCACAGATTCTGTGTCTTGATTGGCCGAGAGCGAGTCACATGTTACTTTCTAATTTTGCTATCTTTCTGTGCACGGCCAAAAGTACTATGCGCATAGCAACCAAAGTACTATACCATTAGCAACCAAAGTACTATTTCCACGGCGCGGTATTTGTGTGCAAATGCATGCTGGTGTGCGCGTTGAGCGTTGTGTGTAGCGCGTATTATTCCAAAGAGAGCGCGCCGCAGACTTGGGTTCAAACATTTCGTGAAGGGTTAGTTTTTAAGAGAGAAATACATTTTCCACCAATTTTGTATTGAAATTGAAGTTTATTTCAACTGTGTTCAGATTTAAATAATGTAAAATATTAAAATCAAGCAGAATCTGTGGGTGAAGTGTTATAAAACAAATATTGAATGCTTTATCTCGTGGTGAAGTAAAACTAGCCTCCCTCGATGATCCATGGACCATTCTATTTTCCCTTGGCTTCGCCTCGGGAAAATAGAATGTCCATGGATCACCTCGGGAGGCTAGTTTTACTACGCCACTCGAAGCATTCAATATTTGTATAATATTGTTTGCCTAACCATACAGGGTTGTTAATAAAGATATTGTGTACTACAGTATTTCACAGTTGTCTGTGTTATTTTCTTTGTTGTTCCAAACAGTCTGAATACACAATAAATTGCTCTTTTTTGGGGGGGGGGGACGAATTATTGAAACATGTTATATATATATAGGTTCATTGCGTTTATGGTGATATTCTCTAAACGGATTGAGCATTTTCTAATTTTTTCATCTAAAAGTAGCTTGTGAAATTGGCTTTCCAACGGTCATTATTATTTTTTGTGCTATATATATATTTCTTTTCAAAATATGAAATATATTTGGGAGGGGGTGGGCTCCGCTTTTTTTGACTTACCATGCATGTATACATAATACGTAATAAAGAATAGGTATTCCCAAAACAAATAGCCCCTGTCCACGTGTAAACACACAATGTACATATGCAGTGACCTTTGCATTTTTTATCTTACAATGTTGACAAAGCCGTTGTAGTTTAATTCTTCATGATTTTGATCCCATATTATACCCAGTATTGTTTACAAAACTAGTGGCAAAATATTAACGATGGTGTTAGCACTGAAACTAATTTTGCTCTTGGTCAGCTTTTCTGGCTTTGTGACACCTTTCGACCTGACGATATTACACACGAACGACGTCCACGCGCGTTTTGAGCAGACCAGCGGTACGGCCGGCGGGCCATGCACGGCCGAGCAAGCGGCGGACGGGGCGTGCTACGGCGGCGTTGCGCGGCGGGCCGCTAAAGTCAAAGAAATCCGTAACAGCGTGCAGAACGTGCTGTTGGTTGATGCCGGCGATGGTTTTCAAGGCACCGTCTGGTTCTACGTATTCAGGGGACAAGCTACTGCTTACTTCATGAACATGCTGGGATATGATGCCATGGTAAGCATGGTGACCGTAAGGTCATGGCCAAATTCTGCTAAATGCACTTCGAAAATCTGTCATAAAAAAAAATTGCCAAATTCCCCAGAATTACTTAATATAAACACTTAAAATCACGTGCAGATTTGTAGTATTGCCATAATTAAGGTTCAAATTATTATAAACAATCTATAGTCACATAAAGATAAATTTCAGGCAAAATGCGGTTGCTTCACGACGAAGTCCGGTTCCCAGTGAACCTCAGCACCTAGACCAGCCAATCTGTCCCATTATGCAAGGGTTTGTGTAAAGAGATTGAAGCTTTTAATGTATCTTTTTTTCAAATTTGCTATGTTTTTCTGTCAAATAGCCATTTTTGCAGAATTCTGCCAGAAATCTGCCAAAAAAAATCCATTCTGTCAAATTTTCTGTCAAACTCGTTTTTTTAACAAAACATCTGTCAAAGTTAGCCGAAAATCCGCTAAAACGGTCACCCTGATGGTAAGGATTTTGGTATCGGGTGATGTGAATCAAACGGGCCTTAAGCACGAGTTGGCCATTTTTGTCGAGTTCCCTGAATGTATTTCATAAATTGTTTAGGCTGTTGAATGGGATGGGGCAAGACTATTTATGCAGCCTTATGTTACTGTCATTTTCATTTGAATCTGCGGGCTTAAAACATTAGAGAATGTTAAATTACAATTATTACGTATTCATTAAAGCAGGTTTTAAGTTGAATTAATTAGTGATTTACTTGCTTTCATTTCCCTTCGCAAGTTCCAAAAAGAAGATTTTACCTCGCTTTCGTTTCAATATGGCCATTGATCTCCATATACAATGATAAGGCCCATTAATGCAACCTCGTCACCAAGGGTACCTTTATTTTCAACTTCGTTTCCAACAGTAAGCTTGGTGGGAAACTTGCTTCCTTTCCTTGATTCAATACAGATAATAATATAACAACTAGTAGAAAACACAGTCATGCACCAGACTATTCCTAATTTGCATGTGCACGATTTGCCAGCAAAATGATCCCGAATACCAGAGTGAGAGAGCAGATAGTGGCAAGAGCGTACTGCTCGACACCATGGGAACGAGGTTCATTTAAATAAGTCACGGTTATCTGTAGACCCCGTTCGGTGGAAAAGGTCCTCGGTCCTCTGTGATACGCATGGGTAGACACTACTTTCATGTCACTGAATTCAAGTGAGGGCGCTCTATGCAAGAGGTCAATCCAATTCGTTTCCTCCTCAACAGGCGCTCGGGAACCACGAGTTTGACATTGGAGTTGACAGCCTTCTACCCTTCCTTCAAAATGTCAGCTTTCCGGTCCTGAGCTGTAACATGAACAGCTCAGGGGAACCTTCAATGACCGGCCTCTATGCCTGTCAGACTACGGTGGCACTAGCAAGCGGGGATCGGGTAGGCATCGTGGGTTATATCCTGGTAGACACACCGCTGTATACTAAATCAGGTAAGGCGACAGGGCACCAACCGATTATCCAGCTGTTTTGTACACGATAAGCAGCACTGACAACTTGACGGTAACTTCGCGAAGTACGCGAACACAAACCGTACTGTTAAGACACCACAAACTGAATATAATGTTATTTGCGCAGTTTTGGCACTCGAATAAAAAAAAATACAAATACGACTCCCATTACTGCTCTCTCACCCTGGTATTGGGATGTCCTGGGTATAAAGACACACGATCGATTCTTCAGGGCGTGTGAATATAGTTAACAAGATTTCCGATTCAGTAATAATCTGTACTCATCCGTTATGCAGTTTACACTTCATTATTAATTGTATAAGCAATATGGAAAAGGATGATTATTTTGTTTTTAGAGTTAACGTCATAATTAATTCAAAATGAACGGTAGGACACGTAATACACAAGTGCACGTTGCATGTAATTGCTTTACTTTCTATTGCGGTATCGAATGGGGACGATGACAGGAACCACGTTTCCCACCCTGCCAGGGGATAGCTAAGTCGAAAACAAAGTAAGCCCTAGGGTGCGAGGTTGGCTTCACCTTGTTTCGGTAGCGTGGTTATAGGCGTACAGGCGTACAATAGGTTTACGCAACGGACACATCACAACGCAGACTGAAACGTGTAGTGCTATGGATAGGTTTTTATGGCGACGAGTTGGTGAAGTCTTGATCACGGGATCGTGTTGGTTTGACCACTGCAGATGTTCAGTCAGCTGTCAGTTCGTGGACAAACAGACATGTCCGATCATAGGCCTATATAAACAATTGGTAAACAAACTAGAACGTTGGCTTAATCGATACATGCTGGGCGTATCTATGTTTGCATGGGATAGGCGAAGTCCACGCGCCCACACCGAACGCACTATCAGCAAATGAGCATTTTCATTTAGCGCTGCGCAAACAGCGCAAACTCAGAAATGAAGCAGAGTGTAAGAAGGTGAACGATTTAAATTGAGAAGATGCACGTTTCAAACTGAGACGATAACACAATGTAGCCACATCAACTACCCTGCACCATGCACTTTGGTGGAACGTTGATAATATGGGGAAGGTTGACATCAACGTATCGTTTCGGACTTCACGAGGATTGGTACAATTGTGTCTCTTTTAGTTTCCGGTTTAAATCATCAGCATTTTTAGACGAAGCTATTTTCTTCCTGTACCCTTTTGCCAGGTAACTTGATCTTCAGTCCCGAGATCGATAGCCTACAACCGGCAGTCGACAATCTAATCGAAAGCGGAGTCGACGCCATCATAGCGCTTGGTCATTCCGGTATCGATACCGATATCGAGATCGCAAAGAAAGTGCGTGGAATCGACGTGGTGATTGGCGGCCACTCAAACACATTCATGTACACAGGTAAGTATGGTATTCGTTTGTATGAATCGGTTATTGTGATCATCGGAAACTTGTCGGGTACCGGTCCATTCCTCCCTTGATTACATCTGAATTTACGATCGCTCACCCCATAACACTGTTCAAGTAGGTTTGACAAATCGTCACCGACACCACAAAGTAACCGCACTCCACCTTGTTAAACCATATTTTTTTTTTCGATTTTCAATTGTTTACATTTTTAAACATTATTCACCAAGGCCTACCATTGCACGAAGTTTCAAAGCTTCAAGAGCTTTACTTTAATAATTACGCTAATTATCCATGACAACTTTTGCGCGAAAGTTTCAAAGCTTCAAGAGTTTTACTTGAATAATTACGCTAATTATCCATGACAACTTTTGCGCAAAATTTTCATTTTCACGAAGTAACACTCAAGTTCCATTTACCATTGCAATGCATGGCGCGCACTCTGCTCAAAATGTGAGCAAAAACTAAAACGTTTTCACGAAGTATTACTTTCCTTGTATGAGCGCGCGTGCGCTGACCTGAAGTTTCACTTTCCTCGTGTTGTATACATTGAAGAGTGTTACTTCGTGAAAACGAAAATTTACAGTTTCGCAGCTTTTTCGGTTTCACGAACTAACACTCACCTTTTTTTCTCTTATTTCTTGTTGATTTAATACACAAACGGGTTAAAAAAACAGCAGATTTATTAAATTCAATTCATCAAGTGTCCACAACGAGAAACCCAACTGAAAATACTCTGCCGTTTTGACGCAAAGTGTTGTTTTAGAAGGCGTTCAACTTTAGATGCCGTTTTCTCTGATTGCTAGTTTTTACTGGTATGTACAAGGGTGTTACTTCGTGGTGGTGCTGACGAAATCATCGCGTTTCAATAATTCTGTGCTCTTCTCTGCCATACGGCGTCTCAAGATGGTCACCCAACTTAAATCGTTTCGGACTAGATCCTGACAGTCCTTGCTGGCCTTTTCCGGCAGCTTGAACATGCTGGCCTTGTGGCCATCCCAGTGGATTGTAGCGTTGGCCAGACATCGCTCCGTGGTGGCCGTCTTGAGTCGACGAAAAGTCTCCAAATCGCGCTGAAAATTGGGTCCGTAATGGCGAACCCTCTCCCATAATGACCGGTTGAAGTGCTGGTATAGCTTGACGTCGGCTTGGTTCCATTCCTGAATTTTTTCTCTCAGGTCTGCCGTGATATTCCTGCGAGTGGTCGGCTTTCTGACACCTTTAGAGATGTACACGATGTCGTCAAATTGCCAACAGAGGAGCTTTTTCAGGAGTATCAACGATTCATCAAAGTATTCGGTGATCATGACTAAGTCCATCTCGCTACTCAGCGAGCTGATCTTTTGATCCACCGATTCTGGATCATTGGTGTCCAGCCCCAGTTCGTAGAGCTGACCGTTCTTGGCATAAACCTTCCGAGGAACCTTGCTGACAGCAAAGTATCGCTCCGGGTCTCTGAAGAAGGCTTCTAGCGGGCTGACGTCGCTGCCGTTCGTCGTGGAGATTTCGCGGTCCATACCGAAGTAACCGAAGGCTGACTCGAACTGCGCTACTGGCTGCCTGATGATCGTGAAATAGATAGCATTTGGGATTAGCTCTGTCATCGACTTGCGGTTGTATCGGGCGTGGTTCGCTAAGATGTGGAATCCACCTAGAGCCGGCCACGCTTGGGTACCGTAAGTGTCCTTCAGATTCCGAAGATAAACCTCGGATAGGTCGAACTTGTTGTACATGGAGAAGAAGTGCCTCAGAGACGGCAAGGCGAAGTTCAGATCGCTCTGGTACCCGTATCGCTGCAGCATCGTGGTAACGGTAGAACTACCAGTTTTGTGCGTCTTGATAAAAACAATTCGATTCTTCGGTTGGCAAGATGCATCTTCGGTTTGCGCTTCCTTAGTAAGGGTGGATTTCAGTGGTCTTGAAGTTGCAGTTTCCACAAAAACTCTGTGGCTGTGAGAAAGAAACCCTATCTTTAAGCACGCTGAGCAAACTTTTTGAAACATCCTTTGTGAAACTACTCTTATAGGAGTCCACATTTTGATGTGACACCGGAAAAGTGTTTGAAACCATGCAGCTAGTCGGTGTTTTATCAAGCTTTTAAAACCACCGAAGTGACGGGCTCTCGACCAATAGGAATGCGTAAACTGTCTAAGGTATTTATGAATAAGGGAATAAAGAATATTGGCAATGGAAGTTGAATGACTTCGCCAATGTTTTGCCTCTCGTTTTTGTACAGATATTTTCAAATCTTCCCAAATACTCACGTTTTGTTTTCGACCGGCGGTAGAATGTGTCTCCACGATATCACAGAGTCCGAGATCACAGACTTCTCGTGGAAAGCCCATTTCATCAACAAAAATCCCCCCAGCGCCAAAAGTGCGAAAAGCACGAGAAGATTCCGAAGCCGTTTACGACAGCAACATCCTGTGCGATGCATTATGATGGAGTTGTTGATTTTCACTGTGTGGTCTTAGAATGGAATCGTTTGGCGAGAGAACGGCAGCTGTTGCTAAACGCACCCCAGGTGTTTGTGAACGTGAACTGGTATAAAAGTCATCAAGTGACGTCCAAAATCAATTGTTGGGATGCCAGTGCATCAAACATCAAAGCGCGCGTGAAAAAAACATTGATTTCTACATTATTACAATATTAATGCCTGACTAGAGTCAAGGGCGGATCTAGAACTCAATTTTTTTTGGGGGGGGGCCAAAAAAATTTTGGTCCCCCAAAAAAGTGGGTCTAAAAAATTACGGCGTGGGGTTCGGGGCCCGCTTAAGGGCCCCGAAAAAATTTTGGATTCTAGATGCTCTGTGGTGCGATCTGAGGCAATTTCTGACCACTTTAACCAATTTATTTTGAGGAAAAGATGGTGGTGTACTCATTGCCTGCCCTTATTGCGATGTCACATTAAAAAAAAAAAAATGGGTTTCGTTTTTGGGCCCCCTTTGGCTCCCCCCTGGATCCGCCCTTGACTAGAGTCAATTCACAGCACAAACTCATTACAGGGGCAGCCTATAGGCATTGACAGATGGCTATTGTTTGTTGTTCTTTTTTTTTTCATTTGAATTGGGTTAAAGTTGGGGATGGCATGATAGAGTATTGTCATACAGTAGCTATTGTGCCCCAAACAGTCCAGTTTTGAAAACAACGATTTCTTTTTGGCTAATTTATTTTCTGTTTGAACATATTTAAAGGGGCATTACGTCCTGGGATGCGCCCAATTGGGCTACAAAACGCGTTTTAAACGAAAACGATGTCAATGGAAAGAACACTTATTTGTAAACGTCCACACAACCATAGGCGTTTTTGTGTTATTTTTGCGCGAACGAATTTTAGGGGTCAAGTTTTGACTCACAACAATCGAGCTGTTGGGTGCTATAGCCGTGAATCCTGCCGCACATGTTCCACCATTGCATCGCATTCTGCGGACGTGCGAGAAGCAACATGTGTGTATTGGTGCTGTGTGTTATAATGTGTCGCACACACAACGTGTAGCGTACATTAGATGGACACGGCTGGAAAAACGTCTTTTGTCTTTTCTCAAAAACAGTGCGACATTTGGTTAGCTTCCTTTCAACCAAACCTTTGAAATATGATAAGTAAACAATCCAATAAAATAGTCGGAGATTTCAGGCCGTATATAATACCTTTAAGAAAACTCAAGGGGCACTCCTTTACACTTGGTGGCGCTGTTCAGAGCAGAAATCCCCACCACTAAAAAGACCCGAGACTAAAATTATAGTTTTACTTTTAATTCTCCCCTTTCCCCCTTCTTTCTAAGGTTCACCCCCTTCAAGCGAGTTACCGTACAGCGACTACCCTCTGACGGTGAGTCCGGACCACGACCCCGACGCCACCGTGCTTGTGGCCTCAGACTACGCCTACGGAAAGTACCTGGGTAGACTGGACCTTACTTTCGACAGTGACGGCGCTGTTTCGAATTTTGGCGGGAACCCGATTCTCCTTGACAACAGCGTTCCGCAAGGTAAACCAATTTGTAGCCTATAAAATAATAAACATTATAATAATACCTCCACAAGCCCTATCTGACTTATGGAGTATTTTTCTTGAAGTTCTCGAGGATTGTGGAGGCTCAGCACCCGGAAAGTAGGTTTTCATTGAATTCAATCCAAACGAACCGATTTAACTTTATTCTTCTAGATACCGAAACCCTGAACGCCATGCTTCGCTGGAAGGAGACGGTAGACGTAACAGCCAATCAGATCGTTGGAAGCTCGCTGGTACCCTTGCGAGGCAACGAATTCTGCTACTCCACCGAGTGCAACATGGGTAACGTTCTGGCCGACGCCATGTTGGCACCTCACATCAACCGAACAGTTGGAGCTTGGAGTGACGTAGCAGTTGCCATGACGACCTCTGGGAGCGTCAAGGCAAACGAAGTCCAAAAAGGTAAAAGATGAAACACTGACACTCGGTACCACAAACGTTTTCTAGAAATTCATGGTGGAAATGGATCTGTCTTGTGTCTGTTTATGCAAACTTCAGGTGACGTCACCGTCAATGACCTCCTCTTGAACATGCCTTACGGTAACACGATCGACGTCCTCGAGCTCAGGGGAACAAACATTCTGGACGTACTTGAGCATTCAGTCAGGAAGTACGAGGCAGGTGGCAATGCGGGAGAATTCTTGCAACTGTGCGGTAGGTCACAAGTGTAAATCGATGAGTCAGTGAGATGATACATGGGTGTCTTTTGAAAAAAAACCACCAAATATACCCATTTTTAAATGTAAATTGTAACAAATCTCTCAATATTTTAAAAATAGTCAAGCTGTGAAAAAGGTCAGGATATCCTCTTTTTCTTTTCAATGGTGTAAAATTCATGACATCATTGCCACGGATGACTGAGCAACTATGGCCTCTTTCAAAGGGATCGAAATCGGCACGTGGTGTGTGGATAAACTCGCAAATATTCATGTTCTTGGCGCATTGTTCATACTAGATGTCCTCCTTTCCTACTTAATTTGTCAGGATGAGAGTTATCGGTAAGAGGTGTTTTTTTTAAAGAGATTTGAACCTATTTTACTGTTGATGCATTATTTTCCGTCGCCAGGGTTACGGGTCTCATATGACGTCAGCCGTCCCATCGGTAGCCGTGTTCTGACCGCGCATGTGCGCTGCGCAAACTGTGACGTCCCTTCGTACGAGCCTTTGGACAAAGAAACGATCTACAAAGTTGCGATGAACAGCTACATGGCGGGTGGCGGCTACGGATTCTCTGTAAATGAAAACAAACTCAGCCACGTCAAAGGTAGGGTGAATCGCTCTATGCACAAGTCGACACTGAATAGAACCGAGGCTTTACTGGCAGGGAAAAACAAAAAGAAACAAACACCCCTACAAACAAACAAAACAACGACGACATCGACGAATCGTTACTAATGTTATAGTGAAGAAAGTCATATTATGTGTACATGTAATATGATTTCCTTTCATTCTTCAGGTGACCTGGACGTGGACGTGACGTCAGACTATCTCCGGACTTATTCTCCAATCAGAACGGGCGTTGAAGGTCGCGTGACCATTTACAACGGCGATGCACCGTGTTATCAGGACCCGACCAGCGGAGCTGGCATGAGCTTAAAGGGGCACACGTCGTCGCTATTTCTCGTTTATTTCATCTTCCTTGCTTTAACTTGGGTATTTGGGGGTTCCTTTAATTTTGTTTGGATTGTATGGAATTGAGGAAAATGCCTGAGAGGGGCTAAAACCTCTTCAGTTCTGCTGAGTCCGACTAAATTGTATGCTGTATAGTGATTGTGTAGGACTACGATGGGCTCAACAGAGTTAGCTACTAGATGGCGAGAAACCTCAAGAACTGGTGTATAAATTCAATCAATGCTGGCCGAATTCCTGTTTTGGTGTTCTGATTGTGTTGATTCCTGCTGCTTTTGCTTGGTTTTAGCTACGGCCTTTTATTTTTTTCTGGTTTTCCAGCTCTGTCTTTATGCTGCACAAGCATGAACAAAGTACATTAAAAAATAACATGAATCATTGAATGTAATCATAAGCAAATATTGATCGCCTAATGTTACACGATATTCCCGTGAAAGTACTTAATTGGCCCCGATATTTCCACTAATTGGCGGGAACGCCAATCACTTATTCTATATCTCCGACGGGTCTTCTGAAATTATGCTGATGATTCTAGAATAGGATTAGGTTGGATATAACTTGAGGAAATCTACGTTAGAAACCGACAAACAACAGCCATGATGGCAAGACCAAGGGCCCCACCAAGTGGAGAGAAAACTTTCCCAAACAATAACATAAACTGTAAAGGGCGCCCTCTCCCCATCCCCCGCCTATAGCTTAGTGCAAAATGCATTGAAATTTGATGGCAGCACGCGTATAAGTTAAAGTATTTTTTTAAATAACATTATTTTTACCTATCTGTACAAGATTTGGCGCTTTTAGAAAAAAGGTGCACAATTAAATAGTAACTATAACACACATCCGCTGAGCTATAGTACGGATGGATCAGCATGACAATAATCGATTTTTATTTCGTAAAGATACAGATATAATAGGGCACGTTTATATGCATCGTCTACTATAACAACAACAGGTGGTACAAAGCTAAACATAAACAAATGTATCTCATTTTTTATTTTCAATCATCCCCCCAATTCATTTTCGTGTATTTAATTGCAAACCTCGCACAATTAATTACTTCAAGGGATGGACAAGCAAGTGACGACCAACGTTCCACGTCGGCAGTCGATCGCGAGAAGGCTCTGCACTGGCAAGTCTTGGCTGGTGAAACGCGCACCTTGTGAGCATATTTTATACCGTAAAGTACCGGTGTTTTTCTAGCCGTCACGAGATGGGGTGGTCCGCGAGACACTGGTGGCGTATGACCACCGCAGCGTGTCTGGTTGTAGTCATCGGGCTGATGTCTATCGAAGTCGGCATGCTGGTCAAGCAACGATCTACCAAGAACCCGGTGCGTCAGGTAACTACCACGTAAGTTGCAGTCGGAACGAAAATCCTATTTTATGTGTGATATTCAATTGCTGGATACCGCTGCAATAAATTAATAATTACTCGCCGAATCTGCTCGCGTATCATAGACCCCTGCTGTGCAAGGAGATCTTCCATAGACTTTACGTATCCAGACGATTTTTCTCTTAAAACTTTGTTTTTAATGTCAGGAGGATACACGAATGGACCAGGCAGAAGCTGCAACATGTTGAACCGAAGCAGGGAACGGACGTCATGTCTGCTCCCGATCCCTGCCAACCCAAGCACCGCTTCGTGTTCTTAAAGATCCACAAAACCGGTAGCTCCACCATCGCCACGATGCTGCAGCGCTACGGCTACCGGCGCGATCTAAACTTCGCGCTGCCCAGCGGAGCAGTCCACTATTTCCCAATGAGCAACCAGCGGTACCGTTTTGACACCCCGCGGTTAGTGTTCCAGTGGGACCTGACGGACAGGAGCGGCGCCCTGGTCTGGCCGGCGCTGGGCGGTTACCAAGTCTTGGTGAATCACGCTCTGTACAACCGTACTGTGGATGAAATTCTTATCCCAAACGCCGTATATTTCACCATGATTAGGGAACCCCTCGCCCGAACCGAATCCTTCTTCAGGTACTTCCTTTTCGACCAGGCAGTACCCCACAAGGCCAACGAAGACCCTCTTGAAGTCTTCATGAGGGACCCCCAAAGACACACCCAGAAACTGAGCAACAACAAATGGACCAAGTATTTCAGGAACGGCCAGTTTTTCTCTCTGGGGTTGGAGCGGGAAGATTACAAGAATCTCCGGGCGGTAGAGGCTGCCATCGACTCGCTGAGTCGCGGCATGGACCTGGTGATGCTGAACGAGTACTTCGACGAGTCATTGTTACTCCTGAAAAAGCTCATGTGTTGGGATTTCCAAGACATCGTTTACATCTCCAAAGCGGTTCGGAGACCCAGCGGAAACCACACAAGCATCCCAGCGGGGCTGAGAGACCAAATTCTCCGGTGGAACGCGGCTGACCTGAGGCTCTACCAACACTTCAACCGGACTTTCTGGACCAAAGTCCAAAAGTACGGTCCGGAATTTGGGCACGATTTGGACACGTTTCGGGCGATGAAGGAATCCGCAACGCAAGCGTGCATGGCAACGGGGAGCCGCCAGTGGGATTGGCACAACTCCAGCTACTGGAAATTGCCGCCAAATGCCAGCGAGAAATGCCGAGATTACACGAGAGATGACAAAGCTTGGGTCATGCTTATAAGATCGCGCATGCGCACAAAAAGCAGCGCTTTCATCAAATACAGAAATGGATAATAAACAGAACCTTTCCACAATCAACTGTTAATTTCTCTACAGCGTACTTGATATAGAAAAAGAACAATTCTCAAGAATGAAAAGAAGTGAATGCTTCAGATTTTAGGTATTTACTAGTCATTTTTCAAAGCTGGGCAGGAATTTTTGCTTGGTTTTAGCTACGGCCTTTTATTCTTTTTCTGGTTTTCCAGCTCTGTCTTTATGCTGCACAAGCATCAACAAAGTACATTAAAAATAACATGAATCATTGAATGTCATCATAAGCAAATATTGATAGCCTAATGTTACACGATATTCCCGTGAATAGCCAGTACTTGGCCCCGATATTTCCACTAATTGGCGGGAACGCCAATCCCTTATTCCATATCTCCGACGGGGCTTCCGACATTATGCTGATGATTCTAGAATAGGATTAGATTGGATATAACTTGCGGCAGTGTTGTAGTCGAGTACTTTTTTCCGAGTTCCGAGTAGTGCCGAGTACTTAGGTTGCCGAGTACGAGTACAAGTACGAGTACTGTACCTCCTAGTACAAGAACAGGTATCCGAGTACGAGTGCTTCTGAGTGCGAGTACGAGTATATACGAGTATTGTACGTACGAGTACGAGTAATTGTATTTCCCAACACGGCCATACTGCAAATGGTGCGTAATTGGCACAGGCCCAGTCAGACCGATATACAGACCCACTCACGGCTAGCTGTTAAATGTGCTTGTCCGGACGTGCACAGAGGAAAAACAGTAAACTTCGACTTCTCCACAAGCCAATCAACCATTTCAAACTGAAAATATCGATAAAATAAGGCTCTGGTATAAAGTCAAGCTTTACCATTTTTCACCCGAGTACTGCTATTCGAGAACGAGTACTTTGATGAGTACAATTTTGACATGTCAAATACAAGTACTTTGCTGCCCGAGTACGATTACCGTCATTTCGAGTACCGAGTACTTTGACGTTCGAGTACGAGTACGACCAAAAACGTACTCGAGTTGTACTCGAGAACCGAGTACGAGTACAACAACACTGACTTGAGGAAATTTACGTTAGAAACTGACAAACAACAGCCATGATGGTAAGACCAAGGGCACCACCAAGTGGCGAGAAAACTCTCCCTAACAATAACATAAACTGTAAAGGGCGCCCTCTCCCCATCCCCGACTATAGCTTAGTGCCAAATGTATTGAATTTGATGGCAGCACGCGTTAAGTTAAAGTATTTTTTAAATAACATTATTTTTACCTATCTGTACAAGATTTGGCGCTTTAAGGAAAAAGGAGCGCAATTAAATAGTAACTATAACACACATTCGCTGGGCTAAAGTACGGATGGATCAGCATGACAATAATCGATTTTTATTTCGTAAAGATACAGATATAATAAGGCACGTTTGTATGCATCGTCTACTATAACAACAACAGGTGGTACAAAGCTAAACAAAAACAAATGTATCTCATTTTTTATTTTCAATCATTGACGACCAACGTTCCACGTCGGCAGTCGATCGCGAGAAGGCTCTGCACTGGCAAGTCTTGGCTGGTGAAACGCGCACCTTGTGAGCATATTTTATACCGTAAAGTACCGGTGTTTTTCTAGCCGTCACGAGATGGGGTGGTCCGCGAGACGCTGGTGGCGTATGACCACCGCAGCGTGTCTGGTTGTAGTCATCGGGCTGATGTCTATCGAAGTCGGCATGCTGGTCAAGCAACGATCTACCAAGAACCCGGTGCGTCCGGTAACTACCACGTAAGTTGCAGTCAGAACGAAAATCCTACTTTATGTGTGATATTCAATTGCTGGATACCGCTGCAATAAATTAATAATTACTCGCCGAATCTGTTCGCGTTTCATAGACCCTTGCTGTGCAAGGAGATCCTCCACAGACTCAGATGCCTTTTACGTATCCAGACGATTTTTCTCTTAATTTTTTTTTTTTTATGTCAGGAGGATAAACGAATGGACCAGGCAGAAGCTGCAACATGTTGAACCAAAGCAGGGAACGGACACCATGTCTGCTCCCAATCCTTGCCAACCCAACCACCGCTTCGTGTTCATAAAGATCCACAAAACCGGTAGCTCCACCATCGCCACGATGCTGCAGCGCTACGGCTACCGGCGCGATCTAACCTTCGCGCTGCCCAGCGGAGCAGCCCACTCTTTCCCCATGAGCAACCAGCGGTACCGTTTTGACACCCCGCAGCTAGTCTTCCAGTGGAACCTGACGGACAGGAGCGGCGCCCTGGTCTGGCCGGCGCTGGGCGGGTACCAAGTCTTGGTGAATCACGCTCCGTACAACCGTACCGTGGATGAAATTCTTATCCCAAACGCCGTATATTTCACCATGATTAGGGAACCCCTCGCCCGAACCGAATCCTTCTTCAGGTACTTCCTTTTCGACCAGGCAGTACCCCACAAGGCCAACGAAGACCCTCTTGAAGTCTTCATGAGGGACCCGCAAAGACACACCCAGAAACTGAGCAACAACAAATGGACCAAGTATTTCAGGAACGGCCAGTTTTTCTCTCTGGGGTTGGAGCGGGAAGATTACAAGAATCTCCGGGCGGTAGAGGCTGCCATCGACTCGCTGAGTCGCGGCATGGACCTGGTGATGCTGAACGAGTACTTCGACGAGTCATTGTTACTCCTGAAAAAGCTCATGTGTTGGGATTTCCAAGACATCGTTTACATCTCCAAAGCGGTTCGGAGACCCAGCGGAAACCACACAAGCATCCCAGCGGGGCTGAGAGACCAAATTCTCCGGTGGAACGCGGCTGACCTGAGGCTCTACCAACACTTCAACCGGACTTTCTGGACAAAAGTCCAAAAGTACGGTCCGGAATTTGGGCACGATTTGGACACGTTTCGGGCGATGAAGGAATCCGCAACGCAAGCGTGCATGGCAACGGGGAGCCGCCAGTGGGATTGGCACAACTCCAGCTACTGGAAATTGCCGCCAAATGCCAGCGAGAAATGCCGAGATTACACGAGAGATGACAAAGCTTGGGTCATGCTTATAAGATCGCGCATGCGCACAAAAAGCAGCGCTTTCATCAAATACAGAAATGGATAATAAACAGAACCTTTCCACAATCAACTGTTAATTTCTCTACAGCGTACTTGATATAGAAAAAGAACAATTCTCAAGAATGAAAAGAAGTGAATGCTTCAGATTTTAGGTATTTACTAGTCATTTTTCAAAGCTGGGCAGGAATTTTTGCTTGGTTTTAGCTACGGCCTTTTATTCTTTTTCTGGTTTTCCAGCTCTGTCTTTATGCTGCACAAGCATCAACAAAGTACATTAAAAATAACATGAATCATTGAATGTCATCATAAGAAAATATTGATAGCCTAATGTTACACGATATTCCCATGAATAGCCAGTACTTGGCCCCGATATTTCCACTAATTGGCGGGAACGCCAATCCCTTATTCCATATCTCCGACGGGGCTTCCGACATTATGCTGATGATTCTAGAATAGGATTAGATTGGATATAACTTGCGGCAGTGTTGTAGTCGAGTACTTTTTTCCGAGTTCCGAGTAGTGCCGAGTACTTAGGTTGCCGAGTACGAGTACAAGTACGAGTACTGTACCTCCTAGTACAAGAACAGGTATCCGAGTACGAGTGCTTCTGAGTGCGAGTACGAGTATATACGAGTATTGTACGTACGAGTACGAGTAATTGTATTTCCGAACACGGCCATACTGCATATGGTGCGTAATTGGCACAGGCCCAGTCAGACCGATATACAGACCCACTCACGGCTAGCTGTTAAATGTGCTTGTCCGGACGTGCACAGATGAAAAACAGTAAACTTCGACTTCTCCACAAGCCAATCAACCATTTCAAACTGAAAATATCGATAAAATAAGGCTCTGGTATAAAGTCAAGCTTTACCATTTTTCACCCGAGTACTGCTATTCGAGAACGAGTACTTTGATGAGTACAATTTTGACATGTCAAATACAAGTACTTTGCTGCCCGAGTACGATTACCGTCATTTCGAGTACGAGTACTTTGACGTTCGAGTACGAGTACGACCAAAAACGTACTCGAGTTGTACTCGAGAACCGAGTACGAGTACAACAACACTGACTTGAGGAAATTTACGTTAGAAACTGACAAACAACAGCCATGATGGTAAGACCAAGGGCACCACCAAGTGGCGAGAAAACTCTCCCTAACAATAACATAAACTGTAAAGGGCGCCCTCTCCCCATCCCCGACTATAGCTTAGTGCCAAATGTATTGAATTTGATGGCAGCACGCGTAAGTTAAAGTATTTTTTAAATAACATTATTTTTACCTATCTGTACAAGATTTGGCGCTTTAAGGAAAAAGGAGCGCAATTAAATAGTAACTATAACACACATTCGCTGGGCTAAAGTACGGATGGATCAGCATGACAATAATCGATTTTTATTTCGTAAAGATACAGATATAATAAGGCACGTTTGTATGCATCGTCTACTATAACAACAACAGGTGGTACAAAGCTAAACAAAAACAAATGTATCTCATTTTTTATTTTCAATCATTGACGACCAACGTTCCACGTCGGCAGTCGATCGCGAGAAGGCTCTGCACTGGCAAGTCTTGGCTGGTGAAACGCGCACCTTGTGAGCATATTTTATACCGTAAAGTACCGGTGTTTTTCTAGCCGTCACGAGATGGGGTGGTCCGCGAGACGCTGGTGGCGTATGACCACCGCAGCGTGTCTGGTTGTAGTCATCGGGCTGATGTCTATCGAAGTCGGCATGCTGGTCAAGCAACGATCTACCAAGAACCCGGTGCGTCCGGTAACTACCACGTAAGTTGCAGTCAGAACGAAAATCCTACTTTATGTGTGATATTCAATTGCTGGATACCGCTGCAATAAATTAATAATTACTCGCCGAATCTGTTCGCGTTTCATAGACCCTTGCTGTGCAAGGAGATCCTCCACAGACTCAGATGCCTTTTACGTATCCAGACGATTTTTCTCTTAATTTTTTTTTTTTTTATGTCAGGAGGATAAACGAATGGACCAGGCAGAAGCTGCAACATGTTGAACCAAAGCAGGGAACGGACACCATGTCTGCTCCCAATCCTTGCCAACCCAACCACCGCTTCGTGTTCATAAAGATCCACAAAACCGGTAGCTCCACCATCGCCACGATGCTGCAGCGCTACGGCTACCGGCGCGATCTAACCTTCGCGCTGCCCAGCGGAGCAGTCCACTCTTTCCCCATGAGCAACCAGCGGTACCGTTTTGACACCCCGCGGCTAGTCTTCCAGTGGAACCTGACGGACAGGAGCGGTGCCCTGGTCTGGCCGGCGCTGGGCGGGTACCAAGTCTTGGTGAATCACGCTCTGTACAACCGTACCGTGGATGAAATTCTTATCCCAAACGCCGTATATTTCACCATGATTAGGGAACCCCTCGCCCGAACCGAATCCTTCTTCAGGTACTTCCTTTTCGACCAGGCGGTACCCCACAAGGCCAACGAAGACCCTCTTGAAGTCTTCATGAGGGACCCGCAAAGACACACCCAGAAAATGAGGGAAAACAATTGGACCAAGTATTTCAGGAACGGCCAGTTTTTCTCCCTGGGGTTGAAGCGGGAAGATTACGATAATCTCCGGGTGGTAGAAGCTGCCATCAACTCGCTGAGTCGCGGCATGGACCTGGTGATGCTGAACGAGTACTTCGACGAGTCATTGTTACTCCTGAAAAAGCTCATGTGTTGGGATTTCCAAGACATCGTGTACATCTCCAAAGGGGTTCGGAGACCCAGCGGAAACCACAAAAGCATCCCGGCGGGGCTGAGAGACAAAATTCTCCGTTGGAACGCGGCTGACCTGAGGCTCTACCAACACTTCAACCGGACTTTCTGGACCAAAGTCCAAAAGTACGGTCCGGAATTTTTGCACGATTTGGACACGTTCCGAGCGATGAAGGAATCCGCAACGCAAGCTTGCATGGCAACGGGGAGCCGCCATTGGGATTGGCACAACTCCAGCTACTGGAAATTGCCGCCAAATGCCAGCGAGAGATGCCGAGATTACACGAGAGATGACAACGCTTGGGTCAATCTTATAAGATCGCGCATGCGCGCAAAAAGCAGCGCTTTCATCAAATACAGCAATGGATAATAAACAGAACCTTTTCACAAATCAACTGTTAATTTCTCTACGGCGTACTTGATATAGAAAAAGAACAATTCTCATTAATGCAAAGAAGTGAATGCTTCAGATTTTAGGTATTTACTAGTCATTTTTCAAAGCTGGGCAGGAATTTTTGAAAAAGGAAAGCAAGCACATGCACTTCTATCAAAAAGTGGCTGCATTTTGTGAAAAGTTTTAGCATCAGAGAAAAAAATGTATCGTGATGTACAACTGGAAATACATACTTCATTTCCAAGAACATTTATGACAGATTTTAATCCCCAAAAAACTCAAGGGAGAAACGAAAAGAAAGAATCTTCCGGCTCGTTCGTGAAAACATCTTTTCCAGTCATATAACTTTCTTTAGATTATTTATTAATCTTTCTTAGTATTTTGAAAAGTTTCAATATAAAATCCTAGTTATCTTCGTAATTGGCATGGTGTTGGCGACTGAAATAAAGTTTTCATTTGTGTTACTAGGACTTTGCAAACTGAACACTGCTTTATAAGTTTTACGATAGTCCTGTCTGCATTCTGCAACTGCAGACAAAAGTGTTTACATCATAAAGCTGAAATCCCTTAGGGCAAGTAAAAAAAAAAATCCTCCTTTTTCGCCCGCAGCCTTTTAACAAATTTTTTTCATAAAATACATTACATTTTAGCAAACATCTCGTCAATATATTGCCTTTTAATTTTTTTCCAACAAAATTGTAGCTATGTAGAACGGGTTACGGCTCCTTCGGATACAATTTTTCATCAGCAAAACAGCTGAGAAAATGAAAGAATCAATCCGCTTTTGGAAAAAAAAGAAGGGAAAAAAAAAGAGCCAGCCTTCATTTTTTTCATAAAGCCTGGCCTGATTGAAGCTGTTGAAATTGCAAGGGGGAAATTAATGTCTGTCTCATCACAGGCTCCTACACCCTGGATTAGGATCAGCCAAAAACAATTCACATTCAACGCCTCCAAAAGGCTGTTCCAATTAGAAAGGGGCAATCAAAAGGCTCTTCAAATTACAAAGCAAACTCAAACACATTGAATCTTCGCTATCCAATTAAGCCCCCTCGCTGTACGATAAATGCAACCACAATCAGATTTAGGCTGTTGATATCACAGAGGGAAAATTACCCATTTTTCAATTTTTGAGTAATCATATTTCTCAACTCTGGATCTGTACCGGCAGATATCGTTGCATTAACAGAGGCCAGTGTCTGTCTTGAACTCCGTACGATGATTTTCTGGACCATACTCAGACTAGAATGGATAAATTTCAGATCCAATAGCTGAAGACAAAAAAAAAAGACACAAAGGCAAAAATAAGAATGAATTTGCGTAACAAGATCAAAATTATTATCAGTTATATCCTTATTTTGTAAAGAAATATTTCAATAACTAAATGTTAGTTGTTGTTTTTTGGTTTGACGACTTATTCAAAAGTAAATAACATTCATATTGCTAGGAAGAAAGGTATTGGAGAAAAAAATGCGGGAGGCGAAACTCAAAATAGCACGGGAAATCCATCTTGCATTCTCTACACTATACTATTCATGAATAATTCATGAGTCACCTGGTGTCCGCCTGTTGTCTCTTGCCCAGGGAGTGCTGTGATTGGCTGGTTGGCTTGGCAGTGCAGGTGTACCAGGGAAGTGTACAACTGTACAATGGTGGCAAATAGCTGGTGATCATTAGTGGCTTGCTGCTGTACGCCCAGACAGAAATAACTGTCGAGGATCCTGGGCCAGGGCAAAACACAATGCACCAATGATTAAATGCTACATTATAATAAAAACAACAACAGATTGTTTTTTTTTGAGCCAATCTGGTGGGGTGGGGTTCTAATTTGAAGCTGGTGGATTCTTAAAAACCAGACGTAGCTTTTTCCTCCAAGAGTGATTATGAATAGCAAACTACCTACCCAACAAAGACAAAATCGTCTGAAGTCATTCTTAATGATACTTGAATGGCAAACTAGTACCAAGACAACAGGGACAGGAGCAACGTCACATTTTGGACCCTCAATTTAAAATGAAGTTACCTGAAACAGACCACAGAGTACAGACTCGTAACCGACTTCTGTAGGACGTCTCTTCTCAACATGGTTAACCCTGAACACAGAATATAACAAAAATCTTTTCAAGTGACCCGAGGAGAAAAAAAAAACATTTTAAGATTCAACATACATTGGTCTTATAGAAGCAAATTTGTTTGAGCAGTTGCAAGCTACAATATTCAAAATTCTGGCCGTCAAATTTGAATTACAAATTTTAACAGTAACACCGGCATCAAAGGAATCTCGCCGAATCAAATTATTCCTAAGATTTAAAGGGTTCATGCAATGAATTTTCTTAAGAACATATTCTGTGCAACTTTCTCCTCCTCTTAAAGGTATGAAAACTATTTGACATCTCTTCTTTCATGAATTGCGCACATTCCATACCGGATGTGATTTCTGTTTCATTGCGGACCATGTGGACAAAATTTTGAGCGTCGCATAATGCAATCCGACCGTTGGTGATTCGAAACGGAGCCTGAGCGAGTGACGGGAATTGTAAATTTACAACACAGATAAGTTTTACAGAATTTCCTACATTATTACGCTTTTCAATGAGAAAAAAAAAACATCTCTAATCTGGAATAAAAGAGTAATGAATCAGTCTGAACGGCCGTTTCAAACCTTGCAGAGTCATGACCTTGATGACGCACAGGTCACTAGTCACGCAAAATCTAACCAATCAGAGCGTGAATTCATCAGAGTATCCCAGCGTCCTGTTTGCAGGGCGGGGGGTACGAGCGAAGGGGGTTACAGTCGACTCTCGTTAGTACAAACTCTGTTAATACAAAATTCTGGTTATAACAAACATAAAGCCTTGGTCCCGACTGTGCATTTATGTGCGAAATGAATGGGACTGATGTTCCTCTTAATACAAAATTCTGATACAACAAACAATTTGGCTAGGTCCGAACGAGTTTGTTATAACGAGACTCGACTGTATGTGCAAGGAGTCTACAAGTTTCACCTGTGCAGTCCATGAGACAATGCGGCTGTTCCTTCAGGACTAATCCAGCTGCCTGACAATGGGCCTCAATCCTAGAGGTGTGAGTTGGGCAAGTAATCATGAGCCAGGCTGACTGAGCGACGTGATACTCAAACAGCGAGCGTCTTATATCATCCTGGGAAAAACCCCAAAAAACACCAGGGATTTTAAAGAGACATTACTCCTAGGATGCGCCCAATTGGGCTACTAAACATGTTTTAAACAAATTGATGTTAATTGGAAAGAGGATTTAAAAGTAGGATATAAACGTCCACACAAACGTCCTTAAAGGTGCAGCACCCGATTTCACGACTTCAGTCGTTTAATTCATTTCAGGAAAGTTGCGATGTGTTGAACGCTTCTTAAGTTCCTTGACAATGGCTTAAAACACGTCGCAAGCTACGACCTGTCTAGTGGTCGTCCCAAAATAAGAAGAGTCCATTTTTAGCCAGTTTTGTGCCATAAACATTTCATAAACAAGATTATAATACCGAGGCAATGTGTGTATAAAGTTGTAAAAAGAAAATTCATTGAATATTTATGAATTAGCCTGGAATATTGCAGTTGAAATTAAGTAGCTACACAGTCCACTGAGAGCTCGTTTTCCTTTAAAATTGCATCACACGGCCGCCATTTTGTCCTACGTTTTAACAAATTTCGAGCGGAGATCCGACGACTCTTTGTTGAATACCAGACGACTATTTACTGTACGCTGACTTAATACATAAAACAGTCATCGAGTTGTGCTATAAATACACATACGACGCGTCACACTTAGGACGTGTTTTGTGAAATGGATCGCAGAATGCGTCGCAGCTACGATGGGGATACGATGCGTCGCAGCGCTGCGATGCATCGTAAGTTACGATGAGTTTCATGAAATCGGGTGCAGATGTCTTATCACTCGACCATCGAGTATGCTGGGGTCAGCGGGCTGCAAACTGACATCAATAACAATGTATGTTTATACCACTAAAGAGCGGCTAAAAAGGCATAATACGTTTTGAATGTACGACTCCCAAACACAAAATTCAGTCAAAGGCTCATATGTACCTTTTTGAAAGTTTCCCCTAACTTCTGATAGAGCTTAACTTCAAAGTTGGCAAGATCTTCAAATGAGTCGGTTCTCTGAACAAGTTGAAGCATAGAGCTGACAACCACAATTACTAAGGGAAATTTGGAGAATTGTGGAAAAGGTAGAAATTGTCAAAATACTATTAAACTACTACTAAGGGAATAAATATGTGCTTGGCCAGTTTTAAACACTATGTTTGAGACGGGTTGGAGTCTGGATGCTGATAATTACCCAAGTCAGACTCCAACCAGTCTTAAACATGGTGTTAAATACCAGCCAAGCACATATTTTTTCCCATTCATAAATACATTTTCGGACACAAAATCAAAACTTTTCGGTCAAAAAACTAAAACATGTATAAAAATTATAATTTTCCAATGATTTTGTTCAACAAGTTCACTTCATGTTTTTGGGACGCCCCGCTTGCTATATGATGGGAGGTCCAGTCTCGCCAGTAGTGGTAAACTCTATATATGGAGATTGGCGCATTGCACATACTGCGCAATGTGGCGCAGAATGCAGCTGTGACGGTGTGTTGTGAGTTTCAGAACTATGAAATGCTGACTCACTGGTAGTGTTGCGCATGCCTACGTGAGGATTGTGAACGTTCAACCAATAAAACGTTAATAGGCACCGGATTTCATAGGAGTCCAAATTTCATGTGACACTGGAAAAGTGTATTAGACCAGCCAGCTGGTCTTTATTATTCGTTTAAAACCGGCCACGTGACGGGCTCTCAACAAATAGGGATAGCTAAACTGTCTTAGGTATTTATGAATGAAAATTTAATAAAGGCACACAGGAACACTGGTAATAACCCGGAAATGGTTTAACCAACCTAACAATTTAACAATTTAACTTTGCTCAAAGTAACAGGAAAAAACACTACTTTTCAAAAGCAGTTTCAAAATTGCTAAAAGTGCAAAAAGTTATCAATGCAGTATTCTTGCTTTAAAGCTAGAGTCCATCATTTGCAGCCATCCGAAAAGTAACTGGCGTAATTATTGTTGAAAAACAAACTTGGTTGCAAGATAGTAAGGGAACTAAACTCCCTGTGAAATTATTCTTTCTGGGAAGCTGTCATTTTGAAGTAATCAATGCAAGAAGGCATTTCCAACGGTGATTCTTAAGAAGCACCGTAGGAAAATTTAAATTAGTAGTTCGTTTTGTTATTCAGCGCAGCGCGCACAAGTATTGGAACGACACACACGCGCGCGCGGTTGTTATATTTCGTCGGATCAGTGCGCGACGTCGCGTATAGCTGCAATTCAAAACAATTCAAAACATGATTCAGTAACCTTTGATTTGAAATTGAAATCTTAGAATGCTGTTTTCCTCGGAATGTACAGCTGAAGCTTAGCTGAAACTTCATCAGGTTAGTTGTTCAGTACCCTTCTTTAGATTTTGAGCACGTTTGTTGCTTCAAACGAACAAAATGCTCAAATTACAAATGATGGACTGTAGCTTTAACTCACTGCACGTGTTTGCCTGGATTCTGTCCGGTGACATGTAGCACGTTTGCGAATCTGTCCTGCAGATTGAGTGGACCAGCTTGTGTAGTTGGTTCAGCGACGCCAGGAGGCGCGGCTGATTGGAACTCGTCGCGTTCAGTTGACCAATCACAGGGTTCAGCATCTCCCAGTGACTCTTTCATGAATAGATTAGATGCGATTACATTAGATTAGATTTGATTGGATAAGATTTGATTACAATAGAGTATACAAGATTATTTGTTGTGTCCGCAAAATAAAAATGTTTCATTTTGGCAGGGTTTATTATTGGGAGGGGGTTTGTTCACAGGGCCTGGGAACATGATGCTCGTGTTTTTGTTTCTCCATTTTTTTTACAGATAAGAATAAAAAAATAATGGAATAAAAGTACACCTTTACAATGAATTCGTTCAAGAATTATTACTAGGAGGTATACACAATGTATTTAACACGTTTCTATGCACCCCGTATATATTGGAATTCATTTTCTAATTTCCTTCACTATAACAGCGTTTTAATTTGTAAAGGCTTATTAAATCTCTAATAACAATAATATTAGTATAAAAAACAACAGATTGTAACGAACCTCCATATGACTTAACGTGTAGAGGCGCACGCGCGTGCGTGCATGCGCATATGACATAAGTCACTATCAGCCACAGAGAAATCGAAATTGTTCGTTTCACAAAGTGACCTATCTGGATAGGTCGCCGTTCGCGCGCATGAAATATGAAAATGAAATTTTCACGAAGTAACTTATGGATTTGGCGCCTATGTTTTACCTGGTAATGATGAGTTTTTGCCTTAGAAACAATTTAAAATCATAATTCAACTATCCAACTTTCTTATATATAAAAACTGAGTCAATAAAAATTAGTGTTCTGGGTGAAAGGGTGGATGCAAAATAGGCCCAACTTCAAACGCGTTTTTCTCGAAATGGCAAAAACTGAGATAGATCAGATCGTGGTACGATCGACGAATTGTGACGCACTTTGAGACCTTTGGTATAAAGCGCTTATAATAACAGCATATTGTACAACATGGCCTGATTATTACTTACAAGGACCGAGAGAGTAAAGATGGGACATTCTTGGAGTAATCGGTCTACGATTGCCGCCACGTTGTTTAGTCTTGTAGGCTCTGTCTGCACCGTGTGAGTGAACAATTGCAAAACACCCTGAGAAAATACAATATATGAAAATAGTATTATGGTGTTTTGGGATCAAGAACATCTGCATTACTTTTGGTACATTGTATTGCATTGTATTTGTTCTCTGATGAATTCAGAAACTATAGAGTGCTCGGGGGTTTGGGGCAGTACAGGGAGTAACAGGCAGGGCAGTTTGGGTCAGTACAGGGAGTAACAGGCAGGGCAGTTTGGGTCAGTACAGGGAGTAACAGGCAGGGCAGTTTGGGTCAGTACAGGGAGTAACAGGCAGGGCAGTTTGGGGCAGTACAGGGAGTAACAGGCAGGGCAGTTTGGGGCAGTACAGGGAGTAACAGGCAGGGCAGTTTGGGGTGGCACAGGGAGTAACAGACGGAGAAGTTTGGGGCGGTACAGGGAGTAACAGGCAGGGCAGTTTGGGGCAGCACAGGGAGTAACAGGCAGGGCAGTTTGGGGCGATACAGGGAGTACCAGGCAGGGCAGTTTGGGGCAGCACAGGGAGTACCAGGCAGGGCAGTTTGGGGCGATACAGGGAGTAACAGGCAGGGCAGTTTGGGGCAGTACAGGGAGTAACAGGCAGGGCAGTTTGGGGCGATACAGGGAGTACCAGGCAGGGCAGTTTGGGGCAGTACAGGGAGTACCAGGCAGGGCAGTTTGGGGCAGTACAGGGAGTAACAGGCAGGGCAGTTTGGGGCAGTACAGGGAGTAACAGGCAGGGCAGTTTGGGGTGGCACAGGGAGTAACAGACGGAGAAGTTTGGGGCGGTACAGGGAGTTCCAGGCAGGGCAGTTTGGGGCAGTACAGGGAGTAACAGGCAGGGCAGTTTGGGGCAGTACAGGGAGTACCAGGCAGGGCAGTTTGGGGCAGTACAGGGAGTAACAGACAGGGAAGTTTGGGGCGGTACAGGGAGTAACAGGCAGGGCGGTTTGGGGTGGTACAGGGAGTAACAGGCAAGGCAGTTTGGGGCAGTACAGGGACTAAATGGGCATATATACAGGCAAGATTCAATGAGAGCTAAGAATATTAGTCCCCCTTCCCCATGTCTGTATAGCCCCTCCCCCACAACTCCCATCATTTTTCAGGGTGACCAAAATATAAAAAAAATATTTCACTTTACCTGCAATATGACTGCCACTATCTCGTAACTTAGAATGCCAAATTCTTCCTGTGCATGCTCACGCTAGAAAAGAGGGGAAAAAAGAAGAGCAACTTTCCGTGAAATATAAAATCTTTCTGTTTGACAGATTTGCCCAAGGGATATCATCCAAGAACTAAGACTAGGCACAACAGTTAAGGAGTTGTTTGACAAGATTTGTTTTCAGTTTCGTAAGTCGAGTTATTCTTCTGAATCTCAAAGTATACTGAAGTAAAAACAAACTTGCAAAGAGTCAGAGTTTCTTTAAAAAAAAAAATTAATTATTAAAAAAATTCAGATAAATAATGAAAGGTTTGCGGAAACACCATGTGCGAATAATTTCTCAACTAAGAGAATGGTTCTGAAAAGAACCAGAGGTATAAACTCGACGTTCCGGTCAGTATGCTGTGACTGTCTTTAGGAGAGTGCCTAAACTCTAAGAAAGTGAATACTTAAGTAGCAAAAGGCGAAATAAATGAAGTGTGAAGTTGCATCCTGTGAGGATGCCAAGTAGACGGGATCCTAGAGCAAGCTGAAGACGGTCAGAGTATACTGACCGGAACGTCGAGTTTATACCTCTGGTTCTTTTCAGAACCATTCTCTTAGTTGAGAAATTATTCGCACATGGTGTTTCCGCAAACCTCTCATTATTTAGTATCTCCACCAAAGCCTCAAATCTTACTTAAAAAATTTCAGATTCCTATTGATGACAAAAGCCCAAGTTTCTGAGACCAAGGTTCTGAAAAGTTTTGAAAGCCCAATTTACCAGTTGTACGTTGACGTAGTCGATCAAGGGGTTGAGGCCTGGTGGTTTAGGGGGGTTGTGTAGGTTATCTGTTAGCAGGAGGTATGGTGGCAGGCTGTGGGATAACCTGAAAGACAAAAAGGATCACACAGGGCGAGTCAAAAAAACGGAACCCAAACCCCCAAAAATATATTTTATATTTTAAAAAAATATGTAGCACCAATGATAATTATGACTGGAAAGCCCATTTATTAAACTACTTTTCAGTGAGAAATTAATTTCAATTGCTCTACACGTTAAAATGTTATCACTATTTGAACGAAGTGACTTTAAACTCAGTTTCGTCCAAAAAAGCAATTTCCTGTGTGTTCTGACTGTTTGGAACAACAAAGAAAATGACACTGAACACTTGTTTCAATAAATGTAGTACAAAAAAGTACACAATATCTTTATTAACAACCCTGCTTTGGCGAACAGTAGGATTTACAAAACCTATTTTTTTTTTTAAGACGGGCCTTCGAAAGGACTTTGTTGAATATTTGTAACTTTTAAACCGAGGTTTTAACGCTGGTAATGTTTGAAGACAATTGTAACGACAATTCTTGAAATGGCATTTTAGGACTAAACAGATTTCAGGGTCATTTAGTTAAAATGATGACATACTTGGAAGTTAAAATGATGACATACTTGGAACAGATTGAGCAATTTAAGTATTTTTTTTCAAACCCTCATTTCAACCTCTGCTTAGTTTTGTCTCATTTTTTCAGAGCACCTCGCAAATGTCAAATAATTGTTGGATTTATCCTTGAAATAATATATGTATTTCTTTTGCTTGTTTATAATGCTGCGTAAAAAAATAATTTATTGTCTGGTCTCAAGGAGCTGTCACCCCTTCTATACAGCTACAATTTGTTGAAAAAGACAATGATATTGACACAATTTGCAAAACATATTGCAAATGTATGAATAAAACAAAAGGAGGGCAGGGACGAGAAACTGGTTTATTTTTTAACCCCAAAAAACCCTCAACATTTTTTTTCAAATTTGACACACAAAACCAAACAGGTGTACATAAGGCCAAAAAAAGAAAGTCTCCGGTTTCTGGTATGGAGCTTGCCCAAAAAGGGCGACGCGGCTTTTTTTTTTTTTTTACCCGACTTTTTTGCTTCAAATGTCGGCTGATGACTGCAAATGGTGCCCGACTAAACTTAGTACAAATAGGCCTATATGGGATTGGGAGTCCAGAGAGGCCACATAAGCTTATTCTCGACCATAACTAATCTAAAAACACGTTACAAATGTGCAGCAGCAGGATTCCAGTCAAACCAGTGAGTTTGGCGGTTTTGAGACATCACCTTTCATTGAAAAAAAAAACTTTTTCATTTTGCCGACGCGCATGGCTACGGCGACGCGCGCGCATACCAGAAACCGGAGACTTCTTTTTTTTGGCCTAAGGGATGTATGTAGTAATGTGACCTTTTTTTTTTCAAAAGGAAACTTACATAATCTGGTTAGAAACTTCCAATCCCACCGCTAACTCAAGCTTCTGGTCAACTTCGCTCCCTGTCCCGGCTTTGGATAATTTCTCAAGTCTGGCTCCAAACTCGGCAAGTAGCCAGGGACAGTCTGATGCTATGGGTGGTGTCGAGTGCGGCATGGCAGGGGACCAGACTGACAGTAGCTCCTTTTGATAAAAAAAAAATGGACACTCCAAAATTGGTAAAGATGAAGCAAATACTTTTCAAGTATATTAATTTAGAAATTCAGCAGACAAGTTGTTAAATCAGTCGTATGCACGCCACAGCACACATACATGTATACAGTAAGTGTGTACGAATCCACACTCTTTAAAGGGAAGATACAACATTTGCAAACATCAAAAAAACAAAATGATCAAATTATCACAAAATACCTTACTGGATTGCTAGGGATTGACAGTCTAAAGCATCCTGTAAAATTGTGGCTCCTGGTGTGCTGACATTTTCAAGAGAAACTGTATTTTTCCAACGCTGGTCGGCACCAGCGTTGGAAAAAACTTGCTTTTTTCCAAAACTGCTCCTAATTTTTTATATTTAGTTATTCCGCATTTTCTTTGCGATTGATTACACACCTGTGAAGGGGTACAAGCCTGCTAGAGTGATTCTTTGACCTTACAATTCCCCAAAGTCTTTACATTTCTGCGTTAAATCTTAAGTGGGGTCAGGGAACCAGACTACAAGAACATGATTGGTTTTCTTGGTTTTTCCAGCATATACAAGCCCAAAACGTGAAACAAGTCAGTTTAACAACATTTGCTATAACATACTAATCCTCCAAATCCGTTTATTTCTGAAAATTGCAGCAAAACCATATGTTGTACATTCCTTCACTGTCACGCATGAGTAAGTTAAAGACCGCCCTCTATGTTTAAGCAAGGAGTCCATTGAAATAAATCCTTTACCTGTAAGAGTTGTAGAATTTCTTGGCAAGAGCTGGAACATCCGCATGACTGGCATGGTTTGGCCTCATGAGGGCAGCATTCGCTAGTCGTCACTGCGGGTTCCGCGTACCTATCCAGCAGTGCGTGGAGTATGTCCGTGCTGACCCGCTTGTAAGCAGTCCTGGTGTTTTCCGGAGAAGAGGGTTGCCTGTGTTGCGGAAGGTAAAGTGAGTATAGGGCCCAGTGATGGTACTTCTTTCTGTCAAAAGAAAAAAAGGAAACCTAGACTTTTTTCCAAAAAATAAAAACAGCTCATTTAAAGCTACAGTCCATCATTTGTAATTTGTGCATTTTGTTCGTTTGAAGCAACAAAAGAGTTCAAAATCTAATAAAGGATACTGAGCAACTAACCTGATGAAGTTTCAGCTAAGCTTCAGCTGTACATTCCGAGAAAAACAGCATTCTAAGATCTCAATTTCAAATCAAAAGTTACTGAATCTGTTTTGAATTGTTTTGAATTGCAGCTATACGCGACGTAGCGCACTGATCCGACGAATTATAACAACCGCGCGCGCATGTGCGTCGTTCCAATACTTGTGCGCGCTGCGCTGAATAACAAAACGAACTACTAATTTAAATTTTCCTACGGTGCTTCTTAAGAATCACCGTTGGAAATGCCTTCTTTCGTTGATTACTTCAAAATGACAGCTTCCCAGAAAGAATAATTTTACAGGGAGTTTAGTTCCCTTACTATCTTTCAACCAAGTTTGTTTTTCAACAATAATTACGCCAGTTACTTTTCGGATGGCTGCAAATGATGGACTATAGCTTTAAGGCAAAGTGGACCATTTACAGCTATCAAAAACGTTACCGACCAAATTATTGTGAAAAAGCTTACTTGGTTTAAAGATATAAATGGGACTGAGAAATAAGTCATTTTGAAGAAAAATAAATGAAGGTCATTTCCAAAGATGTGTCAAGTGACACATTTTTGGAAATTTCTGTGAAAACCGGCCCAAAGCGTTCTAATCTGTAGTTGATTTGTAATTGGGCAACCGCGTGGATGGGTGCCAGCGAGCCAAATAAGAATCATGTCCCGAATGCTGATTTTGGGATTGTGTCACAAGAGGGCACAAGTCAAAACATGATTCGGCAACTTTGGAATTTAAATCCAGATCCAGAATATTGTGTTTATTTTTGTTCTGTTTGCTCAAAATATGCAGTATTCACAGAGCTAAAACTTCATCAGGTTAGCTGTTAAGTACCCGTCTTAAGATTTTGAGCAGTTTTGTTGCTTCAAACGAAAAAAAAAATGCACAAATTACAAATTGTCCACTCTACCTTTAATTCACTCAAAGATTTAAATTGAAAGTTGTAAAACGACAGCCCTTTAAAGGGAAAATACAACATTTGCAAACATCAAAAAATAAAACTACCAAATCATTTTGAAATACCTTGCTGGACTGTTAGTGAATGACAGTGTAAAGCATCCTGTAAAATCATGGCACCTGGTATACTGTCATTTTCAAGAAAAGTGCTATTTTTGTACCAATTTCCAACGCTGATCGGCCGATCAGCGTTGGAAAAAACTGGCTTTTTTTTCAAATACTGGCCCCAATTAACCACCGCACTTGTTTGCAATCGATTACAAACCTATGAACGGGTACGAGCCAGCTAGACTGGTTCCCTGACCTTACAATTCCCCAATGTATGTAAACTGCTCTGTTTCTTCTTATATGGAGTCAGGGAACCAGACTACAGGAAAATGATTGTTTTTCTTGGTTTTTATAGCATTTTCGAATCCAAAACCTCAAAAAAGTCAGTGTAACTATATTTGCTATATATTTCCAACCCCCAAATTCCATCCAAAAAGGACGAGAAATTGATACTTACCGTTGGGTTTGGTTGAGGCAGTCTTGACACAAATGAACCCTCAGCTCTTGACGTAACCACTCCTTAAACGTCATCTACACAACGAAAAACGACAACGCTGGCTTTATTGTTTTGCTTTGTTTGTGCTTAAAATTTATCAAATCTTTCTCAACATTTGTAGATTCTTGAAGATGCATTCTCCAAGCTATGTTTTAGTTTCACAAAAAAATCCACCGTTTAGTAATTGAATTATTTCTTCCCAAAATTTGAATTATTGGCAGCCAGACAATAATTGGCGTCTTCCAGTGACTACATGTCTTCACCTGATCTTGGCTTGACAGCAGCTTCGTTGCTCCTTCGGTAGACCTATCCACTGACACTGTCGTCTGACTACTGGAAGGTGAGAAACAAGTTGATTGTCTTGAAGCCAGAGCGAATTCCGGACGATAGGCTGGATCCAATCTTGGCCGAAGGTAGCTGCACTAATGTGACCAAAGTAAACAGATACACAGGCTTAATAAATACAGCATGAGTAAAAAAAAACCGAAACCCAAATGTTGGGACCAATGTTTTAGTGAAGTTCTGCATGTAGCACTTTCAAAATCTAGGACCAGCGTTGGAAAAAACTGTTTTTTTTTTCAAAAACTGGCCCCAATTGACCATCGCACTTGTTTGCAATCGATTACACACCTATGAACGGGTACAAGCCAGCTAGACTGGTTCCCTGACCTTACAATTCCCCAATGTATGTAAACTGCTCTGTTTCTTCTTATATGGAGTCAGGGAACCAGACTACAGGAAAATGATTGTTTTTCTTGGTTTTTATAGCATTTTCGAACCCAAAACCTCAAAAAAGTCAGTGTAACTATATTTGCTCTATATTTTCAACCCCCCAATTCCATCCATTTCTGAAAATTACAGCAAAAGCAAATGATGTATACTCCCTTTAACTCAACGGCTGTGCACTCCTTAGTGTTTCAATAAGGTTTAAAAAAAAGATTCATTTGCCAAATAAATAAAATATGAATTTAAGCTTGAAAACAGTCAATATTTCTTACTTTTTGCTTCAGCACTTGTGGAATAACCTGACTTTGTCTGCTTTCAGGCAGATCTGAAGCATATGTGAAAACTGCATCACAGAATCTAGAACAAAGAAAGTCAAAGTTGTAACTTAATATTATATCAACTTTGGCAATAAGAATTTCAATCTAAATTCTAAAATAAGGTTAGTTGCACGTACTTAAGTGTGAGTTTCATCGCGTCACCAGTGTGCAGCTGCAGGTTCTTGGATACGAGGTTGAGCAGAGACATTTGGTCTGGTTCCCCATCCTGCTGCTGCTTCTGACCATGCGTGCTGTGAGTCTGAAGCTTGACGGGTGGCAACCTCTCTCCCAGGGCATTCATATGTAGTAGGAGGCTAGCTAGGCTTTTGATGTGGTCTTCAGCTAAAGTTTTCCCCTGACAAAAAAAACAGCAGCAAATCATCTTAAAAAACGTTATTTTTGGATAAAGGTAGATTGGACCTTTTGCAGCTACCCAAAAAGTAACCGACTAAATTATTGTTAAAAAGCTAACTTGGTTTAAAGATAGTAATGACACTAAACTCCTTGTGAAATTATTTGTTTTGACATGCTTTCATTTTGAAGAACACAGCAAAAGAAGGTCTTTTCCAAAGATGTGTCAAGTGACACATTTTTGGAAATTTCCATTGGTAGTTGGTTTGTAATTTGGTGAATCTGTGAATGGGTACATGCAATGGGTGCATGATTTGACTTGTGATTTCACTTGAGTTAACTTGTGATTTGACTTGTGATTTGGTGATTTGACTTGTGATTTAACTCGTGACTTGGTGATTTGACTTGCGATGTGACTAATGATTTGACTTGTAATTGACTTGCGATTGACTTGCGATTGACTTGCGATTGACTTGCGATTGACTTGCGATTGACTTGCGATTGACTTGCGATTGACTTGCGATTGACTTGCGATTGACTTGCGATTGACTTGCGATTGACTTGCGATTGACTTGTGATTTGACTTGTGATTGACTTGTGATTTGACTTGTGATTTGACTTGTGATTGACTTGTGATTTGATTTGTGATTGACTTGTGATTGACTTGTGATTGACTTGTGATTGACTTGCGATTGACTTGCGATTGACTTGTGATTTGACTTGCGATTGACTTGTGATTTGACTTGTGATTGACTTGTGATTGACTTGTGATTGACTTGTGATTGACTTGTGATTGACTTGTGATTGACTTGTGATTGACTTGTGATTGACTTGTGATTTGACTTAAGATTGACTTGCGATTGACTTGTGATTTGACTTGTGATTGACTTGTGATTGACTTGCGATTGACTTGTGATTGACTTGTGATTTGACTTGTTTTTTTAAATGTGACTGACTTGCGATTTGACGTGACTGACTTGTGATTGACTTGCGATTGACATGTGATTTGCATCGTGACGTGACTTGTGATGGTCTTGCCTACAATTCATTTTATTAACTGTGACGTACCTGGTGACAGATGAGGGTAAACAACCTGTGATACAAGGGGAGATGCAGAGCCCCCTGGGTGGCAAGCATTGAGGTGAAACACTCAACGAGGGCAGCACACGAGAGACCGTCCTTCGCCGTCACCATGTGGGTCTTGCAGAAACAACCAAGTAACATATCTGTCACCTAACAAACGAAAGATGCATAAATATTTCATTTCAGTTAATTTTCGTTTCATTTCATTTCATTTCATTTCATTTCATTTTCATTTCATTTCTTTTGTCTCAAATCATGGCCCTCATAGACACAATTAAAGGGAAAATACAACATTTGCAAACATCAAAAAATAAAACTACCAAATCATTTTGAAATACCTTGCTGGACTGTTAGTGAATGACAGTGGAAAGCATCCTGTAAAATCATGGCACCTGGTATACGGTCATTTTCAAGAAAAGTGGTATTTTTGTATCAATTTTGGAAAAAACTGGCTTTTTTTCAAATACTGGCCCTAATTGACCATCGCACTTGTTTGCAATCGATTACACACCTATGAACGGGTACAAGCCAGCTAGACTGGTTCCCTGACCTTACAATTCCCCAATGTATGTAAACTGCTCTGTTTCTTCTTATATGGAGTCAGGGAACCAGACTACAGGAAAATGATTGTTTTTCTTGGTTTTTATAGCATTTTCGAACCCAAACCTCAAAAAAGTCAGTGTAACTATATTTGCTATATATTTCCAACCCCCCAATTCCATCCATTTCTGAAAATTACAGCAAAAGCAAATGATGTATATTCCCAGCAATTAATTTTAAAAGTGAATAAAACTTGCAAAATACAAAAAAAAATATTACATGAGTAAAAAATTGAATGTAAAACAATAACGTTGTAAAATTTCAAATTTGCAAACCTGCATAATGGTTGGCTCGATGGAGCTCCCACTGCCGATGTCCAAGAGAATGGTGCTAGCGCCCTCTGTGCTGTGCATGTCGGCAGGCAAAATATTGAGGTCCTCAAGAACAGCACTGACTCTCCTTGAGATGAGCGATATGTAGCCAGATACATCTATGAAAATGTGAAGAAAATAATCCGAAAAACAAAATGAGTATACGGTACTATTTCTTATGTGTCAAATTGAGTGAGAGAACTCTCCCTTTGTAACCATAGAGGGCGCACTTGTTAATAGAGCCCATTGCTCTTACCTGCGTAATGTGAGGCTTGCGTTGATTCCTTGATTACGTTTTGAGGGAGTGAGTCTAAGCAGTCTTGTAGGCGATCTATGGGCGCCGTCACCATTTCGTTCATGTCCTCTGAAGAAACACCTGAAACGAAACGTGGTTACTGGGCTCTTTCTCTTCAACAGATTTTTAGCTTCTTATATCTGACGTGGTATGTCAAAATCAGGCACTTTTGGGCAAGAAGTCAATTTCGCAGTTATTGCAGTATTAGTAAAATACAGACCTTGCTCTTTCAAACGCCGCTTTGGTTTTTGAAATTAGATATTCCAAAGCGAAGTTATTAAATGTTGAAATCGGACTGTCCAAAATTTCACGCTAAATTTGCATCATTTCAGATAAAAATCTTGAACAAGGTGTCAATTTTTGAAACGACATGCCTCTCTAAAGGTGTTTTAAAAATGAAAAAGACATTTCAGTTTGAAACTTTTACAGAACATTTTAAACATTAGTAGCATCACAAATTTCAAAAAATCTCAAAATCGCTGAAAATCACCCCCATGTCATTTTCCAGCTGTTTCTCCATTCGTAGCTCTCCCCAATTCTGTCTGGTTTTGACATGCATGTACCACGTCACATAATGTTTAACTTGACAAACTATAACATGAGTTACCGTAATGTGAGTTACCAAAATTACATCCCTCTAGACATTTTGTGACTGAACTTCAAGGGATCTTCTGTGGAAAAAAAAATCCACCTCCAAAGCTTTGACTTTATAGAATAACAGCACAGATTTGAGGGAATACCCCCTCTAAATGTAACGTGAGTCACCATGGTATTGTTTGTATGCATAAGTCGCGTCACAAATCGACCACTAGTCAACCAATGCTCCTTAATAATATTGCTTAACAAACACATCTGCTGAGCAAAAATTAGCAGGGAACCTGCCACAAGCAATACAAATCGCCTGTGATTTTGGCCGGTAACCGGTTTTCGCTGAGCCAATAGTATCTGTGCTTAGAACATTTCTGTGCTTAAAGGGAAAATACAACATTTGCAAACATCAAAAAATAAAACTACCAAATCATTTTGAAATACCTTGCTGGACTGTTAGTGAATGACAGTGTAAAGCATCCTGTAAAATCATGGCACCTGGTATACTGTCAATGTCAAGAAAAGTGGTATTTTTGTATCAATTTCCAACGCTGATCGGCCGATCAGCGTTGGAAGAAAACTGGCTTTTTTTCAAATACTGGCCCCAGTTGACCATCGCACTTGTTTGCAATCGATTACACACCTATGAACGGGTACAAGCCAGCTAGACTGGTTCCCTGACCTTACAATTCCCAAATATATGTAAACTGCTCTGTTTCTTCTTAAATGGAGTCAGGGAACCAGACTACAGGAAAATGATGGTTTTTCTTGGGTTTTATAGCATTCTCGAACTCAAAACCTCAAAAAAGTCAGTGTAACTATATTTGTTATATATTTCCAACCCCCCAATTCCATCCATTTCTGAAAATTACAGCAAAAGCAAATGATGTATATTCCCTTTAACCACTCCACACATGGTGTCCCTAGATATGAAGTGAATATATATCTACTTACCTTCTAAGATTGCTGCTAGCTCAGTGGCACAAGCCTCTGTGTACTTGTTATACATTGGTAAAGGTACTTTCTCATCCCTGTAAAAATAACCACATGTCCAACTCTTTATGAAGATTACATGGTGAGTACATTTCCATGAGGACGAGTATTGAGTTCTTTGTCATGAGTACGAGTATGAGTACAAGTACTTTGTCAAGAGTACGAACACGAGTACGAGTACAAGGCAATTTGTGTTTACGAGTGCGAGTACCAAAAAAATATACTACAGTACGAGCACAATTCGGGCGATTCACACTGCAGTGCGCCACCAAGAGTTTGCCATGGAGAGTCAACTTTTCAAGTTTACAGTTGACAAAATATGGCTCATTTGAATGAGTGTCAGTAGACACTTGAGCTAATTTGTTATAGATTGGGGCATAGCGTTCTGCCGCCTTACCAAAAATCGCCATATTGATACAAAGAAAAGAAAAGGGCAAACATATACTCGAATCATACGCTTACGAAACTTCTGACCGGAAAAAACGAACAATTTCAAATGTCCCGTGCTGCGAATTTGTCGACCATCTCCCACAATGCACTGGGAAAAATGAACTCTCCGTGGCAAACTATTGGTGGCGCTCTGCATTGTGAATCGCCCGAATTACGATTATGGGAACAAGTACGAGTACTTTCCAGAAGAAGGAGCAAATTTCAATGGTTTTTTGTGTGTCAAACTAGGCACTCAACAAATGCAAAAGCCTCCCAAACAGTAGAAAATTGTTTCTTTTCCTGCAAGTACCTCTGCAACCATTTTTAAAACTCTTACTGGAGAACATTTGCAGGGGTATGAGTACGAGAACTGGTACTTCGTCATGAGTACAACAGTACGAGTACAGGTAAAACTTTCTTCTGAGTATGAGTAAGAATACAATCTCATGATGAGTACGAGTACAAAAATGTACTCAAGTACGAATCAACCATGAGTACTACAACACTGTCATAGATATAGCTGTCACTAAAATTACATTGAGACATTATGATTGACAAAAAATTTGAAACTTTTGTGCAAAGAACCCCAAAACGGAACCTTTTTGCTACCGAATTAACTACAGTTTATCACTTCAAATTTTTTTGATTGCAATGTTGTGTTTTTTCATTTTTTTTCTCAATTTGTTTAATTTTAAATTAGATTTTTAATTGTATAAGGCTTGGAATAATGACTGGCATGAAGTGAAATACCTTTCTTTTTTGTATATTTTTCTCTTCTGGAAAATAATAACATTTTGTTTTGTCAGTTTCACTTTGTGGTTGATTTGAAAATAAATAAAGAATACTTATTGACATAAATACCTTTTCAAAGCCTCGATGAATTTCATCTTACTGTCAGGAATGTCGGGCAACTGGAAAACAAAAATTAAAATATTATCAATCTTCATTTGATTATGATTATGCATGACAAAAATATAGTCAATCAAGCTGCATGAGATATTGCAGTAATTTATGATGGTTGAATGAAACATGAGTTGGTAGTAATTTGAACCACTCAGAATGTGATCCTGATCCATTTGACAAAACACGTCGTAAGTGCGACGCGTCGTAGGTGTATTTATAGCACAACTCGGTGACTGTTTTATGTATTAAGTCGGCATACAGTAAATAGTCGTCTGATATTCAACAAAGAGTCGTCGAACCTCAGCTCGAAATTTGTTAAAACGTAAAACAAAATGGCGGCCGTGCAATGCAATTTTGAAGGAAAACAAACTCTCATTGGACTGTATAGCTACTTTGAAATTTCAATTCTAATATTCCGGTCTAATTCATAATTATTCAATGAATTTTCTATTTACAACTTTACACACATTGCCTCGGTATTATAATCTTGTTAATGTAATGTTTATGGCATAAAACTGGCTTAGAAATGACTCTTCTTATTTTGGGACAACCACTAGACATGTCTTAACTTGCGACGTGTTTTAAGCTGTTGTCAAGGAACTTACGACGCGTTCAACACATCGCAACTTTCGTGAAATGGAAGATACGACGCGTCGCGAGTTGCGATGTGTTACACGTCGTAACTCGAGTTGCGACGCGTCGCGGCTCTTCATGAAATCGGGTGCAGGACACAGATAATTTTGGCTTGGGCCATTATCCACGACAAGGCCCCTCGCCAGTTTCAAACGTAGCCAGCCAAGCACATATTTATTCTCATTCATAAATACCTTTTGGTCAGAAAATCAAAATTCACAATTTGCGAACAATTCTCTTGAACAATTTTACCTCATGTTTTGTGAAAAACCCCTCTGGCCATGTCTATGGTATGTGCCTTGTGCACAAAGTGCCTAAAATCTCCTTATATGGGTATTGACGTGCATGCTGCGCATAATGCATGATGCTGCGCATAATGCATGATGTGGCGCAGAACGCAGCGGTGCAGGAATAAAGTGTTTAAAACCAGCCGGTGTTTTGTCAGCGGTTAAAAACGACCCACGTGACGGGCTCTCGACCAATAGGTATGGGTAAACTGTCTTAGGTGTGGGTAAAAAGGTTTAAAGTAACATTCTTACTGAGGTAAAACATGGTCTGAAGAAAAGACTCAAACAACGTAATCACATGGGTAGCTATCAACCAATCAAATTGGGCTACATAAAATCATGAATAAATGTTCCCAAAATAAAGTAGGACAATAACTATTATCAAAAGTAAAATAAACATTGTGAGCTTACCATTCTTGGCGTTAAAAGTGCAGGAAGGAACTGTCCTATGTAATATGGCCTCCTGAAAATACTGCAATGAAAGTTAAAAAAAGGTTACAATTAATGTTTTATCATTCCTGTTACGGCAATTGCATATCTGATGTCAAATCTGACATCAAAAAACATGAAGGTATCTTTGCCCAAGTAGAAATGTGTTTGTCTTATGCCTCCTGACCATCCTAGTCTTCTGCACTTCACAATCCTTGCAAAGCCACTTTTGCCCGTAGAGTTAGCACCCACACTTCAAATTCCTTTGAGGTAATCTTCTTTGGAGTATGGATAACACTTCAAATCCCTGCACAATTCTTTTGTGTGGTTAAAAATATAGTCCATCATTTGTTATTTGTGCATCATTTGTAATTTTGTTCGTTTGAAGCAACAAAAGTGCTCAAAATCTAAAGAAGGGTGCTGAACAGCTAAACCTGATGAAGTTTCAGCTCAGCTTCAGCTGTATATTCCGAGAAAAACAGCATTCTAGGATCTCAATTTCAAATCAAAAGTTGCTGAATCATGTTTTGAATTGGGCCTGAATTCAGCGTCCGAGACACGTTCTCACTGAGCCGATTGCAGCTACGCGATGTCGCGCACCGATCCGACGAATTATAGCAACCGCGCGTGCCTGTGCGTCGTGCCAATGCTTGCGTGCGCTTCGCCGAATAACAATACGAACTACTAATTTAAATTTCCTACGGTGCGTCTTAAGATGCACCGTTGGAAAGGCCTTCTTTTGTTGATTACTTCAAAATGACAGCTTGCCAGAAAGAATAATTTCACAGGGAGTATAGTCCCCTTACTATCTTTCAACCAAGTATGTTTTTCAACAATAATTACGCCAGTTACTTTTCAGATAGCTGCAAATGATGGACTATAGCTTTAAGCTCAGGGCAAGCAGGCAGATTCAGTCAACCTTCGCTGCTCTCCGGAGCCCTGTTTTGTTGTGAAGTGACTCTCTGTGTGGCACCGTTCATACTTTAATATATCGCTTCACACAAAACTAACCTGCAGGTTTTTAAATGGTTTTAATAAGGGAATAAATGTGTGTTTGGGATGTATTAAAACACTCTGTTTAAGACCGGTGTGAGTCTGGATGGGTACTTATCACCCATCCGGACTCCCACTGGTCTTAAACAGAGTATTTTAATACCGACCGAACAAATATTTATTCCCATTCATAAATACCTCTTCGGTCCAAAAATCAAAACAAGTCAAACACTAGGCGTTGCCAACCATTTTGTTCAACAATTTTACATCATGTTTTACGAAACACCCCTCTGACTATAATATGGAATGCCCCTCCACAACTCGTTACCTTATAAGGACATTGGCGTGCGCGTCGCGTGTACTGTGCGATGTCGCGCAAAACGCCACTGGGCTGGTGTAGTGTGAATTTCGTACCATGAAACACTGATTCACTGGTAGTATTGCACATGCATACGCGAGGAATGTGAACGTTCAACCAATGTAACGTTAAAAGGCACCGGATTTCATGGGAGTCCAAATTTCATGTGACACTGGAAAAGTGTTTAAGACCAGCTAGACACGTCTTTATCATCCGTTTAAGACCGGCCACGTGACGGGCTCTCGACCAATAGGAATGCGTAAACGGGTCTTAGGTATTTATGAATGGATTTTAAATAGTGCTCTGAATATTGACTTCATTAGGAGAGTTAATGGTTGGGACATATGTTACCTCGCTTGTAGTACTCTGTCCTGTATACGTCCCGTTTTCTCGTAGTGCGTCACAGCAATCTCAACGGCCTCCATCGCTGACTGGTTCCCTGTCTGTTCAAAACAAATATCAACAAAATTGACCGGAACAGACTAAAAGGAAAATCGTAGTCCATAAAAGGAGAAATAAACAGAGTTGACAAAATTCATCTTCAAATTCAGCGAAAATGAATAAACCTGCAGCAAACTGCTTACTGACGGGACTGACCTTATATATATAAATAAATAAAAATTCAACGGACTACTGTTTAATCATGGCAGAATCTCCGTCAGTTCATATTTTGCAGCAAAGTGTGAACATTAAACTTTAAAAAACCTAAGTTACTTGTTTAGTTTTGATTTCAACGCAATTTTTTTTACAGTTTCTATGGAAAAACCGAGGTTTTATCTGATTGGAGAAAAAAAAACCCGGAAGTTCATGCAATGAAAGGCATAAAAGATCATGTGCTTTTCATGCATTTTGTTCATTTCCGATAATAACAACACTCATAATCCAAAGAAGAATATTCAAAACCTAACCTGTTGCAGTTTCAGCTCAGTGGATTTTACACTTTTCGAGAAAACACTGAGAAGCCATGCATAATCTTTTAGATCACGAGACATGATTTTTACCCTTTATTTCCAAAAATCAGTCAGCTGACTGATCGTTGGAAATCACCTGCATGTCTTGATTTCTTCTAAATGACAGCAAGCCAGACGGAATAATTTCACAGGATGTTTAGTACCAGTACGATCTTTAATCCAAGAAAGCTTTTTGATAATTATTTGGTAGGTTACGTTTTGGGCAACTGCAAATGATACCTTTAAACCAGATGAATATTCTCATTACCTGAGCTTTACCACTAGTACTCGCCCCTGCAATATCACTCGTCTGCCAACTTTCCTAAAACGACAAAGAATCTCAGAAAAATTGCACCAATCAACGTTTAATTTAATTTTAAAAAGTGAAAACTGGTACAACCTTTCTCTAAGGCAACAATTTTGTTTATTATTCAGTGATAAAATTTTACAAAAAATGACACACGTGAGTTTCACAGAGACAATGAGCAAAACAGCAAGCAAGCACATAAATAAACAGCAAAATTGAAAAATAAAACAACTTGAATTGAAGTAAGGATGTGACGTTACACGTTCAAACGAAACAAAACAATCTAAATCTGTATACAAATTTTCCAAAATTGTTTAAATTACACCCAAATTTAAAAAAAAAAGGTCCTCCGTTCACACAATCTTCCTTTTGAGTTACATATACATAGTACAAATAAATAATGTTTTTGGATTTATTGAATTTACGAAAACTTAGAAGCACCGCAGTACTTGATTACATTCAGGGTACACAGGTTTTTACTTTTTCAATGACTGCCCGCTATTTATCATGTCATTCATAAATACCTCAGACAATTTAGCCATTCCTGTTGGACAAGAACCCGTCACGTGGCCGGTCTTAAACGGATGATAAAGACATGGCCAGCTGGTCTTAAACACTTTTTTAGTGTCACATAAAATGTGGACTCCTAAAAATCCAGTGCCTCTTACCGTTTTATTGGTTGAACGTTCACAGTCCTCACGAAGGCATACGCAACACTACCAGCGAGTCAGAATTTTATACCCGGTAGTTCTAAATTCAAAACGCAACGCCCCAGGTGCGTTCTGCGCGACATCGCGCAGAACATGCTACGCGCGCATCAATCTCCATAAAAGGGTTGTTTACATCTTACTCACCAGCTGAACACTCCATTATTTTGCTAGAGGGATGTTTCAAAAAGCAAGAAGTGAACTTGTTGAACAAAATCGGGATCTTTTGAACGAATTATTTGATATTTTTTTACGGAAAAGGTATTTATGAAGGGGAATAAATATGTGCTCGGTCGGTATTTAACACTCTGTTTAAGACTGCTTAGAGTCTGGGTGCTGATAATTACCCTCGCCTCCGGCTCGGGTAATTATCAGCACCCAGACTCTAAGCGGTCTTAAACAGAGTGATAAAAACCTCCGGAGCACACATTTATTCCCTTAATCATCGTTAATCATGTCAGTCAGCTGGCATAATGTTCAGGCGTAAGCCTTAGTGACATGGCTAAACGTTTAAACGGTTCTGAAAATATTTGCCAAACATTTACAAAATTAAATGCAAAGTCAAATTCTTACCTTGAAGTCGGCTAGTCTTGTCTTGGCCAGGGCTACGTAGTCCAAAAGAACGTCTCGACTTTTGGAGGTTGTGTACGGGGGGTGCTGAACGTGGGCCTAGAAAATGAAAATAAAAATCGAAATTATCGATTGAATTAAAATTTGAAACTATGAGTTACTTTTGTTCGATAACAGAGTTACGATTTGATACACCTACAATGCATCTACATCAAAACAATAAATTAAAGGTATAGTCCATCATTTGTAATTTGTGCATTTTGTTCATTTGAAGCAACAAAAGTGCTCAATTTCTGAAGAAGGATGCTGAACATTCAATCTGATGAACTTTCAGCTTAGCTTCAGCTGCATTTTTCGAGAAAAACAACATTCAAGGATCTCGATTTCAAATCAAAAGTTGCTGAATCATGTTTTGAATTGGGCCTGAATTAAGCATCCGAGACGTTCTCACTGAGCCGATTGCAGCTACGCGATGTCGCGCACCGATCCGACGAATTATAGCAACCACGCGCGCGTGTGCGTAGTGTCAACGCTTGCACGCAATTCGCCGGAAAAAAAAACGAACTACTAACAGAATTTGCCAACGGTGCTTCTTAAGACGCACTGTCAGAAATGACGGCTTGCCAGAAAGAATAATTTCACAGGGAGTTTAGTCCCCTTACTATCTTTCAACCAAGTACGTTTTTCAACTATAATTACGACAGTTACTTTTCGGATAGCTGCAAATGATGGACTATAGCTTTAAACAAATTGGGGAGCTAATCATCCTTATTTGCGGCTGAGAAGCTGAATTGCGAAGGATGCAGCTACAACGTGATCCAGCCGAAGGCATGTAAAGGCGCCGCCATGTGATCCGTGTCTTATAGATCCAAAGTGTTGATTTTTGTGAAGGGAAGAAAACTGGGGAACCAGGAGAAACTCCTCATGGTGCAGGAGAGAATCAACGCACAACTCTACTCACATTATGGCCCGAGCCGGGAATCCAACCCGGGCCACAGCAGTGAGAGGCGAGCGCTTTACCCACCCATAAGACACTGTACCACCCCTGCTACTCCTTTTACTGCCCCAAACTGTTCCAGTACTCTATGGTGCGGTCCTACCAACAAGCGTCAACTGGCGTCAACAAACTTCAACGGTCGTCAACGCAGCGTCAACAAATTTTGTAGAAGTTTTGGAAAATCAAAAACAGCTTTATGTGGTAGAAATGGCAACAAATAACACCTTCAGCATATAAATTACATTAAAAACTATTTCAAAAGTTTTTTTTTCAACGCGGAACGTCCGACGACTCTGTCGAGTTTGTGTTGGCCGTCATTTTGTTTACGTGAAACTAGCCGTACTACGCATGCGTGCAGTGTACAGAGCCATACTACGCATGCGCGAAGTGTACAGCGCCGTCCAAACACAATGGCGGCCAACACTAATCAACAAATTTGTCGTATATTTCGCGTTCAAAAAACAAGTTTTTAAATAATTTTAACTTTAATTGATATGCAGAAGATGTTCTTTATTGCTTGTTCTACCATATAAAGCTACTTTTAATGTTCAAAAAGCATATACAAATTTGTTGATGCTTGTTGACGACGGTTGAACTTGTTGACAGTTGTTGACTCTTGTTGACGCAGTTTAGTAGGACCCCTATGGTGTAATGTATTCCTCAGTGAATAAATACAATAAAATACAAGTGTTAATAGGTTAACATGCTACTACCTTTAAGCAATGAACAGGCTCGTGTGGCACCAGACTATTCAGGAATTCCATAAAAAATGTGAAGGCTTTACTTGATGTGAGGTGGGGGCCAGACGCTGTGCCGAATTGATCCTGAGACACGAGCAGAATAAGAAGACAAAAAAATAAAGAAACTTTGGAAAAGATAAAGAAAACCTTTGATCTTTTTATCCATTGAAGGGAATATACATCATTTGCTTTTGCTGTAATTTTCAGAAATGGATGAATTTGGGGGGTTAGTATTTTGTAGCAAATATTGTTACACTGACTTGTTTGACGTTATGGGTTCGTAGATGCTGGAAAAACCAAGAAACACAATCATGTTCTCGTAGTCTGGTTCCCTGACCCACTTAAGGTGAAACGGAGCAATTTATAGACGTCAGGGAATTGTAAAGTCACGGAACCAGTCTAGCTGGCTTGTACCCGTTCATGGATGTGTAATCGATTGAAAACAAAATGCGGACTAACTAATATGGTAAATGGGGGTAAGTGTTTGAAAAAAGCCAGTTTTTTTTCCAACGCTGGTCGGCCGACCAGCGTTGGAAATCAATACAAAAATGCAAGTTTTGTTGAAAATTTCAGCACACCAGGTGCCATGATTTTACAGGATGCTTTAGACTGTCATTCCCTAACAGTCCAGTGAGGTATTTCATAATAATTTGATAGTTTTGTGTTTTGATGTTTGCAAATGTTGTATATTCCCTTTAATTCTTTCTTTCAATATGCTCTGAAAATGCAACGAATGAAGCCCGCATCTGAATTACTTGGCTGCGGCTAAAAATTACACACGTGTCAATGGCAAGTCGCTACAGCTGGCTCCTAGCCGCTTCCCATACAAACGTGTGTAATTTCAAGCCGTTGCCAATTGATTCAAGCACAGCCGTACATAACACTCCAAAGTTCAAGGGTTATAGGTCACTGACCTTAAACCACTGAGTGTACGATGGAAAGTCACATGACCCCTCTGCAGCAGCTTGTCTGGCCAATAGGAACGCGGCGTGCAAAAGCAGCGGCCGAAAACTCTCCAGCGATTCCCTCAACAGATTTGCAACCAGACCTGCGCGGCACTGACGACAGTTTGAGAAATTGGTAAATGTTAGATTTGAGCGAGTTAAATGGAAAAAAAAAAATAAAAAAATACTTCGTGACATTTCGGACAGTCCGATTTCAAAATTTAATAACTTTGCTTTGGAATGTCCAATTTCAAAAACCAAAGCGACGTTTGAAAGAGCAAGGTCTCTGTATTTCACTAAGGCCAAAAAAAAAAAGTCTCCGGTTTCTGGTATGCGCGCGCGTTGCCGTAGCCATGCGCGTCGGCAAAATGAAAAAGTTTTTTTTCAATGAAAGATGATGTCTCAAAACCGCCAAACTCACTGGTTTGACTGGAATCCTGCTGCTGCACAATTTCAACGTGTTTTTAGACTGGGTTATGGTCGAGAATAAGCTTGATGTGGCCTCTCTGGACTCCCATATATTTGCACTAAGTTTTGTCGGGCACCATTTGCAGTCATCAGCCGACATTTGAAGCAAAAAAATCAGGTAAAAAACAAAGAAAAGCCGCGTCGCCGCACCACTTTTTGGGCAAGCTCCATACCAGAAACCGGAGACTTTTTTTTTTTGGCCTAATATTGCAATGACTCAAAATTGACTGCTTGCCCAGAAGTGTCTGATTTTGACATACCACGTCACGTCTGTCTCTCACTACTGTGGATTTTTCTTCTTCTAGAAACCTTGTCCAAAATCTTCCAACCATGGCACTCATTCAATAACTTTTACAGGCATCAAACCCCACATAAAATGAAAGTTTCTGGTCTCTACATTTCTTATCGTGCACAATCCTGCCATACCTCCGATTGAATTTAGGCGTTAAAATTCTCAAGGGCTTGAAATATTCACCTTTGATAAGCGCTGCGCCTTGTCGGAAACACACGCAGAAGACAGACACAAGAATCAGCGTGAGTTGCCAATTTATCTATGGAGAGAAAAAAGTACACGAGATGTGCAACTGACAACTCATGAACAAACAAACATCATTTGCATATTTCCCCATGGTGTCCACACGTATAATGTTTAAAGGGGCACTAGGTCCTGAAATCCCAAAAAATTTCATGTTTTGGATTGTTTACTTATCCTATTTCAAACAGCTGGTTGAAAGGAAACCAACCTAATGTCTTACCGTTCCCGAGAAAAGAGGAAAAAACCCCGCTTGTTTACATCGGACATGACGTGTCGTTATCAGTGTACGATATACACGTGGTGTGACTCGGGAACAGTGGTGACCAATCACCAATGCAAAAAAATGTGGTTTCTTCAACGTCCGCAAAAGGCGAACACTTTATGAATGAAATCACAACTAGCATCCAAACAGCTCGAATTCATGGGGTCGCAAAAGTGGACCCCGAAATTCGTTCTCGCTCGCATAATACAGGAATAACACAAAAACGCCCAGTTTTGAAAGGATAGTTGTGTGGATGTTTATATCCTACTTTTAAATGTTATTTCCGATTATCATCATCTCTTTCAAAGCACGTTTTGTAGCCCAATTGGGCTGTTCTAGGACCTAGTGTCCCTGTAAGGGGGTCAAAATTGCTCCCTGGTGATGTCACATAGGCCTACTACCCAGAGTAACGTGAACGAATAACCTCGGCACAACAAAATCCTACCTTTTTACTTTCCAATACTTCTTGTAGCACCGAGCATATCTGTTTCTCATGGACAGTCAACAACAACTGAATAAACATCTTGGTGTGACTCGACGGTGCCTTGGTGTAGGTCCAGTGGTCATGTTGTTTAGTTATAGCTGTTGTTACTACTCATACGACAAAAACAGAGTGCAAACTATTTCAACCCTACATGTACATGAGAAATATGAGAACCATTACGTAGCACCTTTGTAATGGTTTACAAAGTGCTGCGGCGCATTAAGCAGCCACTGCCAGAAACACCGGGGCAAACCCCTTCTCTTAGCGATAAGTGTTACTGGGTTCTTTAACGTGCATTACACAACACACGGGACCTAGGGCTTTACGTCCCACCCGAAGGACGAAGCAATAATGGTAAAGTGCCTTGCTCAAGAGCACAAGCACCATGTTCCCACGGTCAGGATTCGAACGCATGTACCACGGCACACGAGTTGAACACCGTAACCATTGGACCACAGCACCTTGGGTAAGCCACTTCAGCTCCACTTGCCTCTCTCCACCCAGGAGTATAAATGGGTACCGGCATTAACTGGGTGCAACCTGCTATGGACTAGCCTCCCGTCCAGGGGGAATAGAAATATTCTCAGTCGTTTCATGCTACTCAAACCGGAAATAAACGCCGGCCCGATGGGCCACATTGGCCCATGACGGACTTTAATTGCTACCAGTAAGCAGGAGGTCGTGGGTTTGAGTCCCACCCGAGTAAGCTTGTGATTTTTTTTTCTCTTGGGAGCTTAGGAATTCCTGAACTATTGATAAGACTGCCCCACAAATACTCGGGACTGCCCAACTATAGTTGGCACTATTGCCACAGTTGGGGTGAAACAGCTTGATTACAACTCTAACTGTTTAAAGGTAAAGTCCATCATTTGTAATTTGTGTATTTTGTTCGTTTGAAGCAACAAAAGTGCTCAAAATCTAAAGAAGGGTACTGAACAGCTAACCTGATGAAGTTTCAGCTCAGCTTCAGCTGTATATTCCGAGAAAAACAGCATTCTAGGATCTCAGTTTCAAATCAAAAGTTGCTGAATCATGTTTTGAATTGGGCCTAAATTCAGCGTCCGAGACACGCTCTCACTGAGCCGATTGCAGCTACGCGATGACGCGCACCAATCCGACGAATTATAGCAACTGCAAGCGCGTGTGCGTCATGTCAACGCTTGTGCGCACTTCACTGAATAAGAAACAAACTACTAATGAAAATTTCCAATGGTGCTTCTTAAGACGCACCGTTGGAAAGGCCTTCTTTTGTTGATTACTTCAAAATAACAGCTTGCCAGAAAGAATAATTTCACAGGGAGTTTAGTCCCCTTACTATCTTTCAACCAAGCATGTTTTTGAACAATAATTACGCCAGTTACTTTTCGGATAGCTGCAAATAATGCACTCTGGCTTTAAAAGCAGAATAGGTTCAATTTCCTACCTTCACAGTTTGAACACCCGGACAGAAGGCTCTGCAGTTGCCGTTTGGAGAATCTGGAGATAGCATCTTTGTCTATACTCGGGTTGCATCGGATCATCTCAAATAACTTAGCGACATGGTCACTAGGTGCACTGTCGCTAGTCTGGTTCTGAACTTTGAGTAAATCTAAATGCAAGAAGATCGGTGGATAAGAGAATGGGTTTAGACATTTATAAAGACTTGGGCAATTTTCATAGCTCCAAGGTTGCTGTAAGAGAGTGCTCAGATGATGGTATTAAATACAGTAAAATCCGACTAAACCGACATCGTACAACTCGTCAAATCGCTCAAGTCGGTCGTCTGACTTAAGTCCCGATTGTTCGTAATGCATTTCCATTGAATTTTTTATTTCTAAGTCGGCTTTTATAAGTCGCTATTTCGCTCAAGTTGTCGTGTTACTCTCGGTCCCCTCTCCATAAAAAGCATTACAAAATCCTTAAAGTCGGCATTCAACAAATCACGCATTGGCATCGACTTCCTGTACTGCGGTTGGCAAAGTGTCGAGTGAAAAGTGGTTTCGCACGCATTTAATTTGTGACTGTGCACGTACATATGTATCGTGGTCTCCACTATCAATACCCCAAACGTGATGATACAATTCGAGGATTAATTTGCTGGATTCAAATCAAGCATTAAGGAGATAATCCAGGGTAAATCGAAGCCAATTAGTGCAATGAATCGTGTGTGCAAAAGACCATTCATGTAAGCCGGCAAAATGACGACTTACAGCAGATATCAGCATTCGCGTAAGTCGTCACAAATTCTCAGGTCCCGAGAGTGCCGGTTTAGCCGGAGTTTACTGTATATTCATGCTTTTAATAAAAAACTAATTTTCAGATAATATTTTTTAAAATTTCTAGTACACCTTAATAAGTTGCTTTATCCTGACATTCCTTTTCAGTATTTCTTTTTAACTTTATATTGAATATATTAACTTTATATTGAATATATTAACTTTATATTGAATATATTAACTTTATATTGAATATTGAATTTTTTTCGAATATGTAGACAAACTGACATGAACAAGATTGTATGCATACCCAACACAATCCGGTCCAGAATATCCTGACATGCCTGTGCAAAAACAGAAAATATTCAAAACAATATTGTTGTACTTTGAAATATAATATAACAGACATAAAAAAGTGCAATAATATCACACTTCATACATATTCATTAGCTAATGCACTTTTTCATTGGTCAATATTGCATTTCATCTAGGAAGTGAAAATCAGTGTTGTAGTCGAATCTATCGCAAGTCCAGTCACAAGTACATCACAAGTCAATCAGCTTAGCCTATAAGGAACTAACTTTTAACGGCAACAAAATTATCAATGTCGACAATAAAATTGTACTCACTGTGGCCAGTCTTTGATCTATATCATACCCTTCCTCAGATTTAGAATAGCCACATCTTAGCAGAACCTCAAGAACGCCTGTTGATTGTGAAAATGAAAGTGTCTTTTTCATTGAAAAATGTGGGGTGAAGCCAAGAAAAATGACAATACATTACTGACACATCTTTTTTTTTTAGATGGGGGATGAAAACGTCTTCAACATGGCAAGAAAAGAACATTTTTATCAAATCCTTTTTGTTTTGGATGTTTCTCTTGTATTTGCCTCTTCGATATTGAACTCTGGTACCAGATATGAGGAAGGTACATTTCTGGATTTCAAGTGCTCTGTGCGCCAACGAAAGAGGGCGCCCTTCTACCTAGCAACGACGTCCCATGGGCAGGACATTTAGCTAGTTGACGCGCACCGTTGCTTGTGTGTGACGCACGTACACCAGGGGATTTGTACACACAGTTGTACGGCCGCGCGTCGCGGCAAAATTGCAGTCAGGCAAGATGGCGTCGGTTGGTCACCCCCAACTGTTCCTTCTTTGCCGGTGAGGGGGTACTTGTGAACGGAGCGGATCGTTTTCTTGTCGTATATAGGGTGTTTCAGATCTTTCTCGTTTTTTTGCTAATAACAATTTCCATATTTATACACAAAAATGGTGATTCTTCTAAGAAAAGCTTCAGCTGAAAAAAAAAAATATCAATAATATTTTTATTTACTTTGTTTTGCTGTGTTCAATTCTGGCTCATGAGCCCCTTTGTTAATTTAGTGAAATATTTTCCTAACTTTTTATCAACATTTCATTAAAATTTACCTCTCTTGATTTTGACGCTTTCTTCATCAGACCCGTCTGCCCTTAAACAAAACGCAGACAAGTTTTCGCCAAAATTCTGCAATACGGCTGGGCGTGCCAAGCTGCACTCCAGATAACTGTCCAATGAGACGGCTGAACAGCTGTGCAGTTGCCATAGCAACTCCAATGGCAAGGCTTCCACCTGGGGAAGGGGTAGTCCAGAAAAAGACAAGATGAAGAATGGATAGCGAAACAGTTTGATGGGAAGTTATCTGAACAAAGACTTTCAAATCTTACCTATTTTCTTAAGCCCGCGGTACACCTTTCTGATTTTACTGGTACATTTTGATACATTTATCGTTGCAGAGACCGCAACGTTACCTGCAAACATGCTTGATTCCATTTTATGAAACTGATCGTAAGGTAGCAGACCAGTAAATAAACTTCCATAGACCCCAATGGTAAATGCTCTCACTTCAAAAATTTGGGAAAAATACTCACAACTCTCCAAGGTGTTTGAGACACACATCAAATTAAAGCTTATTTCATCATCTTTCATTTTCTTTTCAATTTTCGGGGGGGTCAACTGATGACTTTAAGGAAAAATTTCCATCTGAAGATGATCACCCCTGAAAATAGTCCTGAAGCCCATCGCCATTTTGAAAAACGATGCCTACACTCCATTGCAAAATAGAGCGCTTTTAGGGTCCAAATTACATCCAAATTACACAGAACTGCAAGCTCCCAGTCCTGTGCACGGCTTCCACCCATATTTTTTACAAACCCTCAAGTTCATGGCCCACAGCATGCTCAAATACTGAAGGTTTTGAGGGCATGCAAATCGTGATTTGGCCGGCGTAGGCAATTTCGGACCGATTTACTGGTCTGCACCCGTAAGCTTACTGCCCGGCTGTGCAACAAATTTGTTGCGTAAGTCCCATGCATGTCAAAAGCTACGCACTGTTGCGTGAAATTGGCTGCCGTGCTTTGCATTCTGATGACACTGCCTTTCCCTTAGTCTGATTGACCTTATTCATCAGCACGCTATGCGGAACACAGCGCCCTAAATTTGTACACGTGCGGATACACGAGTTAAGTTGACCCCTACGTCATAGGTCAATCAGGCAACAGCGCGCTGCACATAGAGCTATATTAAATTACTAGAGCGCTAAATTCGTGTACAAAGTAATGCCTGCTGGGCGCATCCATGTTTGTGCACAAACCTATGGAGACCTAAAAATTTTGTACGGCTTTTGTACGGCTATTTGCATATCTGCGTTTGTATTCCATACCGGTGCGTTATCGAAGCCAATACGCCCAAAACCAAAACGCACAATCAGCAAATGAGCGTGTCATTTGGCTCGTGCGCGTATTCGCTGCAGATGCTTTTTACCGTCACGTTTTTTTAACCGTCAATGACGCGCTTAAGTTGTTTGCGTATGTTCTACTTGCCCGTTGCATGTAGAGTACACTTTCAAAATTCAATCCATCTAATTTCACTATGTTCTACAAACACACACATGAATTCAAAATGTCTGTGCCCAGGACGGCTTCAAAGCGTCTCCGCGCGCAGAATGATGAGTTAGCGCTCTAGTAATTTAATATAGCTCTATGGCGCTGCATGATCTCAGACTCTCAATTCGCTGTGAGAGATTTTGACGCTACCTTAGAGCTGAGCTGCTGGATGAACAGAGTCCTGTTGAGAAGTTGTTGACTAGCCAAGCTCCTTAAGACCTCAATCAGGCATTGGGTATTCCTCTGAAACAAAGAAATACAATAAGAAGTTGAACGTCCTGCAAAGTACAATCTGTTTTGCTTATTTTTAATTTCTCCAACATTTGTTGATCAAACAATTCCTTATTTCGCAAGCTCGATCCTCGTTCAAACATAGACCAAATAAAGTGGACAGAGCGCCTTTAACCAGAGTTGAACTATTGACCCAGAAAATTCCTAGCCAAACCATAGCCCTCTGACAAGAACCGCATGTTTGTGCAATGAGTCTAGCTGGTCTCGCCACAGGACATGGATAATCAATCATCCTGTCAACGAGACTAGTCCGCAAGCTCAAGTGATGTCTGTCTCCTGTCGTCTGACCACTATAGAACCTAAATTTGATAGACGGCATATAGTTGCAGTGAATTTTGGCCATATTATAACGTGTACTGCAAACTAAAGAGAAGTGCATTTAAAGCAAATGAAGAATCCCATCTCACTGATATAAGCCAGAATTTTTTTTTTATTTTTTTTAAATATGTAGAAGTTTATCAAGTATCCTGCTTTGCATCACAACACCTTCATTAAATAGCAACAAATATAGAAATTTCAATGCGTCCATAATTCTTGGCAAGTCTATGTCGTAAAACACACTTAAGGTTAGCACTACTTTTCTGCTATCCGCTCCGTTCACAAGTACCCCCTCACCGGCAAAGAAAGTACAGTTGGGGGTGACCGACCGACGCCATCTTGCCTGACTGCAATTTTGCCGCGACGCACGGCCGTATCATGTACCACTGCGGGAAAGTAAGTAAAGTCTGTCCCGAGCCAATGTGGCTCATCAGGCCGGCGTTTATCTCCGTCAGTAGCATGAAACGACTGAGAATATTTCTACTCCCCCTGGATGGGATGCTAGTCCATCGCAGGTTACTCCCCAGCTAATGCCGGTACCCATTTATACTCCTGGGTGGAGAGGGGCAAGTGGGGGTGAAGTGCCTTGCCCAAGGACACAATATATGACCAGCTGCTGGCTTCAAACCCCTGGCCCTCTGATCATGAGTCACGAACCCTAACCACTAGGCCACACACTCCCCCAAACCACTGCGTGTACATAGTACAAATCCCCTGGTGTGTGTGTGTCACACACAAGAAACGGTGCGCGTCAACCATTAAATGTCCCACCCATGGGACGTCGTTGCTAAGTAAAAGGGCGCCCTCTTTCGTTGGCGCACGGAGCCCATAGAGTTAGCAAACCTTGGTTTTTAAGCCAAAAATATGAAATTTATACCTTCTTTTCGTCGCTTTTGGTATGTGGAACTTCCTGCAGTAAGTGACACAGCTGCTTTGCGCATTCCAGTGCAGCAACTGTAGTTATTGGCGTTCCTGAGATGTGAGATTTTACTCGGATGCAGGACAAGCAGGCGTCAACTGAAATGGGAAGAAAAACGAGTTAGATACGCATGTACCTGTTTCGCTTGATGAATTATTCTAAGGGATAGGAATAAGAACCCCATAAATGTGTCTGAAGTACTGGACTTCCTCCGTATTGTGAGCCACTAAATGCACCTAAAATGGCAATCTGGTGATTATATCAGTTTAAATGGAACACAAAGGTACATTTCGAGGACTGCATTTTCAAAATTCCATTACATGGGCCCTTTCACCAGTTCGCATGGGAGGACGTGATACACAGGCACAGCTGACGGGCTAAGACATCAAGATTGCCTCGACTCGCCTCCGGGTGACGTCCAAACACGCTAATCCCTCATGCCTTTTGTACACACACACAAAGTCCGTGAAGTCTGTGGAAGCAGACAGTATGTTGATCTTGAATTGGCCGTTGTGCATGGCCTATTGTTGTACAATTTACGCTCCAGTGCACACCCCAGAGTATTGAAACATATATGAGGTTTCGGCAAAAAAAAATCGTACAAATATTGTTGAAATGACTCTTGCGAATCAGTATTTGTGGCGTTTGGCTGTATATCAGAAGTTGGCTGGAATATTTTGCCTTCTGCAAAAATAATCTCGGCTCGAAGTGGTTAAAGGCTTGATTCAACAAGTTTTGAGCTGGAGTATAGAATGAACTTGGCCTAGAGGATACCAACTTACTTGACAAATTTAAACTTTTCTGGCAAGAAGCCGTGGCCTTGGCCAAACTTGGCATTTCTTGAGAGGCTTGGATATTTGTCTCAGCACAATCAACCTCATCGCTGGCCTGAAAAGCAAGAAAGCAGGTTCATCAACTGAATAAAAAGGTTCGATAATTACAAGTCTTGACAAATAATGTCAAATTTGTATTACACGACCTTCAAAACAATGATCGCGCATTACAAAACATGTCACAGAAATTCAAAAATAACAAGAATTAAAACAAATTAATTTATCCAACTTAAAAAAATAATAGGATTAAATTAGCAAGTACATGTACAACCAAAATGTCCATCACTGAAATATACGCAAAGAAATTACTAATATAAGCAAGTTTAAATACAGTCGACTCTCGTTAGTACAAACTCTGTTAATACAAAATTCTGGTTATAACAAACATAAAGCCTTGGTCCCGACTGTGCATTTATATGCACAATGAATGGGACTGATGTTCCTCTTAATACAAAATTCTGATATAACAAACAAATTGGCTAGGTCCGAACGAGTTTGTTATAACGAGAGTTGAGTGTAAATGTCTTTCATACTTCGCAGTGGATATTTTGCCGGCGCCAGCTGTCTTTTAAAGGATATTAAGAAATAATATCTTTTTTTGTACAGATTTTATACTTCTTTTAACATGTTTAACAAGCTTTAGGCCTACATGGTTTATCCCCTAAGTACATTAGTGATCTTGTCATGCTTGTCACTGTTAGCAAAATGGTCGCATAATTCACGAAGTGTCTATTTAGGCACCGTCGATATATCAATATTTCTTGATTATTCAATATTATTTTGATACCAATATCATTGATAATGATAGCAATATTTTAATCATATCGAAATATCAAAAAAAATTATTGAGATATGATATCGAAAATTTGAAAATGCATCAGATTATCGTCCAACTAAATCTCCTATTTGTCATGTTTGTGTTTTTACTTTTTTTTTAACGTTTGCTGTATTAATACTACTAGTGACATTAAACTCGGCGGCAACTTGTGCTTGTGACTGAAAATAAAAGTGTCATTTTTGGAGGAATCGGGTTCATCAAGTGTAATTTTTTTATGGTCTTTAAATTTTACATTGGATAATTGTAATCGATATATCAAATATTCTCGATATTGGATTTCCGATATATCGATTGAAAATTCTGATATCGACGATGCTTATGTTTATTGAGTAGTAAACCGGTCTCGCATCTCCGTTCTTGCTCATCAGCCAATGGCAATCGTTCCGGCATGTCCGGTTTAAAGTTTCACAAGTTCAAGTTGCGGACATGTTTTATTTCAACCGATCTGCTCATTTCCACACCTCTTTCAAAAGTGCCTCGAAACTCTGGTGTCGATCAATTAACTCGAATACAGCTTGCTCCATTTCAGATCCAATTTAGTGGCCAAAAACTAACTTTCTGAAAAAATCTGTAGACGTTCCAATTTGCTCCTCATATAATTCACAGGTGGCGCGTGTTTACAAATGTATAGTCTGGTGCCAGTCTCAAAGGGGTAGCATAATATGTAAAAGACGTCGATAGGCCAGACAGCTTGTTTTACAGACCGCTTAACGTCAACAGCGCCCTCAGCGGATTCAAATTCCCATCCTTCCTTGCCAAGTCAGAGATTTGATTTCTTTGGATTTGAATTCACCGTAGAAAAATATAACCTATTGCTTTGACATGATCAGTTTTCATTTAACTGAATTTTTCATCATTCTCAAAGGTTGAAATTATATTTAATAAATGAAAGAACGAACAAATGAAAATTGGCGTAGTAATGTTCATAGTATTCCTCTTTGAAGGTTGAAAACGCATGTAATTATTTTAAAAACGAATTGTTCAGGAAGAACTTTTAATACTGATTTCTGAAATGTATTTTTGTTTTCAAATGGAAATAAATTTTTAGAGGGGGCTGGGGTGCGGCAGAGGTGCGCCCCTAGCTTAGGCTGTTTAAGGTCTGCGCCGGTCCACGAGAATTATCCTTTTTGTTCCCGTTTTGGTCTTTTTTTTTAATGAATAGTTTTTGTTAAAACAGTTAATTGAAATATTGACTGCGTACACAAACATCGAACTCTGTTATCAATGGGTTCATAATTCACAGGTGTTTGCGCGCATGACGTCATTTGGAGGTCCACCTAGATTGGTACCTGGGCCCGATTGAAATGATATTGGGACGTCAATGAGAAGGATACCAGAGTAGATACACCTGCCATCAAAAATTAACTAATCACAGTAAAACCAACTTTTTTATTATTCCGCGTTTCGTGTAAAATGTTTTGAAAGTCACAAATTTGTTAATAACGCGTCTAAACGTTACAATTTTGTGATTATTTGAACAATTATTTGTGCAAAAAAAAACAACATTTCGGTTTTAAGAGAAGCATTGTGTACTATATTCCGTTGCGGAGGACTACATTGATTGAATAATACAGTGAACCGGTCTTGCCGGTGCAGCCCATGCATGCGTGTACTGTTAATGGGAGGTGACTGTATTTTTCGCTGAGGAAATAGCGAAAAAGCATCAATATTTCAGGATTGCGGCAATCGAATGACCACTGACTAGGATCTAGGTCTGATTTAGGTAAGAAGGGACTGATTCAGTTTTTAATAAGCGGGTGTCATGTGCATACGAGGAGTTTTCTGGCGTTCGATTCGCTCGTTTTGCTTGTCATTGCAATTTGCATGATTGATGATTCAGATTTGTCTTTTCATTGCGAATTGCCGTTCATTTGCTACATCATCGGGAAAAATATGTTGCAAAGTGACGCCACTTTTTTCTTCATATATCATCTCAATGAAGGTCAGTCATTGCAAAAATGATGATAAGACATGAATCTGGGACTGAGAAACGTTTCAAATTTTGTTCATGTTAAACAAAATGTTAGAAAATTTCTTGACTCTCCATCAATCATGTCCATAGACTTTGTACACAACCGCGGAAGTGGCGTCAGGTTGCAACATTTTTTTCCGGTGTAGGGTTTGGATCTTGGTTTTTTAATTACCAAAAATATAACCGTTTTATTACTTTTTTTGTTCTAATTTACGTAAAAACATTCTACTTTTTATAGTACATAAATTGAAACAGGGAATTTCTCCGGAAATTGATTCATTCCATTGTGCAACTGGCATGACTGGGTTTAAAAATGTCTTATGACATTGAGATGAACAATAATAAATTCATAACAAAATTGTACCAAAAGAGGAACCTGCACTTTCATTGTTATAGTTAACAGACTTAAGTTACATTAATTTTTTTGTTCTCCCGACAGCCAGGTGCCTTATTGAAGGCCCAGATTACCAGTCATGTTTGACGAGAACAAGAAAGTCTGGGTGCCAGACATCGCCGATGGATTCCAACTTGGGCGCATTGAGGACATCGGGGCCGAGTCGATCACGGTGGCGCCAATCAACAAACCTGGCAAGGTAACATCAGGCCTTACGGACATCTCATTGTTACAACCCTATTATGGTATCACCCCAACTGTAGTTGGGACACTTCCAGCTACACTTATGATTCGTCAAAGTATTAATAGGCCATTGCCATAGTTTGGGCATGTTGTGCGCTTTCTTGAAAATCACGCATTCTTAAGAATGCGCATGCACATTCTTATGATTGTGCAACTGGATCTTTGCGCAATCTTCGCAAAAAATAACTCTTCCAGATTGAGCGCACATTCTTAAGAATGCGCGACAAGATAACGGTCTTGTCGATGCCGAGCACCGGCTGCGCTTGGCAAGTCTAGCTGCATCCTCGTTCACTGATTCTTAATAATTATACTGTTGCAACGCAAGGCGCTGAAAAGTAGAGTGGATATGAAAAGTATACGCGTATTGGGGGGGGGGGGGACCGGGAAAAAAATAAGAGACATAATAATAGTGTATTGATAAGAATTCTGATTTTTGGGATAATAAAAGCGGGGGGGGGGGGGGGGGGGGGGGGGATGTAAGAATGAAGAATGTGAATAATGAGAATGAATACTGTGACATCCAGTGGCGTAGCCAGGAATTTTTTGGTGGGGGGGGGGGGGGGGGGCCGCTGGGGAGGGGGGGAAGGAGCTGGAACATTTCATGGGGGGGGGGCGTCGTCATGTAGATAAATGATAATTTTTTTAGAAACTCAAAATCTCAGTGGGGGGGGGAGCGACTGGGGGGGCGACAAGGTTTCATGGGGGCTGTCCCCCCCCCCCCCCTCTGTCGTCCCCCCCCCCCCCCCCCCCCCCCCCCCCCCCACCGTGGCTACGCCACTGGTGACATCCCATAGTGCTAATGCTATTTCCCATTTAAATTGCCACCAATTTATTGTTCACACCCCCACCATTATGCCGCAGAGCTGGATTCTATCTAGTCAAAAGAGCAATTTTGGCAGCTTCTGGACATCGTTTTTTTTTTTCGTGGCATGCATATGATACATACAGGGACTTGTAACTTGTCTAGCCTAAACAAAGCACTTCCCAGACTAGTTCCCAGTCCTCCGTTATTACAAAACTTCCCATAGTGGGCAGAAAAAAGCAATAATAACGGGTTTAATTTGAATCAAATTATCGTAGTTATACGAGTACAGAAGCATAGAACATTTTCTTTCCTCTTTATATGAATTGTTTCCCTTTTAACCGCTATACATTTCATTTAACATAAATATGTCGTGCAATGTTTGTTAAGATTGCGCAAAATTCATAAATTGTGCACGTGATATTCCCACGCAATCTTAAGAATGAGCGCTCATTCTTAAGAACGCGTGCTCATTCTTAAGAATGCGCGCTCATTCTTAAGAATGCGCGCCCATTCTTAAGATTGCGTGATTTTCAAGAATGGGCACAACAGGCACAGACTGTGATTTTGAGCCCCCCAAAAAAAACATGCAGGACAAAATCTGGCCAACTTTACACAAGTGATGGATTTTGAAGGATTAAACAATTCCTCTGGAATATGTCCAACTGAAATTGGGCCAAGTATAAAAAAAGTTTCTCATCTACAGTAGGTTAAAAAAGAAAAGAAAGAAAGAGGAGGCCCTTTCCTCCTCCTAACAAGATGGCAGAGGTTTCTCAAGATGGCGGATTTTCCAAGATGGCGAATGGGCCAGGATTATTCCATTTTCTCAACATTTTTGCTGATACCTTTGTGTCCTAAAGAGTCACCACCATTGCTACCAGATTTTAAACCTGCATACAACTTTGCTGGAAACAAATAAAAAAGGCAAAATATTGGGTATTGCAAAATAAAAATTGGGGAAAAAAGAGGCGGGCTAGAAATAGGAATTTTTTTGGGAAGAGAAACTGGTTTATTATACTTAGCCTTACCAAAGACCACTGTATGGTTTTGTTTTGCAGAAAATGTTGGTTTGCAAATTGTTACATACATTTTAAAATTTGTATTCCTTTTTTTAACATATAGCCTGTGGTCGCTCCATATGCTCGTGTTTTCCCGGCTGAGGAAGACGAAGAAAAAACAGTGGACGACAACTGTGAGTACATGTACATATTGCAGTGTACACTTTGGAAAGAATGTTGCAACCTGACAACACTTCAGCAGTTGTGGAAAAAGTTTATAGAGAGTCAAGAAAATTGTCTGAGTAGTTCTTAACAAAACTGGGAATGTTTTTCAGTCCCAGATTCATGTCTTATCATCATTTTTGCAACGAATGTCCTGTATTGAGATGATATATGAAGAAAAAAGTGGCATCAGGTTGCAACATTCTTTCCCAGTGTTCTCCAACTTTGAAAATTAAAGGTCGGTGCACTGTCAAAAAGTGGAGGGGCGCTATAATTATGTTAGGGGCGCTATTTGCAGTCATACATTTCTTTTTTAACACATCAGTGACCAGGGACTCTGAGGCAGTTTGGCCTTGAGACTTTTGACCTGATGGATTGCTACAATGGGCAGGCTTGTCAGTTTGACAAGTGTTGCATGTTACTGCTTTTGGCAGAGTTTCTGGCCAAAATATACCCTGGAGGGTAAGGGTAGTCCCACTTGTTTGTCTTTTTTATTATTTTATTTTTTATTAAACGCATAAACATGTACATGTACACCACTGATCTCTATATAGACTGGATAGCGGATATCCATACACCAGTCACACAGTAGACTTTACATATTGACCAATTCGCCCCCGGTCTCACGAAGATGGCCGCGTATAATACGAACGTTCTACGCGTATATACAGCGCGCGTTGTATCAAGAGTTGACGCGCATTTTGGTCACGTACACATATTATGATGTTCTAAAAACGACACATTTCCGTAGTGATTATTATTTCCAAAACGCCGAAAAAGTGAATTGCGGCATTAAAAATGTAAACCAGACATTAGAAAAATAGTAAACCTTGGTCAGTGGTGGTGGTCAAAATATAAGTCAAGTGAACTGCAATGTTACAAAAGTATTCATGATGCCTATAAAGACGGCAACTTGTCCTTTGTAGATCACCAGCCGGTCTCACCAGTCTCACCAATATGGCGTCAAATTCATTCATTGTGCGGCTCTTTATCCGCTATCCAGTCTTTATAATAGAGATCAGTGGTGTACACGCATTACACATCATACATTATACAATTATATGTATACCCTATGTATGCATGTATGCATTTACAGCAGAATGCACATACTTTTATTTATCTACACTGTAGTTGTTTGACATTTTTGAAACAAAAATATCTTACACGTACATTTAACATGCCATTGAAATTGTCATTTATTTGTAAAAAAGGAATGTATAAATGTAAGATATGCACATGTGCTTTGCACTTTATGATTACGTTTACATGTACCCCCGTGTTTTAGTGAACAATTTAATGGTCTTAGCTAATTAACATATTTAATTGTAAATTTACAGAATACATACAATCACTCATGCATATTGCATATAACGTTACTGCTTGTACTGTTTCCTTAGATAAACCAAATGGTCGGCCAGATTTTCATAAATGTAGTATTTTTTTTTTACATGAATACATATTTAAGATGATGTTTAGTATCAGTACAATTGATACCGGTATTTACTGTCGTCCTTATTTGAATGATAAAATATTTTCATTTTAAACATACAGCTCGATCTGCAAAAAGATTAGCTTGATATGATTCAATGCTAGTTATTGTTAATATAATTGCATACGTAGTTGAATTGGTATGTATGTATATTTACTAAACAAATTGAATTGGTACATATGTTGTACATACAACCATACATTTATAAGACTGTGCTTATATTGTATCTATTTTTTTTTTCATTTTCATAAATTTATAAAAATATGAAAGGATCATGAACATATCTCAGTACTAAGTTGCCTTTGGAAAATCATTTCTGGCAAAATTTAATCCTCATTGAAAACAAATTTAAAAATTACCACCACCCAAAAAAAAAAAAAATACCTAAAAATATCTGATGCTGATTATTTGAAAAGAGCGCAAATCAGAAAGTAGATTTGGTAGGTTTCTGAAATTGATATTGTGCATACAATAATTAATTTTTTGGGTTTGGAAATTGTACCAGGTTGACAGATTTGCATATTGTTCATGTTGTTCACTTATTTGCCATACGGAACTTTGTAACTGGATGGCCAGTTGCCATAGCGATGTCAGATTATGCGTTGCATAAACTGCTGCGCACTCGAGCTGCCATAATATAGCGTACTGTAAAAAATTGATGTATATAAAAAAATTACGTAGAAAGTCTCGAGTAGGGAATTTTATATCGAATTGTGTCTGATTTGCTTTTCATGCGTACATAAGTAGTTAAGTTGTTAAAAAAAAGGGAAAATACAAGAAATGCTTTGATGTTTACTCTTCTGGTTAAAACCAAGTTTACTGGCTGGGACATTGTAAAACAATATTCTATTGAAATTTATTAATCAACTACAAATTTAAATATGGTCTGAAAGCTTTCATTATCATTTTTAAATCTCGTCAAAAGTTGACAGTTTTTCAAATTCCGTTGTCATTTCACAAATATTTACATGTACATTGTATGCAACACCAGACAATAAAATAAATGCATCGAATACAGTGTGGTTATACATGTAAAATGCATACACGTATATAGGATCAACATAATTAAAGTCATCAAGTAGTTGACGTCAAACATTTTTAAAAGCATGTATCCCCAGTACTTGCACAAATTTTCATAAGAAATAAAAACTGTATTTAACCCTAAAACTTACCAACTCCATCAAAATCCATCCCCTATTTTGGGGATTTTGGCAGATAAGCCATGTGTACCAAGTCCATCAAAATCCACCAGCACTAGTGGTGGATTTCAATGGATTTAGTCCTAAAGCATTATGTGAAGCAGAGTCAGTGATGGATTTTGACAGACATGGTCTTCAGCTTAGTAAACTAAGTAGGGAGTGACGGTTAATTTTGTAAATTTTTATTTTGTGATTTGGTTTGGAAACAAGTGTTTGACTGAATTAGATTTGGGCATAAATGTTGTTTCAATCCTACATATTGCCTATTCTTGGATAATTCTTCTTGTCTGCACTCAAAAACCATTTTCAATTACTTTGTTTATCCCTCCAGGTGCGTTGATGTATTTGAATGAGGCGACCTTACTCAACAATCTCCGACTGCGCTACAAGAGAGGCAAAATCTACGTGAGTACACCCACTTGATATCATGCATATTTTATTATTGGGACTAGAATATCTCATTATTCGGCAAGGTCGCTAGATTCTAGAAGGAAATATGGCTGGAGTTATTCAATATGCAGATGCTGCCCCCTGGCCATATGGGGATATGTTGCATAATACAATATAAATAGATTTATACTTTACATGTAATTTACTAAAATTGTTAAAAAGAAATTTTTAACTTGCGTTTATTAAAGTCAGAGTGAACCATTTGCAGTTTTTCAAAAAGTAACCGACCAAATTATTGTTGGAAGTCTCACTCAGTTTAAAGATAGTAATGGCAAAACTGAAATTATCCCTTGAAAAAAAATAATAAAAAGAAGGTAATTTCCGTAAGATGTGTGGCACATTTTTGGAAATTCAGGTTTAGGAATTGCCATTAGGCCCAAAAAAATAATAGTTCTGCTTCCGGTTTCCCTACCCACCCTATTCTGACAGCCCCTACCCTAATTTTTTTATTGGAAAAATGAGGAAAAAACACCCAAAACCATCACTTTATACCTTTCACCCTTGACTACACGCAGATGCCTCCATATGATCGTACACAAAAAAAATTGGCCAAAAAAAAAAATCCCTACCTACCTACCCTATTTTCGAATGCCATTTAATCGGAGGCAGAGCTATTTTTTTTTTGGCCTTATGAAAAGGATTTTCAATGTTTACTGGAAAACAGGTTAGTATAGTAATAACATTTTGGAGGGACACGATCAAGATTCAATTTTAGGTCGGCTGAAAGTTGTTCATGAAGAAAACTGCTCAGCCTAAAAACGGCAATATGAATATTAGAAATAAAGTTCCATGGAACACAAGGTACATATCTAGGATTGCATTTAAAATACCATCCATTGCGTGGCCGTTTCAATTTGTTAGATGTTTGTCCTGTATTGTCATATTTCTTCATCCGCAGTGCACATGCACCATCAAGAGAAATGTCTTTTGTATCCGTTTCTAAGCCATTCGGCAAACGTTTGGCATTTCGTTTTGTTTACAGGAGCACACACGCACATCATGAGCTGCAGACATTTCACAATGTAATTTCAGAACGTCAACGTACGTTGTCCCACATTTCACGTTCTTACCTGGCATGAGATTTGTTTTTGAAACAAATAATGCAAAAAACTGTCATTTATTATTTTTGCATGACAACTTAAAACAGAGCATTTTGATTTGTTTTGTATAAGAAACTAACAACTGTTTCTTTGTTTTGTTTTTGATATATTTATTTTCCTTTTGTTTGTTTGTTTGTTTGTTTTTGTTTGTTTTGCTGTTAAACTGTCATTGAATGTTCTTCATTGGCGTGATTGACATGCCTATTAAGTATGCATTTCTTTTTGTTAATCACATGTGGAACAGTTTGCATCCCCAAAACCGTTACCAGCATTCATGTCTTGAAGAAGCCGACAGTTAAAACCAAAATTTAGGAAGACAGCTTCCTAGATTTGATTTGATGTTAAGCATGTTTGTCTTTTAACCCTCCCGTTCTGGCTGGCAAATTCAGCCGCGCCATCATAGCAGTCAAAATCAATCAGGTCACTGTTTTTAACAGTTAAGAATTCTCTTCTTATTTGGATATAGCCGTGCTCGGACTGGAGATAATTGATATGCCAGCTGAAACTACCAGTGACCTCTTTTGTCCGTTGATGGAATTTGACTAGTCACAGTGTTTACACAAATGTGATCTGACTGTTTATTTTTACTAGCCTGTACATACAATTGCATGGCAAGGGAAGTGGAAGACATTTTTTTTACTGTCTGTGAATGATCAAACAACAGTGTACATGCAACAGTGTAACAAATATGACAAAATCTTTTTGCGTTATGACCTACATTGTACAATAATGTTTTTTTAAGATCCATTGTTCCCTCCCGTAGTTGAGTTTGTACAAGTAACTGCATGTTCAATTGCCCGATGGTCAGACTAACTCTTGGTTAATATGATTATTTGATTAAGTATAACAAATAAATCTGATAATGATTCAATTAAAGAGGTTGTGGAATGCTCGAAGATATTTCTGTCATTTTTCAGGGGGCAGCAAACAAAACATAGTAAATCGTGACGTAATAAACAGGACTCGTTTATACTACGCTGCATCGGGAGTCTTGTTTATTACGTCACGATTTACTATGTTTTGTTTGCTGCCCCCAACGCCGACTTTTACACAAATCGCACGTTCGGGTCGAAACATGACCTGAAAAACAGCTCTCAAAAGTACCTTTTGTACTCATTTCATGACAGACACAATAGTCGTTTTTATTTCATCACACCTTAGGCTACATATACCCGAAAAAATGACGGAAATGTCTTCGAGCATTCCACAACCTCTTTAACAGAAGTTTAGTTTATACATTAAAGTGCCATGCATGTTTTGGAGGATTGAGAAGTATTAGGCTTAATAATTTATTTGGTTGCGTTTTTTTTTTTTGGACAGACGTACGTGGCCAACATACTGATTGCAGTCAACCCATACAAAGAACTCCAAAACCTGTATGACAACGATACCATCAGGCGCTACAACGGCAAATCGCTGGGTGTGCTACCGCCGCATGTGTTTGCTATCGGTAAGAGAAACTTGTAAGGTTTTACACACCTTACAAGAAGACACATTGAAGTTGTAACAGCGGAGAATTGTGAATTTCGTTTGTAATTTCTAATTCTCCTGTCTCAAACATTTCAGCCCTAGTATTTCATACATGTACAGGGTGAGTAAAAAAAAGCGGAACCCAAACAATATATTTCATATTTAAAAAAATATGTAGCACCAAAAATAATAATGACTGGAAAGCCAATTTCAAAAGCTACTTTTAGATAAAAAAAAATACTGAAATTGCTTAATCCCTACAAAGAATATCTCCATTTAAACGCAACGACCCTAAAACCTGTCTCGTCAAAAAAAAAAATTTCTGTGTGTTTTGACTGTTTGGAACAACAAAGAAAATGACATAGAATACTTGTTTCAACAACTGTCACAAACTGTAGTACACAATATTTTGATTAACAACCCTGGTTAGGCAAACAATATGATTTATAAAATCTACTTTTTGAAAAGACCGGCCTTCAAAAGGACATTGTTGCATATTCTTAACGTTTAAACTAAGATTTCATCGCTGGTGATGTTTGAAGACAATTGTGACGACTATTGTTGAAATCGCATTTTTTTTGGACGAGACAGGTTTTGGGGTCATTGGGTTTAAAAGGTGATATTCTTTGAACAGATTGACCAATTTCAGTAATTTTTCCATCTAAAAGTAGCTTATGAAATTGGCTTTCCAGTCATTATTATTTTTGGTGCTACATATTTTTTTAAACATGAAATATAATGTTTGGGGTTTGGGTTTGGCTTTTTTGACTCACCCTGTATTATTGTAACGAAATGCAACATTATGACATTATGACGAAACAGTAACGGCAAGGTTAAAGTTTGTTTAATTTTTTTCAAGTGAAAAATTAAAACAAAAACCGACCAGAGATTTCAAGATTTTTGGGTTGGCCTTACTTTTAACACTTTAAAGGGTCCATGAAATGAATTTTTTGAGGATTTTTATGACTTAAATACATTTAAAACTGCTTTCTTGCCATGAAACTATGGCTTTCCACCTCCTTTGTAGCAGTAAAAGGGAGAAATTTCAACATTTTAGTTTTTATGCTAATGAAAATTGCCATATTCATGAGCCAAAGCGTGATGTCATTCAAGGCAGAATAGTAGTGTCTGCATAGCTTTGTGTACAAATTTGTGTTAAAACTTTTCTTCATTTTCTTGGAGTAGGTTCCACTTTTTACTTGTTTATCAATCGGCTCAGTGAGAACGTGTCTCGGGCGCCGAATTCAGGCCCAATTCAAAACATGATTCAGCAACTTTTGATTTGAAATCGAGATCCTAGAATGTTGTTTTTCTCAAAATATACAGCTGAAGCTGAGCTGAAACTTCATCAGGTTAGTTGTTCAGCACCCTTCTTTAGATTTTGAGCACTTTTGTTGCTTCAAACAAACAAAATGCAGAAATTACAAATGATGGACTATATCTTTAAAGGAATTTAAATATTACTCTGAATATTGCCTTCCCCTAGGAGTGGTTATGATTTCTGGTAATATGACTTAGTGAATGTTTTCTTTATCAGCGGACAAGGCCTTCCGTGACATGAAAGTGACTAAACTCAGCCAGTCAATCATTGTGAGCGGAGAGTCTGGTGCCGGCAAGACAGAGTCAACCAAATATATCCTGAGGTATGGCGTCTGTACTTCACGCAGTTAACACTTCAATACTCCTCTATTTACCTTTATTTATTACATTTTTTTTTTCATTTCTTCCAATTGAAATCCAATGCCAGTAATGATAAACAGAAACGAAAAAGCAGTGTATTGTGCGGAAGTACTGCAATATTATGCTAATTTATGCAAATTATTGACAGGTACATGGGCGTCGTGGGGGGGGGGGGGAGGTTGGGGGCAAGGGGGGCCTGTAAAAGCAAAAAAAAAGGAAAAGAAAAAAAAGAGGGTGAAGTCATATTTGCTATTAACTTATGCAGGTGTGTCAGTAGGGGTGGGGTGGGCAAATGCCCCCCACCCACCCTGGAAAAAAATGATAAATTAAGAATATGTTAGAGAAAGTACAAGGATTTGGGGGGGGGGGGAATGTGCTTTGCCCCACCTCCCCCCCCCCCCCAGAAAAAATCCTGGCGACGCCCATGGACAGGTTCACAGGGCGATGTGATGGCCAGCTTCATAACATTATATCTACCAATGGCCAGAAAGCAGACTTATTGTGCTGACTTTTAAACGAATCACTCAGGTTTCTAACATTTGACAAATAAGGAAACCCCTGTTATATGTTTTTCATCATCTCCTCGAGACTGGTCAAACTTTTTTTCGAATATTTGAATTGAAAAAATGCTATTCAGAAAAAAAAGGAAAAGAAAAAAAAGAGGGTGAAGTCATCTTTGTCTATCTGAATAGCATTTTTTTCAATTCAAATATTCGATGATATTTGTCGCAGCCCATTGAGACCAGCACGCTCTTATTGTTTGTCTTGGTTCTAGCAGTGTTCCTTTTTCTTGTACTTCCTACCAGGTACCTGACAGAAAGCCATGGGCAGGGAGCAGGCACCATCGAGCAGCGCATCGTGGAGGCCAATCCCCTCCTAGAAGCCTTTGGTAACGCCAAGACCATGCGAAACAACAACAGCAGTCGCTTCGGCAAGTTTGTGGAGATGCACTTTGGGGAGAAGGTAAGGCTGTGACTACGGCTGATAGCAACACACGTGTCTATGGGAAATGGCTTCAGCCATATCCATAGCCATGTAGTGTGGACACAGCCTAAGAGATAGACTTTAGTAGTATGAGTGGAGCATTTTGCACCCCAAATATGGAGTGTGGCTGTTCCTGCAAGCTTCAAAGCAAATAGAATTGGGAGCAATTCAGGGCCCAATTTCACAGCTCTGCTTACTATTAGCGAAAAAATCCTGTTTAACTCTTTCAGTGCCCGGGACATTTCAAAAGTTTAACCCTAAAGTGCTCAACTTCGAGCTTTTTTTCTAATTATTCAAAATTCTGTTAAAAAAAGAAGTAAATAAGTTGTAATCACCAAACTTGTATCTTGCTCTCAGGTATATTCTTGTTACTTTCAAAAGTCAATAGTAGGAAAGAACCTAGTGATACACCCTGAAACACTCTACTGAACACAGGGGAATTCTGCACTTTTTGTAGAATATACATCTGTCGTGTCTGATACCCCTCCTCATACAAACTCTGTTCATTAGCATCAATATCGTCATGATTGTCACTATTGACACTAACGTAAGCACCATCATTATCATTTGTATCGGTATCCCTATTTTCCTCTTCTGACTCACCATCCTGTTCTGAAATATCCATAGATGATTCTGAATCAGAAAAGTAATCCCTTTCGCTGTCCGAATCGGCAAAAATTTCATTGATTTCCTCTGGAGATAACACGTGAGCCTGTTTCTGGGCGCCGCCATTTTTGTCAACAAGTCGAAACTCAGAGACGGGCTGTCAGTGTTATGCCCTCTCGCAAGAACTCGAATAAAAAAATAAATACAGGTCGTACATGCATGAAAATGGTACCATTAGAAAGAGCGAGAGCGCCCCCTTTTGATAACATGTTTACCTCGTACATGTACGAGGTTTGGCGATTTTAAGCACGAACATTACCTCGTATATGTACGAGGTTGGCACTTTTGTACTAACAAATATACCTCCTACATGTACGAGTTTGGCACTGAAAGAGTTAATGCAGCAGAAAATACCGTGCTTACTGTAAGCAATTTTCACAGGTTAACTAAGAATTTCGGCTTCTGCGCATAACTACATCCCGTAACCAAGGATTCTGTGCTTAGAGGGTTAGCGCAGAGTTTTTCTGTTAGCACTGTTAGCACTAAATGGTTATCGTAAGCGTGGAATTCTGTGGTTGGCAATGTTTTCCTTCAACTAGACTCTTAGAGTCATTCCAAACAAATTCAACAGTCGATCTTACGACATAGCTGTTCGTAACTGTTTCAAAACCTCAAACCTTTCATGTACTTAAATAAAATCTATGAAAAAAATGGTTTGGTGCAAATGTCTGAAATATGTCTAAAAAGCATTCAAATGTCTGCTAACATTATGTACCATGAACATCATTTTGAGAATTTCAATTTCCCCAAGTCTCGATCCTGTGATAATTACCGTTACTATTTTTTCGTCCCAGAATGCTGTGGTGGGTGGCTACGTGTCTCATTACCTTCTTGAGAAACCCCGCGTCATCTGGCAGAACGGTGAAGAACGCAACTACCACATCTTCTACTACCTGTGTGCTGGGGCACCAGACAATGTACGCAAGGAACTCGGCATAAAGACGCCTGATGACTTTCAGGTAGGTTTTCATTTATGCAGATCTTTAAACTTCACCAGCCACTAGCCTGCAGACTTAAAGGCATATAGGATCATTTGCATTTATCCCAAAAGTAACCTACGGAATTATTAAAGATCGTTCTGGTTCTAGACTTCTCTTGAAATTATTCCATCTGGCTTGCTGTCATTTAGAAGAAAGCAAGGAACGTATAGGTGATTTCCAACGATCGGTCAATTTAATTGACTGATTTTTTTAAACATAAAAAGTACTATAGATGAAATTGTGTTTCGTGATCAATCATTTGTGCATTGTTTTTCACTGTTTTCTCAAAATGTGTAATATTCACTGAGCTGGAACTTCAACAGGTTAGGTTTTTAACACTCTTCTTTTGAGTGGTGTTATTTTTTAAACGAACAAAGTACATGAAAAGCAAATGTCATAAATAGTTTTGATGAAAATGAAAATAGAAAAAAAAATTGATTATAAATGTATACACTTTGCAAATTGCTTACTGAACAGTAGTTGTAAGTTTGGTTACTTTTTTACCCCCCCCCAAAAAATATGTTTTAATGATAAATCTTTTCCCCCCCCAGTACCTTAAGAATGGCAACACCCTGTTCTTCACTACCAAGGAAACGCACAAGAGCCTGCCTGACGACAGGAAGAGTAAAATGGTAGGTTGCCATGGTAACACATTTACATAAAGTTATCTTCTTTCTCTCGTAAACAGTGTTTAGTTTGCATCATTCATTAAAGTATGGAAATGAATAAATTGAAATGAATAAATTTTGCATCTTATACTTTTCTTAATAAATCTTTTCTGTTGCTAGTTTTTTCAATCATGTTCATGATCTGCTTTTTCAATTTCAGTTTTTATGAAAGTTGAAGTAAAGATATTTTTGTGTAAAATTTGGTTTTGTGAGTAAACAAAAATGCTTTTGTGACTAATCTCTTTCATTATATTTATGTTATTTAAACCTTTTGCCGTTTTGTCGTTTTGAAACATTTCTCTGCCGTTCGTTTGTGGTAAGGACTGAAGTTATGTTACATGCATGTCTGTGTACAAACTTTTTATTTGTTGTAAACCTAAGAACAACATTCATTTTGTGTGCACATGTTGTTAGCCCTACACGTATCCACAAAAATCTAACACAAAGTTTTGCAGTATTTTGGTGATTTCAGGACATTCTCAGTTACTGTATTAGTGGGCTGTGTTCAAAGAGTGTGACATGCAGGCCATCAGCCTCGGTCCAAAATTTTGGCCACCGGTATCAAATGAGGGGAATAATCGTCATAGCGATTTTTGGCAAGGTATGCACATCCAGAGTTGGAAAATATGTGATAGCATTGCAACGGTGGCAGCTTTTTGGGTGTTATCGCCCTTTTTTTTTTTAAATGTCCATCAAAATGCTTGTTACCACTCTAGGGGCGGTATACCTTGCGCATGCGCACTATAATCATTTATGCCGTAATTTGATACTGACCAAACCCCCAGGCTGATGGCCTAATTGTTTAATTGCACTCAGTTAAGCCGTCCTCGAGTCGACCGTGCGATGACACAGAACAGTCAGCGACTGATTTGACAGAACCAAGCTGTGCCTGAGCTGCCACTGTCGGGAACATATTACTCACTGATATTTTTTGCAACCTGAGTGTAAATGTGTCGATATTAAGATGATCGGCATCAGTTGGTGCTATACAAAAATATCAAGAGTCACAAGAAGAGTAGCAAAATGTCAACTTCTGCGCTGCGAGGGAATGTGTTCCGAACAGGCGGGTATCAATCGCAGTCGACCTGCGTGAAGTCATGTGCGCATCCAGCACCCGATTTCACGAAGCACTGCGACGCGTCGCAACTCGAGTTACGACGTTGCGACGCGTCGTATTATCCATTCCACGAAAGTTGCGATGTGTTGAATGCTTCGTAAGTTCCTTGACGACGGCTTAAAACACGTCGCAAGATACGACATGTCTAGTGGTCGTCGCAAAATAAGAACAGTCTGTTTTTAGCCAGTTTTGTGCCATAAACATTACATTAACGAGATTATATTACCGAGGCAATGTGTGTAAAGTTGTAAATTTATAGAAAATTCATTGAATAATTATGAATTAGCCTGGAATATTGCAGTTGAAATTTCAAAGTAGCTACACAGTCCACTGAGAGCTCATTTTCCTTTAAAATTGCATTGCACGGCCGCCATTTTGTCCTACGTTTTAACAAATTTCGAGCGGAGATCTGACGACTCTTTGTTGAATATCAAATGACTATTTACTGTACGCTGACTAAATACATAAAACAGTCACCGAGTTGTCCAATGTAAATACACATACGACGCGTCGCACTTACACTTACAACGCAGCTGCGACGCATCGTAGGGATAATGATGCGTCGCAGTGCTGCGATGCATCGTAAGTTACGAAGAGTTTGATGAAATCGGGTCCAGATCATCCAATTTTATTGTGAATCGTCGTCGCATTGTGGGTGATGTGAGCATGGTTGCGATTACTCTGTGTCGAGATTCCGCTTGTTCCACGATTTTAATCGCACGATTTCTCAGTTTTTGTGACCTGAGCCATGACTTTTGTGCTTGATACCGACGGTTCTGTCACAGCGCAAGCAGATCGCAAGTCGACCTGAGGCCAGGTTTAGATTTCTGAGGTTTTAGAACAGGTTCCAGGCATAAATTATGGGAGAGTTACAAATGTGCAGTTAAATATTATATAGCTGTCAAATTATCATTTACACACATAATTTTTTTTCACAGATTAAATATGGAAAACATATTTCTCCTCTTATAATTGGTTTACATAGTAACTGGTTTCCAAATAATTGGTTATTTTTTATCAAATGCACAAACACCTTGGAACATACACGTACACTCATACATTTTGCATGGAGTTGTTACTGCTGTATTCAACACAGATGTCTGTATATTATGGTTTAAAACTATGCACTGGAATTGAGTTGGTTTTTTGTCGGCTTGGGGTCACTATTTAAGTTGGTAGTCTACAAGTTGGTATTTATTGTCGGGCAGAAAACCTTTAAATTTACAGATTTTCTATGAATTTTTATTTTTCACTATTGTGATAAATGCAGTAGGGATTTTTAATCAACATTTTCTTTTTTTTAATGGAGAGGAAACGTTAATTTTCATTTCATTTGTTCAACGGAATCTTTTTGAAAGAGTGAACCTAGCTAGTTTCTTTTGTGGTTCATTTCATCATTTGAATGGGAAACAGTTACAAGATTGTAAAATGTAGCATCGATGTCTTTTCCCCTCATTTTGATAGAGTGGTGCACAATTGTCTTGTGGCACATGTGCATGGCGTTTTGCAAAGTATTGATACACCAAAACGGGGAATGAATGGTTCACCAAGTTAGCCAATAAGCCAGTTCGGTATCTCGATGAGGTAGTCCAGGTCAAAGGTCATTTTTCATGTAACGTCACATCAACAACTTTATCCCGAATGTCTTTTTCCCTCATTTTGATAGAGTGGTTCGCAATTGTCTTGTGGTACATGTGCATGGCGTTTTGCAACGTATTGATACACCAAAACGGGGAATGAATGGCTCACCAAGTTAGCCAATAAGCCAGTTCGGTATCTTGATGAAGTAGTCCAGGTCAAGGTCATTTTTCACCTAACGTCACATCAACAACTTTATCCCGAATGTCTTTTTCCCTCATTTTGATAGAGTGGTTCACAATTGTCTTGTGGTACATGTGCATGGCGTTTTGCAAAGTATTGATACACCAAAACGGGGAATGAATGGCTCACTTAGCCAATAAGGCAGTTCGGTATCTCGAATGAAGTAGTCCAGGTCAAAGGTCATTTTTCACGTAACGTCACATCAACAACTTTATCCCGAATGTCTTTTTCCCTCATTTTGATAGAGTGGTTCACAATTGTCTTGTGGTACATGTGCATGGCGTTTTGCAACGTATTGATACACCAAAATGGGGAATGAATGGCTCACTTAGCCAATAAGCCAGTTCGGTATCTCGAATGAAGTAGTCCAGGTCAAAAGTTATTCGGGATAAAGTCGTAAACATGATGTTACGCGATGTTATGTGAATGCCCATTCTGCGCGTAATTAAGGCATGAGCATATTCCGCCAGTCTCCCTGCGCATTCACGCGCTGTCGATTAGTGTTGGATTATCCTGAATGACCCATGACCCCTGGGGTGCTTGTGGTCCAATGGTTACGGTGTTCGACTCGTGTGCCGTGGTACATGGGTTCGAACCCTGACCGTGGGAACATGGTGCTTGTGCTCTTGAGCAAGGCACTTTACCACTATTGCTTCGTCCTCCGGATGGGACGTAAACCCGTAGTTCCCGTGTGATGTGTAATGCACGTTAAAGAATCAGCAACACTTGTCGCTAAGAGAAGGGGTTCGCCCCGGTGTTTCTGGCAGTGGCCGCAGCACCTTGTGAACCCTGGTGCCACATAATGGGTCTCATATCTCTCATGTACTTCATTCATCTAACAGTAGACATAACTCCCAGTGCCTTGAGTACCTCAGTACTCTGTTGCGCTAATGCCTGAATAGGTTTCTGCAACATAGCCATACAGATACAGACAGATACAGATGACCCATATCATTATGCGCATGCACAGTTGAAATAACGAACTGTTTTACTCCAAATTCCTGATTTGTACACCACACTTTTTACTCCCAGTACAAGAAACACGGAGGCCTGTATGACATCGCGCTGGACGACTACAAAGGCTACGCGCGGGTTGAGGGCGCTATGAAGAAAATCGGCCTGGAGGACAAAGAGAAGTTAAATATCTTCCGCGTGGTTGCCGGGGTGATGCATCTTGGGAACGTCAGCTTTCAAACGTCGGACGGAACGCAAGGTATGTCAACAAGTACACCTTTTGAACAATCCTATTTTTAAAGGCTTAAGGATCATTTGCATTTATCCCATAAGTATCCTACCGAATTATTATCAAAAAGCTTACTTGGATTAAAGATCGTACTGGTACTAAACACCCCGTGAAATTATTCCATCTGGCTTGCTGTCATTTCGACGGTGTTTTCACGAAGTGACAAAAACCTCAATATCATGCAAAAAGGTCATTCCGAGATAATCGCCTTTGAAGTTAATCATTTTTTCAAAACACCTTTTCGACTAGTTTTTAGTTATGGATTGAGGAAATTCTTGCATCGTCAAGTAACATATGCTTTGTTCTTTGCTTATTCAAAGTTGTTTATTAGAGAATTAAACTGTTATTCATTAATTAAGATCAATAAAGATTTTGTTCACTTTGTGAAAACAGCAAAACACAGAGGCCTCACTATTTTGTCCCATTAAGTTGTACACACGCTTCGTCACTTCGTGAAAACATAAAACGTTCTAAGAAATTGTTACATTTGCACGTCTGACGTCACTGCAGCGTGCGCGCGTCTGTTCTTTATCGACATCGTTCACGGTGTGCACGTCCAATCCCATCCTAACGTGTGTGTAGAGAAGTGCACTATTCGTCTGGCCCTGCTAACGAGGCAAGTTTTTGTCACTTCGTGAAAACAGAAAAACACGGATTTCAGGCATTTTGTCAAATGTTTGTTTACGATAATTACAAAAGTAAACAATATTTCGCTTTGAAACTCGGCCAAATTCTTCTTTTTGTCAAGTGCAATAAATTGGGCGGCAAAACTCAAAATCAAGGTTTTTGTCACTTCGTGAAAACATCGTCGATTTAGAAGAAATCAAGAAATGTAGGTGGTTTCCAAGAATCTGTCAATTGACTGATTTTTGGAAATAAAGAGTGCTATGGACAAAATTGTGTTTTGTGATCAAAAGGTTGTTCAAGGTTTTTTCGCTGTTTTCTCAAAAAGTGTGATATCCACCGAGCTTAAACCATTGCTGTGACGTCACACTATTGTTAAAATTGTGGATTCGGAACTACGAATCTCTTACACTGGTCACAAAGTGTGGATTCGGAATGACGAATCTTTAGTAAAGTGTGGCACGTCGGACAATTGTTCTTCATAATGAACCTGAATAGGACCGTCTGCGTGAAAATTTGCTTTCCGAAAATTACCGAAAATTCACTGTCAGATTCTCTGCCGTCACTGCAAAATCTACTTTTAGTCAGAAAGAAATCATCGTCTGAACTATCCATTTTGACGTAAGGAGCCTATACACACAAAATGACTTGGTTGTACGGGTGTGGCGATGCACATGCTAAACACACCAGGAAAAAATGTGGCAACCTGACGCCACTTCCGCGCTTGTGTACAAAGTCTATGGAGAGTCATTTCAAGTATTTCCTAACAAAATTGGAAACATTTCTCAGGCCCAGATTCATGTCTTATCGTCATCATGTCTTATCGTCATTTTTGCAACAAATGACCTTCATTGAGATGATTATGAAGAAAAAAGTGGCGTCAGGTTGCAACATTCTTTCCAATACTTCTGTTGACGCAATGGTTTAAGTCGAAGAATACACTCGCAAGTGTGGATTTTTAATTTACGAATTCACTCGGCGCTTCGCGCCTCGTGAATTCTTAAATTGCGAATCCACACTTTCTCGTGTATTCTCCTTAACTGAAACTTCAACGGGTAATAGGTTTTGAACAGTCATCTTGGGATTTTGAGCCTGCCTTCGAACTGCCCAATTACGTACTGGTCCCTTTTCCCGTTTTTGTACATCATCGACCCGACTTGATGTTTTTGTTTTGTTGTTTTCTAGGGGGATGTTTTGTACCAGAGACGGCCGAGTCCGAATTGACCAAGACCGCTGAGCTCTTCTCGGTTCCCGTCAATGACCTACAGGAATGCCTGACCAGCCGCATTATGCAGACTACCAAGGGAGGCCACAGGGGAACGCTCATCAAGTAGGAAGAGTGTTTCATTAACCCTTTCTTTTACCATGGGCGACTTTTGTCGACAAGAAGAACCCCCTGCTGATTCCCATGGGCGACTTTAGTCGACCAGGAAACCACACACAGAACACCCTCAACACAGATATATTTACTACTTTTCAGAAAGGCGGCATGTTGATATGTTTGGCCGCCCATACATCAACCGTATACCAACTGAAAGAGTGTTTTCGGATCGTTCTAATGGTGTAGTTATTCATAGTGGTACCATTACCAAAATTTAAGAAAAGTGCTTCAGAAGTATCCACGCACAATTTGAGGTATGGAGTGCAATTTGGTCATGTGGTGAAATGGCTTGCAGTTTGATAAATGGGACCACATGAACAAAAAGGCATAACTTTCTTATATTTGCACATTTTAACATCACATAAAAGAGCAAGGTTCAAGGAACAAACTTTACACACAACACCTATGATTTAAATCACTCCTTGGCAGTGATAATCTGGGTTGAAAAAAGTGGCTTTTCGAATTGTGGTCATTTTTGTTCACGCTCTAGTGATTTCCGCATGACTGAGCAAACAATTTGGTCCTGGGGAGAGCCAAGTCATTAAACAATGTGGTAATGAAAGGGTTAAACCCAACTCTTAAAGCACTTTTTTCACCTGATCCCTAATTGACTGAGTGTATTTTTTTTTGCCAGTTACCCAGACATAAGTGTTATAGTTGAAGGACTTGTGATGGATCATAAGACATCATAAGTCTGTCACAATTCAATCACTAGTTGATCACAAGTCAATCACAAGTCCGTCACAAGTCATCATGAGTCAATCACAGTCCATCACAAGTCCATCACAAGTCCATCACAAATTAGATTTTCATTTCTTTAGTGATTCGTTGTTGTGTTAGTACATGGCAGTAAGCCAATGAGCAAACTTTTCTCACAAATGTTTTCAATGAGCAGATTTCTCGGTTCACATTTGAACAGAAAACCCCTGAAGTGAACAGTGTCTTCCTGAAATGACATCACAGCAACAGCGCCCTCAGTTGTCCAAAAGAGCATGGAAAATTAAAGAAGTGCACTTTTGAATAAAATTAACCAGAAAGAGATGTCTGATAGTTTTCATACATTAAAGAGGAGTAGAAAGTTGCACAAAATGTGTTCCTGAAGAAAAATTCATTTCATGGACACTTTAATTTTGGCATATTTTGAGTGGTTCTAAAATATTTCCAAATCGTGGAGCATTTGGTCAGTTTTCCACTGGTATCTATTGTCTGATTACCGTGCAGGGTACCGCTGAACGTGGAGCAGGCGTGCAATGCTCGGGACGCCCTCGCCAAGACGATCTACTCGCACCTCTTTGATCGCATCGTCCAGCGAGTCAACGAGTGCTTCCCATTCAAGTCCTCCGCGTCATACATCGGCGTGTTGGACATTGCCGGCTTCGAGTTCTTCACTCTCAACAGCTACGAGCAGTTCTGTATCAACTACTGCAACGAGAAACTCCAGCAGTTCTTCAACAAGCGTGTCCTCAAAGAGGTACTTATGATATTTATTTCAGTACTTGGTTTTGCCCTTCATCGATGTATTAAAGTAATAGTCCATCATTTGTAATTTGTGCATTTTGTTCATTTGAAGCAACAAAAGTGCTCAAAATCTAAAGAAGGGTACTGAACAACTAACCTGATGAAGTTTCAGCTCAGCTTCAGCTGTATATTCCGAGAAAAACGGCATTCTAGGATCTCAATTTCAAATCAAAAGTTGCTGAATCATGTTTTGAATTGCGCCTGAATTCAGCGTCCGAGACACGTTCTCGCTGATCCGAATGCAGCTACGCGATGTCGCGCACTGATCCCAGTTATAGCAACCGGGGGAGCGTGTGCGTCGTGCCAATGCTTGCGCGCGCTTCACCGAAAAACAAAACGAACTACTAATTTAAATGTTCCTATGGTGCGTCTTAAGAAGCACCGTTGGAAAGGCCTTCTTTTGTTGATTACTTCAAAATGACAGCTTGCCAGAAAGAATAATTTCACAGGGAGTTTAGTCTCCTTACTATCTTTCAACCAAGTATGTTTTTCAACAAGAATTACGCCAGCTACTTTTCGGATAGCTGCAAATGATGGACTATAGCTTTAACACTGTGTACTCAGTGTTGTCCCGAGTGATACTGAGAAAAACAATTCACAAACTAGAAATGTGTTTGTGGACAAAGACTTCGGGATAGTGGTCTAAGTGTCTGCCAAGTCTGAAGTCATGCAATCAGACATACGAAAGTGCCACAGTGTATGGTTGGAAGAAAAACGTGTACAAAACCTATGGAAAAAATAAAACAACCTTTAATGTGACGCAATTTGACACCTGATGATGTCATCGTGACAATAATCTTCTAGGACCATCTTCAGGTGATGGTCTAAGCGTATGTCAAGTCTTAAAGTCAGTCAGACTTACGAAAGTGCCAAAGTGTATGGTTGGAAGATAAACGTGTGCAAAACCTACGGAGAGGAGTCTAAAAAAGAAGAAAAGAAAAAAAAGGAGAAAACAAACTTAAACGAAAACAAGAGCTGTTTCGGCGGTGTACACTGAAACAGCTAAGTACTCGGTACGGACTCGAACCACTGACCTGTTTATTAGTGCAGACGTCTTACCACTCGACCACCCAGCTTCTAATTCAAAGTGTTCAATCGGTGTTGCTCATTTTCACAGGAGCAAGAGTTGTATCAGAAGGAAGGTCTGGGAGTCAACGCTGTGCAGTACGTGGACAACCAAGATGCAATCGGTACGTTCTGCTTCAAAGGCAGTGAGGATATTCATTGCATTTTGTACTTTTCCAATAATAACACCACTCAAAAATCCAAAGAAGAACGTTCAAAACCTAACCTGTTGAAGTTTCAGCTCAGTGGGTATTACACTTTTCGAGAAAACATTGAATATCGTGCACAACCTTTTGATCACATAACACAATATCGTCAATAGCATTCTTTATTTCCAACGTTTATTCAATTCGGGCGATTCACAATGCAGTGCGCCACCAAGAGTTTGCCATGGAGAGTTCATTTTTCCCAGTGCATTGTGGGAGATGGTCGACAAATTCGCAGCGCGGGACATTTGAAGATGTTTGTTTTTCCGGTCAGTAGTTTCGAAAGCGTACGATTCAAGTATATGTTTGCCCGTTTGTTTTCTTTTGATCAATATGGTGAATTTTTGTAAGGCGGCAGAACGCTATGCCCCAATCTGCAACAAATTAGCTCAAGTTGTCTACTGACACTCATTCAAATGGGCCATGTTTTGTCGACCGTAAACTTGAAAATTTGACTCTCCGTGGCAAACTCTTGGTGGTGCACTGCATTGTGAATCGCCCAAATTGACTGATCGTTGGAAATCGTCTACATTTCTTTGATTTTTTTCTAAATGACTGCAAGCCAGACAGAATAATTTCACAGGGTGTCTAGTACCAGTGCAATCTGTAATTATTCAAGTCAGCTTTTGGATAATAATTTTGTAGGTTACTTTTGGGAGGAATGCAAATTATCCTGTATGCCTTCAGAGGGTTAGCACAGAAATTCATTGCCAGCGATATATTAGTACAGAATTGTGCTTATTAACAAAATGAGGATTTGTAAGAAAAACTGTAATGACAAGAAACCAATTGACCTCTTATACATGTACCTATGTGTGTGTATTTCACTTTTATCTCATGTACCTAATGCACCTTATGTAAAACTGGCCAATGATCTCACGTCTTTTAAAACTCTACCGGGCAAATAAATAGATGAAAGTTACAGGCGTATAGGGATTTATTTTTGGTTCTTGGGGAGTGGTGTGGGTTTTATATATGGTTTGTATTTTAAGAACAGTTGCCTTTTAACTAATGGACAAGGGAAAAGTGAAAGTTAATTTTTAAACAAGATAATGGAATTTTTAACTCGGGATTCGGTTCCATTTTAAATCTGTTTATCTATACATCGTCTGTTTTAATCTAGGGTTTTAATTTTGTGTGGTTTTAATTGCTTGGGTTATACATCGTTTGTTGTAATTTAGGGTTTTCATTTTGTGTGGTTTTATTTCCTTGGGTTATTTTTAGTAATGTTTTCATTATGTCTTTTACTGTGTTTTTTTTTGTAATTTTTGTCGTTATTATACCATGTTTTTATGTAATCCAGGGCCCCCAGGGAGAACAGTTCATTGACAACTGATGGGGCTACCGTGATAAAATAACACGAAATAAATAAATAAATAAATAAAATCATTGCCATATTTTCTATTTTCAAAATGCTGTCTTTCTTCAGATCTGATCGAGGGCAAACCGTCCGGTATTCTGGAACTATTGGATGAAGAGAGTAAACTGCCCAGAGCCAGTCCCAACAACTTCACTCACACAGTGCATCAGAAACACAAGAATCACTTCCGACTGGAGGTAAGACAAATTGCATCAGCGTCAGCTTTCATAAAAGTCTTTGAATGTCATCAGCTTTTCAGTTTTTAGTAATCTTCCTCCCTTTTTAAGGACAGGGCAGTTCATCTGAAGTTATATTTACGTCTTCTTCTTTTTTCTTCAGATACCAAGGAAGTCCAAGTTGACTAGTCATCGTAATCTACGAGACGACGAAGGCTTCCTCATTCGGCACTTTGCCGGTGCCGTGTGCTACCAGACGGTGAGTGCAGGGATTATTCTATATTTTTTTACATTCATGCAAAACTTGATGCATTCCAGAGAATAGACTCTGGAGTCATTCCATAGTACTGCCATAATTAATCTTATGAAGTCTTGTGCGATCACTCCAGTTTCAAACATCAAACTCTTCATGTACATAATTGGTTTGGCGTGACACTTGAATGCCAGTTCGAAACAGTCATTAGAAATATCCCACATTTGATATTTAGATCATTCTATTCTTTCTTGTCCCTGATGCAGTTACATATCCAGTGGAGGGGTAAAGGGGGCAACTTGCCCCCCCCCCCCCCCACCACCACAGCATTTGAAAGAAAAAAAAAAAAAATTCAGAAGATTTTAAGAAGGTTCAGACGGCGATACAGTAAAGTCTTAATTTTGCCCACCCTGGCATAAAAGTTGGATATGCTATTCGCTCGTACCCCCCGCCCTGCAAACAGGACGCTGGGATACTCTGATGAATTCACGCTCTGATTGGTTGGATTTTGCGTGACCTGTGACCTGCGCGTCATCAAGGTCATGACTCTGCAAGGTTTGAAACGGCCGTTAAGACTGATTCATTACTCTTTTAATTTATTCCATTCTAGAGATCTTTTTTTTCTCGTTGAAAAGCGAAAAAATGTAGGAAATTCTGTAAAACTTATTGTAAATTTACAATTCCTGTCACTTGCTCAGGCTCCGTTTATTTAATTCCGAACGGTGCGACGCTCAAAATTTTGTCCACATGGTTCGCAATGAAACAGAAATCACATCCGCTATGGAATGTGCGCATTTCTATGGGAAGTTTTCAGATACCATTTGCGCACATTGTCTAACTGCGGTCTTGAACAGCTGCAGCCAGATGCTTTATACATAGGTCATAGGCCACTTCCTTCACAAGATTCTGTGAAGCTCATCAGAGTATCCCAGCGTCCTGTTTGCAGGGCGGGGGGTACGAGCGAAGATATGCTACTGCGCTGTTTATACTTCGGAGTGCTGTGACATCTATGAATTTTGAATAAATCTGGACGCACTCCTTAGTGTATTCTTTCTCTATGAGTGATTCTGTGAAGCAAACGAAGTACTCCAAAATAGATTTTAGTTTGAAGGCATTTTTGTTGACTCTTGAATGGCAAAGTTCAGAGGTAACATGGACAAGAAAAAATGCCACACATTGGACCCTTCATTTCATAGAATGACCCGTTTGTGTTCCCCGCTCAGAGTGAGTTTATTGAGAAGAATAACGACGCCCTCCATTCCTCCTTGGAACATCTGGTGCAAGAGAGCAAGGAGGAGTACGTCAAGAGTCTCTTCCCTGGACCCCCGGCTCTTCCCTTCATCTCTAAGCTGGCCTTCGAGAGTATTGGAATGAAATTCAAGGTTGGTGAGAACTCGTGCTCATACTCGTACTCAAACACATTTTTTTGTATTCGTACTCGAACTCATGAGAATGTACTCGTACTTGTACTCATGAGAATGTACTCTTACTAATGAGAATGTACTCGTACTCGAACTGAAGTACATTTTTTGGTACTCGTAGTCATGAGAATGTACTCGTACTTGTACTGATGAGAATGTACTCATACTCATGAGAAGGTTTGTGGAGTGCTGTGGCCTCGTGGTTAAGGGCACTGGATTCGTGGTCTGTGGGTAAAGCTGCGGGTTGTGGGTTCGAGTCCAGCCGGGGTCATGGTGCGTGTGCCCTTGAGCAAGGCACTTTGTCACTCATTGCTTCTCTCCACCCAGGAGTAAATGGGTACCTGTGAGGGCAGAGATGGTTATGGTGATTGAATAAGCTTGCTTGCGCCTAACAGGCAGCATCGAGCTGTATACTCCCCAGGGAGCTGAGATGGTATTTGGAATGTTTAATTGGCCCAGTGATCAGGGGTAATAATAATGCTGTAAGCGCTGTGATTTAGTTTACTAATAAGAGCGTTCTTAAATGCTGATTATTATTATTATGATTTATTCAGTATATTCAGGCAGTGGCAGTTCACAATCCTTTCTCGTGATACAATTGCGTCATTCTTATTGAATCGGTCATTTAATGTCTTAAAGTATAATTAGTTGAATTTTTTGTTGATTCCACCAGACACAACTCAATCTGTTAATGGACAAACTGGAGAGCACCGGTTCTGCTTTCATCCGTTGCATCAAGCCCAACGGCAAGATGGTGGAGGATCTGTTCGAGGGAGGGCAGATTCTCAGTCAGCTCCAGTGCTCAGGTACGACAAGTTACCCCAGATCCATAAACCAAGGGTTTAACTCAAAAGTCACAAGTCCAGTCACAAGTAACAGATGAACGTTAACACTGGAATGCCTTTGTCACTGTTCGTTTGAATACCTATTGACTTGACTTGGGACAGGATGACTTGTGATTGACTTGTGATTGACTTGTGATGACTTGTGATTGACTTGTGATTGACTTGTGATGACTTGTGGTTAACTTGTGATTGACTTGTGGATGACTTGTGATGACTTGTGATTGACTTGTGATGACTTGGGATGACTTGTGATTGACTTGTGATGACTTGTGATTGACTTGTGATGACTTGTGATAGCTTTTGATTGACTTGTGATTGACTTGTGTGCTTAACTTGTGATGACTTATCATAACTTATAGTGATGTATAGTGACTTGTGATTGACTTGTGATGACTTGTGATTGACTTGTGATAGACTTGTGACGACTTGTGATTGACTTGTGATGACTTGTGATAGCTTTTGATGACTTCTGATGACTTGTTATTGACATTTGGTGGCTTCTCATGACTTATAGTGACGTATAGTGACTTGTGATTGACTTGTGATGACTTGTGATGACTTGTGATGACTTGTGATTGGCTTATGATTGACTTGTGATGACTTGTGATTGACTTGTGATGACTTGTGATAGCTTTTGATGACTTCTGATGACTTGGAATTGACATTTGGTGGCTTGTGCTTAACTGTGATGACTTATCATGACTTATAGTGACTTGTGATTGACTTGTGGTGATTTTGGTAGAGTCCAGTTGACTTGTGATTGTCTGATTGTCTTGTGATTGACTTGTGATTGACTTGTGATGGCTTGTGATAGACTTGTGATTTACTTGTTATTGACTTGTGATGCCTTGTGCTTAACTTGTGATTGACTTGTGATGACTTGTGATTAACTTGTGATGACTTGTGATTGACTTGTGATGACTTGTGATTGACTTGTGATGACTTGTGATAGCTTTTGATGACTTCTGATGACTTGTAATTGACATTTGGTGGCTTGTGCTTAACTTGTGATGACTTATCATGACTTATAGTGACGTATAGTGACTTATGATTGACTTGTGATTACTTGTGATTGACTTGTGATTGACTTGTGACTGACTTGTGACGACTTGTGATTGACTTGTGATGACTTGTGATAGCTTTTGATGACTTCTGATGACTTGTAATTGACATTTGGTGGCTTGTGCTTAACTTGTGATGACTTATCATGACTTACAGTGACGTATAGTGACTTGTGATTGACTTGTGATGACTTGTGATTGACTTGTGACTGACTTGTGACGACTTGTGATTGACTTGTGATGACTTGTGATAGCTTTTGATGACTTCTGATGACTTGTAATTGACATTTGGTGGCTTGTGCTTAACTTGTGATGACTTATCATGACTTACAGTGACTTGTGATTGACTTATGATTGACTTGTGATTGACTTGTGTGCTTAACTTGTGATGACTTATCATAACTTATAGTGATGTATAGTGACTTGTGATTGACTTGTGATGACTTGTGATTGACTTGTGATAGACTTGTGACGACTTGTGATTGACTTGTGATGACTTGTGATAGCTTTTGATGACTTCTGATGACTTGTTATTGACATTTGGTGGCTTCTCATGACTTATAGTGACGTATAGTGACTTGTGATTGACTTGTGATGACTTGTGATGACTTGTGATGACTTGTGATTGGCTTGTGATTGACTTGTGATGACTTGTGATTGACTTGTGATGACTTGTGATAGCTTTTGATGACTTCTGATGACTTGGAATTGACATTTGGTGGCTTGTGCTTAACTGTGATGACTTATCATGACTTATAGTGACTTGTGATTGACTTGTGATTGACTTGTGGTGATTTTGGTAGAGTCCAGTTGACTTGTGATTGTCTGATTGTCTTGTGATTGACTTGTGATTGACTTGTGATGGCTTGTGATAGACTTGTGATTTACTTGTTATTGACTTGTGATGCCTTGTGGTTAACTTGTGATTGACTTGTGATGACTTGTGATTAACTTGTGATGACTTGTGATTGACTTGTGATGACTTGTGATTGACTTGTGATGACTTGTGATAGCTTTTGATGACTTCTGATGACTTGTAATTGACATTTGGTGGCTTGTGCTTAACTTGTGATGACTTATCATGACTTACAGTGACGTATAGTGACTTGTGATTGACTTGTGATTACTTGTGATTGACTTGTGATTGACTTGTGACTGACTTGTGATTGACTTGTGATGACTTGTGATAGTTTTTGATGACTTCTGATGACTTGTAATTGACATTTGGTGGCTTGTGCTTAACTTGTGATGACTTATCATGACTTACAGTGACGTATAGTGACTTGTGATTGACTTGTGATGACTTGTGATTGACTTGTGATTGACTTGTGACTGACTTGTGACGACTTGTGATTGACTTGTGATGACTTGTGATAGCTTTTGATGACTTCTGATGACTTGTAATTGACATTTGGTGGCTTGTGCTTAACTTGTGATGACTTATCATGACTTACAGTGACTTGTGATTGACTTATGATTGACTTGTGGTGATTTTGGTAGAGTCCAGTTGACTTGTGATTGTCTGATTGTCTTGTGATTGACTTGTAATTGACTTGTAATTGTTTTATGATTGACTTGTGATTGTTTTGTGATTGTCTTGTGATCGCCTTGTGATTGACTTGTGATTGACGTGATGATTTATGCTAGAGTTCAGTTGACTTGTGATTGACTTATGATTGACTTGTGGTGATTTTTGGTAGACTGAGGAACATAATGTCTCATGATGAAAATTAAATAAAATCTGGAGTTTCTTATTCTGTTCAGGAATGGTGACCGTATTGGACCTGATGCAGGGAGGCTTCCCATCCCGTACACAGTTTTCCGATCTCTATGACATGTACAAGAAGTACATGCCTGCCGAACTGGTTCGTCTAGATCCCCGACTCTTCTGCAAGGTAAGTCAAGGGGCCTCACCACAAGGGGCCTGACCGTGAGGGGCCATGGTCCAGTGGTTACCGCGTTTGACTCACATGCAATGGTACATGGGTTCGAACCCTGACGGGAAACATGGAGCTTGTGTTCTTGGGCAAGACACTTTACTCCAATTGCCTCTCTCCACCCAGGAGTATAAATGGGTACCTGTGAAGGTAGAGACCACAATGCGCTGATCTTGAGCTGCTGCAGAATAAAAAACATTGGCTCATGGCCTGATGAACAGGGGTAATAATTGTGAGGCGTTTTGAGACCTTTGGTATAAAACACTATATAAGCACCACAATAATTTTCATTATTTGGATTTTTTTCTTTCAATTTTACTTTTGTCTGTAATTATACCTTTATTTGTTTGCAGTTAAAGGGAAAATACAACATTTGCAAACATCAAAAAAATAAAACTACCAAATCATTTTGAAATACCTTGCTGGACTGTTAGTGAATGACAGTGTAAAGCATCCTGTAAAATCATGGCACCTGGTATACTGTCATTTTCAAGAAAAGTGGTATTTTTGTATCAATTTCCAACGCTGATCGGCCGATCAGCGTTGGAAAACAACTGGCTTTTTTTTCAAATACTGGCCCCAGTTGACCATGGCACTTGTTTGCAATCGATTACACACCTATGAACGGGTACAAGCCAGCTAGACTGGTTCCCTGGCCTTACAATTCCACAATATATGTAAACTGCTCTGTTTCATCTTAAATGGAGTCAGGGAACCAGACTACAGGAAAATGATTGTTTTTATTGGTTTTTATAGCATTTTCGAACCCAAAACCTCAAAAAAGTCAGTGTTACTATATTTGCTATATATTTCCAACCCCCCTATTCCATCCATTTCTGAAAATTACAGCAAAAGCAAATGATGTATATTCCCTTTAACGATTCTTTCCAGCTTGACTAATTTTTCTTCTTATCGCGCCTCTCCCATAGGCCCTGTTCCACGCCCTGGGCCTCGACGACCGCGACTACAAATTCGGCCTGACCAAAGTCTTCTTCCGTCCGGGCAAGTTTGCTGAGTTTGACAAGATGATGAAGGGCGATCCGGACACCTTGCGGGAACTGATCAAGAAGGTCCGTCGCTGGCTGATCTGCACTCGCTGGAAGAAGGCGCAGTGGGGGACGCTGATGGTCATCAAACGTAAGACAAAATAATTAATAAACAATACATAAAAGGCAGATAGGATCATTTGCGTTTCATGCATTTTGTTCGTTTCCAATTATGTGACCCTGGGTGTTAAGATTTGAAAAGTAGGAAGAGGACTCGGCGATTTGGTTTCTGTTTTGTGCTGGTTTATTCTGCATAAACGGGAAAAGGAAAGCAAATTATGACATGGTCTTTCCTCGTCTCCGGTCAGCATTGCAAAGACAATTAATATTTACAAGCACATAATTAAATGGAATAAATAAAATGAAATAAGAGTGCAAACTTTCTGCATCTACATTATTTCTAGGAACACTTAACTATTAACGATAATGGCGGCTTTTGGTGGTTTCCCGCCAAACCGTATCGTACAGCCGCCATCTTGGAAAATTACGGTTTTTACTGAAAATAGCATCAAAATCCAAGATAATGAAACAAAATACTTCAAACTACTCGTTCCAGAAGATTGAGAAGATAATGCAATAATAATTTACAGTAAATCTAGACTGATTAAAGTTCAGAATAATTCAAAACCGAAAATAAGCGGGAACATGCTCACATGAATCTGTGCTTCGAAAGAGCAACACTTACTAGCAGAATCATTGAGAAAATTACATGTATACATCTACATAACTGTTCATTATAAATTAACTATGAAATGTAAAAGTTAAAAGTTTCAGCTCAGTGGATGTTGCACTTTCGAGAAAAACAGTAAAAAAAAACAACACTATGCACATCCTTTTGCTCACAAAACACGATTTCGTCCATAGCACTCTTTATTTCCAAAAATCAGTCGATTGACTAATCGTTGGACATCACCTACATTTCGTGATTTCTCCTAAATGACAGGAAGCCAGACGGAATAATTTCATGGAGTGTTTAGTACCAGAATGATCTTTAATCCAAATAAGCATTTTGATAATAAATTCAGTAGATTACTTTTGAGATAAATACAGATTATTATTATAATTATTATTAATCATTTCTGGTAATGAAACCAAGGATTCCTCAAAAGCGCCCTAGGCACTGTAGCTCGCAAGCCTGAAGAAACCTGTGGAGAGAAGACAATGAGAAGAAGTTACAGTTTTAGAGGTGGGAGGAAATGCCCAGAAGAATATTCTGGGGAAAACCCACGGAATCAGGCAGGGACTGAAAACCCAATCCACATATTGGCCCAGGCGGGATTCGAACCCGGGTCACAGCGGTGGAAGGCGAGGAAAATACCGCTACGCCAACCTGACTCCCCGATGATCTTATATGCCTTTAAATGTGTAATTGTGTTGTTTACATAAAAATGGCAGTCTATGTATCCTTCCTTCAACTCTGTAAAAAAACAAAATGTAAAGTTCGTTCATGCGATAATGACATGAAAAATACAAGTTTTAAAGGTATTGCTGTGTTGTTCACATAAATGTTGGGTGTTTTTTTTTACCCGAATTCAGTGAAGAACAAGATTCTGTACCGTCGAGCGTCCCTGGTCAAGATGCAGAGCATGGTTCGTATGTTCCTGGCCGTCCGCAAGCATCGCCCAAGATACAGAGGTCTGATGCAGGTCCGCAAACTGCAGAAGGAATTCCTACAGATGAACGAGATCGGTATGGAGTTCATGCAATGTATTAATTTACTGTACAATATTTTAACCAGTTCGCGCCGGGATCATTTTGTCATTGACCGGACTCAGGCGCGGGGTTGTTTTTCACGAACCTCGATGCCAGACGGGTTCAGGCCGTCATCTGCGGGTAGCACACCCTGATATTGTTGATGTACCCTAACGTGGCGCGGCCCCAACGTGGCGCACTTTGATTTTTCGCCTGTAGCGCCTGCCTAGAGCAAAAGTTTAAACTGAAATTTCACAGAAAGTGAAATTTCATCAAGTTCTAAACACTCCTGTTCATAAATCGCGAGTTTATTTACCCGTAAAAAAGTTAGAAGAAAAATTTAATTTGGCGTGATTTTCCGATTTTATTTTCAAGTGCTGAGTGAACCCTTTGAAAATGCCCTGAAAAATAAGAAAATAATTTTCTGACAAACATCTGGCTGGGTATGTAAGTAGAGATAATAATTATTTAACAGAGTCTACATCACTCTACTTACCTGTAGAGCGAATACTACATATGCATTGTTCCCTATGCCGGCAGGCAATTTGCTAAGAGTTTTACATACAATAGCGCCCTCACGTGTCCTACCCACGACGCCCTGTGACATGCGCACTACGTTAGCGTCCTCTTTTTCTCTTAGCCGCAGGCGAGGTATAACGTGGAATTTCAATCGACCTGAATTTCACTATTTTATTGGTACCTCTTTTGCTTGGAGAAAGCTATTTCGAAGAAATAAAGAGAAAGTGTTTATTGTAGAGTTGTTCTAGTGAAGTATTTGAGTGAAAGTGAAGTAAGAAATGTGTAAATCTAGGAAGTTGGGGAGGACTGGGTGTGTCGATAATGGAGGGACGTACATCCCACCAGACGAGCCCGAGTTCTCGGGGGACTGCACCGGTGATGGTACGTCACCGCGGCAGCAGTCCCCTAGTCGGCCCCTTCAGCCACTGCCGGCTGTCGGAGCTGACGGACCCGTTGACCAAGCGGGGGGCCGTACAACCCCACCGTCTTCGGTCAATATTCACGGGTCCGCCCAACTGAAGGGGAAACGCACCGGCAAGACAAGGAAATTGTCTGACGCCGGGGCAGTACCCATAAAGGGACGTACGGCAAAAGGTGGCCCCGCTACGGGGCGCACCGTGCCTGTCCCTGGCCCGTCTACGGGGCACACGCAGCCGGAGGAAGTACTCCTCCATGGCTCAGTGCACCCAGGCCCACCCAGCCCCGTGATTACCACGATGCCTGGGGATGGGCTGTTATATGGCCGGTTAATCGACCGTTAATCTACGGGGCACACGCAGCCGGAGGAAGTACTCCTCCATGGCTCAGTGCACCCAGGCCCACCCAGCCCCGTGATTACCACGATGCCTGGGGATGGGCTGTTATATGGCCGGTTAATCGACCGTACAGCACCCGCCTATGTTACCGGCGTGGGGGCGCTGTCGGCCGCCCGGGCTATTGATAGCGTAGAGCCGAATCCCTGGGATTCCCCCAGAGCGTTAACGCTACGCTCGGAGGGCCATGCCTCTACATCGGATTTTATTCGTTGTTCGGGCATCCCCGTGTCCCCGCAATCCTCGGCAACTACTCGGAGTCGTTCTTCAAAAAAAAAAAAAAAAAAAATCGAAAAAGAATCGCCGTTCTTCGACGAGTTTTAGTGAGTCATCCGATCAATCACACCGCGGGAAACGCCACAAGGGTAGCGACCCGATTTCACGCGATGATTTTTTGGAGGCTTTTCACTCCCTCGCGGCCTCATTGTCGGGCCGACAGGGAGACTACGTTCACAGCTGGATGACTCCGGGCCAAAGCGACGGCCGTGGTGGGGTGACTACAGACCAGCGGACAATGCCGTGCACGGAGAGCCGTGCACCGGCGTCACCGCCCGGTATTAGTTTACACCCATCGGTGTCACTAGAGTCCGAGCGGGGCTCGATACCGTGACGGCGCTGCTTCGCCCCCGGGGCCTGGTTCCCATTCCCCGGTGACAACTCGCCCCCGTACTCTGACAACTCGGCGGACGAGAGCGAGCTGACCCGAAAAAAAAAAAAAAAAAAATTAAAAAAAAAAAAAAAAAAAATTTTAAAAGGGCCAACGGGATATGATCAGAGTTCTGAATCTTCCTGCTGGGACCGAACCTCCTCCTCCTCCTGAACGTCAGTCATTCAAGAAGAGATCGGGACCGACGGCAGAACCGGTCCGGGCGTTTCCCACAATGCCCCTGGACCGCGTGTGCGTTGACCACATCGATGGGATAATGCACGCAAAGACATGGAGTGCCTATGCTAAGCGCGTAGACTCGTATTATCATTTTCCCCCAGGGGATTTTGAGAAATATTTCTCAACTCCAGTCCTGCCGGACTCGGCCATTGACAAACTCGCCGCTGACCGAGGGACAGCTTCATCCAAAGTTCCTTTTTACAGACAAGACCCGTGGAAAACTGGAGGATGTCACCCGTAGAATGGACTTGGCGGCACGCATGGGTATGCGTGCGACGTCCTTTCTTCTTCTCCTATCAGAGTACCTGGCACTGGGATATGAAGAAGATTCGGTGATACCAGCCGACATGATGGTGGCTGCTCTCCATTGCCTCGATCGCGGCCTGTGCTCCACTCTCGACCAGTTTGCTAGAGTGTCGACCTTAGCAACATCGTCACGCCGCGCCAATGTGCTAGATGCGCTTTTCCTCCCGTCACCGGGAGCACGTAAGCGTCTCGACGAACTTCCGCTTTCAGGCCCGGACTTATTTTCTGGTAAGTTCCAGGAGGCCATGGAGGCCGAAGCAAAGCGCCTCAAGGCCACTGAGAGAATTAATCTCAAGAAACCGGCCGAGTTGAAAACTGCGGACAAGACAAAGAAACAACCTTCTTTTGTCATTCCCTGACGCCGCCCGGTCAGGGCGGCCCGTGGTGGATTTCGTGGGCGCGCCGATAAGACGGTGGGCCCGCGTTATTCACAACCACATACCGGACAACGGCGTCCCCAGTCGGGACGCGGTTTCCGGGCGCCCACTACCCGGTACACCGGGGCGTGGCGCAAGTGACTTATGCGTCTCCGAACGGCCTCCCGTTCGTGGGGTCCTGGGTGCAGGTGACTTCCGACCGGTGGGTCCTCGAAACGAACAGCAGCAGTTACGCGCTCGAGTTTACGAGGACACCCCCCCCCCCCCCCCCCATTGGACATGCTTATTCGGACAACGCCCATACTGCCCGACACAGCAAAACGCCGCTCCCTCGAGGAGGAGATCGACGCCCTCCTTCTAAAGAGAGCAGTTCGTGTTGTCCCCCAAGGGGGGACCAGGGCAGGTTTCATGTCAACCTTCTTCTTGGCCCCCAAGAAGGAGACCGGCGTGTGGCGTCCAATATTGAACTTAAAACCCCTCAACAAGTTCATACGTCCGAAACGTTTCCGCATGGAAACGTTACGGACCATTCTCGTATAGACTTGAAAGATGCGTATTTTCACGTACCGATCAGGCCGGAGCACCGCAAATTCCTACGTTTCCAATACAAAGATATACTGTACGAATTTGTGGTGCTCCCATTCGGGCTACCCACTTCTCCGCAGGTGTTCACCTGGATCGTGAAGACGATCGGGGCGGCACTGTGGCGACGAGGGATCATGATATTCATGTACCTCGACGATTGGCTAGTACATGTAGTGGGTCGTTCTCGAGGGGAGACGGAAGCGGCGCTCCAACTAACGTGGCACCTTGCTACCGACCTGAGATTTCTCATTAACACCAAGAAATCCCACCCAGTCCCCTCTCGGGTTCCCACCTTTCTAGGTGCATCCCTCGATCTTCGCAGGGGATTGGCCCGTCCATCGGAGGACCGCCTGCTGAACCTTCGGCAGTGCGTGTCCCTCTTCCTCCCGACGGTAGTGGCTCCGGCCCGAGCCTGGCTCAGGCTGTTGGGCCTTATGGCCAGTCTGGTGGACTTAGTGGATTTTTGCAGGCTGAGGATGAGGCCAATTCACCTTCACCTGCTGTCTTTCTACAGACCCCGCTGGCACCCGATCGACCATCCGGTGCCCACTACGTCTTGGCTAGTCCCCCACCTTCGTTGGTGGCTAGTCGAGGCCAATATAATGCAGGGCCGCGTTTTCCGCCCGCCCCGCCCGTCGGTACTTATCACAACCGACGCGTCAGGGTACGGCTGGGGGGCTACCCTCCACCCGCGACAGGTCGCGGGCGTGTGGGGCCCCGCACATCAATCGTCCCACATCAACGTCCTGGAAATGCTGGCAGTCACCAACGCACTAAAACATTTCCAGTCGGACGTCAGAGGGCAAGCAGTCCTGGTACGATGCGACAACGCCACAGTGGTGGCATACATCAATCACCAGGGTGGCACTCGGTCAGGCCATCTGTGTGCACTAACGTGGGATCTCACCCTCTGGTGCATACATCACGGGATAGCACTGTCGGCAGTACACATCCCGGGGGAAGAGAACGTCACAGCCGACGCTCTCTCCGGAGGCTGGATCGCCCCGACAGAGTGGTCACTGCTCCCACAGGTGGCTCAGTCGATCTTCCGACTAATCGACCGGCCGCATGTGGACCTATTCGCGTCGCGAATGAAAATCAGCTACCGATCTACTGCGCGAGGGACCCAGATCCCAACGCGTGGCAGACCGATGCACTGTCGGTGCGGTGGGACGGCCTACTGGCCTACGCCTTCCCACCCATCTCCCTCGTTTCTCGAGTGCTGACCAAGATCGAGCAGGAGGATTGCCGAATTCTCCTCATAGCCTGTTCTGGCCCCGCCAGCCGTGGTTTTCCCCGGCTCGGCCGACTCTTGGTTCACCGCCTGGTAATTCTACCGAGGAGGGCCGATCTCCTTTATCAGCCCAGCTCGGGAATCAGTCACCAGGCTCTGGGGGATCTTCACCTGACGTGCTGGGTATTGTCACGCGATCCCTCTGCTCAGCAGGCCTTTCGCGACGAGCTGCAACAATTGCAGCTCAGTCCCGTAGAGCCTCAACCAGAAAGGTGTACGATAGCCGACTACGCCATTTCTTAAATGGTGCAGACAGCAATCCATTCATCCCCCCAATACTTCTGTAGGGGAAGTGGGGGATTTCCTCCTATACCTTTTTAACAGTGGGCTCACGACGGCCACGGTCAAAAATTATCGATCGGCCGTTGCCGTGATCCATCAGGGATTTTCGGACGGTTCCTCCGTTTCCGGCAACCCTGCAATTACCCCACTGATCAAGGGGATGTTTAATACTCGTCCCCCAGTACGCACATTAATCCCATCTTGGGACCTCTTCAGTGTATTATCTACACTGGCGAAGGCTCCCTTTGAACCAATGAATTGCTCAACTTTGTTACAACTCTCCATCAAAGTAGCTTTTCTATTGGCTGTCGCTACGTCCCGACGACGTAGTGAACTACACTCGTTATCGATGCAGACAGGACACATCCGGTGGGAACCGGGGGGTGTCCGCCTGATCCCTACGGCCGGTTTTCTCGCAGAGAACCAGTCGCAGACCTTTACACCCCCGGACATCTTTGTCCCGGACATCAAGTCTTTTTCGAACGAGACAAATGACAACTTTGGTGCCAGTTCGAGCACTTAAGTTGTATGTCAACCGTACGAAGTCACTTCGTACGGGACACAACAAATTATTCATCGCAACGACCCCGCCCCATGGGCCGGCGTCCCGCGATACAATCACTCGCTGGATCGTGACAGCTATCCGTTCCGTACCGGGCGGCTGGCCAGCGACCCAGGGACCCATTCGAGCGCATGAGGTCAGGGGAGTGTCCACCTCGTGGGCCTTTTTTAAAGGTGTCCCCCTAGGTGACATCGTCAAGGCAGCCTGCTGGAAGAACCCTAACACGTTCTCCGAATGCTACCTGAAAGATGTCCTCCAGGTAGATGGCAAGGCTGGAAGAGAAGTGCTGCTGGCGGCCAGTCGAGCCTCACGGAAGCACTAACAGGTGAGCATATAAATATACATATATATTTGTATGGGCATTAAGTTTAATTAGGTGTACCTATCATGGGTTCATCCCCATAATGGTTACACCCCCCTGACTTTTTGCGCACGAGCTCTTTGGGTTCCCCTTACGAGGTGAAACCTGGAGCGTCTGGGGTGTAGGTTTTTTGGTTTGGTGTTGTTTGCCTTTGGACACGCCTCATGTCCTACACCCCTGTAGACATACGGTAATTTGCGTATACCCACCGCCTTACTCGGTGCGAGTCTATGCATATGTAGTATTCGCTCTACAGGTAAGTAGAGTGATGTAGACTCCCCCCCACAGTAGTGTGGTTGGGGTCTACGAGCGAATACTTACCTGTAGAGCACCCCTCCCTCCTTCCCCACTATACTCGATTCCTTGAGTGCTTACGCAAGTAACGCTTGAGAAAAAGAGGACGCTAACGTAGTGCGCATGTCACAGGGCGTCGTGGGTAGGACACGTGAGGGCGCTATTGTATGTAAAACTCTTAGCAAATTGCCTGCCGGCATAGGGAACAATGCATATGTAGTATTCGCTCTACAGGTAAGTATTCGCTCGTAGACCCCAACCACACTACTGTGGGGGGGAATTTATCAAGTTTACAGAAATTCTTAAATATTAATTTGGAATTTTCCGAGATTTATTCAAGTGCGCCACGTTAGGGAACACTCCGACAATTTGTGCCCAATTCCGGACGCCACCATTTTTGAATTTCGGATTAAATTTTATGAAACTGAAATTGTTCACAGAGGTTAACTAGCAAGCATTAAAAAGGTAAAAGTACTAGCATTTTACTGCACGAATTTGAGGTTTGTCAACAAAGAAGTTTGGCAACACTACACGAGGAAAGTCGGGTAAGCTTCGAAGTGCGCCAAGTTAGGGAACACGGCTATATTTCCGGCCTCGCTCGCTGCGAGCGAGTCACAGCTCTTTACGTGCCTAGCTCTTCACATGTTTATCCGTCGTCCGTTCCGAATACTGTAAAACTTTTACATTCATTAGTCATTTAATGAATGTGACCTACTGAGGCAAAATGAGGAATGTCCCCCAAAACCTTGTTTTAAGAAATCGAAGCCTGAAGTCGGATATGCTAGAAAAATCATGTCAAAATTTATATTGATTGTTTTGTATTTTTGAGTAGCTATACGTTTTCGGAATAAATACCAACAAAAGTGGAAAAACTGAAGAACCTTTTTCACTACCGATGGTAGCACAATGCATGTGTTTTTTTCAAAGCAGTTTTTCTTGAAATGAGGTTAGAGAAACTTGGCAGGACACTGTGTTGAAGTTCCTGCGTCATATCTTTGGAATAAATTAAGCTACAAAAATACATTTGGTATCATTGGAAAGCCAATGATTTGCGCTTTAACATGATGTACAAAACTTGAAAGTCAAAGATGGGGGTTATTCCTCATTATGCTATGGCAGGTCACAAATGAACAATTGTGTTCAGATTTTATGTTCTCATAGACCATGCCTTGACGAACATTTTTGATCGTCAACGCAAAGTCGGCTGACTTTTCCTTCCTTGGTTACCAGACGGTCAAGGTTAGGTGAATTCAAAATACCAAAAGAAGCTTCATTTTTAAAACAAACAGACTTTCTGCCAAACGGTTCAAGCACTGTAGATGTAATCATCGTTCGAGGATGAACCCCTGACGACGATGTGGTAATTTTTGTGACGTCATCGTGACATCATCATATATCAAAGTTACGAGCAATTTAAGAGGTCAAATCTCTACTTTTTCTTTTTGATTTGTCCTTTTCAGCCAAGGGTGTTGAGGACGCAACCACCAGGAAGCACGCAGAGGATGTCGGCAAGGAACTGGCTGCACTCGTCCACAAGATTAAGGTGAGCTTTATTTTATAGAGGGTTGGAAGTAGGAATTGATAGGTGCATAACCAGATATCTGGACAAGCTCTTTGTAACTTTTCTGCTTTCATTTTAAAAGTCGTCGTCGGGCAATCCTCGATTCGAGGAGTTGTGACTTTTGCTGCTGTCTCCCTCACTGTTGATGACTGGTCTCGTGGCTATATAGTCCCAGCCGTGACTGTATTGGTCGTCCACAGATGGAGCAGGAGAAATGCGGGATTGAGTAAGGCTGAGACGCCCGTTCTTTCCTTCGGCGTCTTTTCTCGTCCTCCTGCTGAAGGCGTGAGGTCTTGAAAAGCTGAGCTCCACATGTGATGGTGGAGCGCCAGGTGGAGCGGATAGCTGCTTTGTCCTCCCAGGTGTCAATGGGAATTCCACAGCGGTGCAGGTTCAGTTTGAGGAGGTCCATCAAACGTCTTTTGGGTCTTCCACGTGGACGCTTGCCAGAGCTGAGTTCAACAAAAAAAAGTTGTTTCGGTAGAACGGTGTCCTCCATCCTTCTCACATGCCTGAACCACTGCAGTTGACGTCTCACAATCATGGCTTCGATACTGGTCATCTCAGCACGTTGGAGAACATCAGAGTTACGGATGTGAACAAAGAAATTGACTGGAGCGGGGTTTGAACCTGCAAGCCCCGGATTGGTGTTCCGGTGCTCTACCAACCGAGTAGTCCATCCTTATTTCGGCAGTTCTGTGCGACCTCTGGACAGGTAATACGGAGGTCCCAGGCTCAAACCCCGCTCCAGTCAATTTCTCTGTTCAATGTTAAAAACTTATTATGACGCACCGAGTCAGTTTCCCTTCTTGCTTTATTTGAAAACTTTTCTGATTTGCTGGAAAACTTTTCCGATTTCTTAGATTAGACTCGTTTCAAATATTTGGCTTGATTGATGTCTTCCCAGACAAACACCAACCTGAAACGGCGGGATATCGAGGACGCCCACCTGATCCTGGCGGAGAAAGTACGCCGTCAGATCCAACTCCTGATGCAGAAGAAAGCGGCCGAGGAGAAAGAGCGGGAACGCCTGCGCCGCATCCAGGAGGAGATGGAGCGAGAACGGAAACACCAGGAGGAGCTGGAACGCCGCCGCAAGGAGGAGGAGGCAGAGAGGGAGAGGAAACGTAGACTGGACGAGGAAGAACGAAAGAAGTAAGTGTGAAGAACGATCGTGCAAAATGAGACGGAACTGGGCACAGGCGGAAGTGGAGAAATCACGCAGATTTGATCACGCTTCACTGCTCTCCACAGTGCTGTTTCGTGTGCAGTGACTCTTTGTGTGACACAGTTACTTTAACACTTCATATCCCTTCACCTGAAACGGACCTGCAGGGTTTTAGAGGGTTATTGATATAGCTCTGAATATTGACTTCTTGCTAGGAGGGTTAATGTAGTTGGGATATTTTGTTTCGCTAGGAAAGAAGAGATGGAACGACGACGTATTGAGGAGGAGGCCTCGCTGCAGAAGCGGCTTGAGATGGAACGCAAGAAATTGGAGGAGGAGAGACGCCAGTTTGAGTTGGACAAGAAGAAACAGGCTGAGGAGACGGCCAGACTGCAGGAACAACTTAGAAAGTAAGAAAACTGTTAAACAACCCACCTCAACCCAGCCCACCCCAACCCAACCCAACCCAGCCAAGCCTAACCCAGTGCATCCCAATCCAACCATTCTGTCCCAGTTCTATACACCCAGCCCAACCCAGCACCAACTCAACCGAGCCCAGTCTAACCCAACCCAACCCAGTCAAGCCTATCCCAATGCATCCCAATCCAACCATTCTGTGCCATTTTGTACGCCCAGCCCCACCCAGCACCAACTGAGCCCAGCCCCTCCCAACCCAAACCTGTCAAGCCTAGCCCAATGCATCCCAATCCAACCATTCTGGCCCAGTTCTATACCCCCAGCCCAACCCAGCGCCAACTGAGCCCAGCCCACCCCATCCCATCCCAACCCAACCCAACCAAGCCAAGCCTAACCCAGTGCATCCCAATCCAACCATTCTGGCCCAGTTCTATACCCCCAGCCCCACCCAGCACCAACTGAGCCCAGCCCATCCCAACCCAACCCAGTCAAGCCTATCCCAATGCATCCCAATCCAACCATTCTGTGCCAGTTTTGTACGCCCAGCCCCACCCAGCACCAACTGAGCCCAGCCCCTCCCAACCCAAACCTGTCAAGCCTAGCCCAATGCATCCCAATCCAACCATTCTGGCCCAGCTCTATACACCCAGCCCAACCCAGCGCCAACTCAACCGAGCCCAGTCTAACCCAACCCAACCCAGTCAAGCCTATCCCAATGCATCCCAATCCAACCATTCTGTGCCAGTTTTGTACGCCCAGCCCCACCCAGCACCAACTGAGCCCAGCCCCTCCCAACCCAAACCTGTCAAGCCTAGCCCAATGCATCCCAATCCAACCATTCTGGCCCAGTTCTAAACCCCTAGCCCAACCCAGCGCCAACTGAGCCCAGCCAATCCCATCCCAACCCAACCCAGCCAAGCCAAGCCTAACCCAGTGCATCCCAATCCAACCATTCTGGCCCAGTTCTATACCCCCAGCCCCACCCAGCACCAACTGAGCCCAGCCCATCCCAACCCAACCCAGTCAAGCCTATCCCAATGCATCCCAATCCAACCATTCTGTGCCAGTTTTGTACGCCCAGCCCCACCCAGCACCAACTGAGCCCAGCCCCTCCCAACCCAAACCTGTCAAGCCTAGCCCAATGCATCCCAATCCAACCATTCTGGCCCAGTTCTATACCCCCAGCCCAACCCAGCGCCAACTGAGCCCAGCCCATCCCATCCCAACCCAACCCAACCAAGCCAAGCCTAACCCAGTGCATCCCAATCCAACCATTCTGGCCCAGTTCTATACGCCCAGCCCAACCCAGCGCCAACTCAACCGAGCCCAGTCTAACCCAACCCAACCCAGTCAAGCCTAGCCCAATGCATCCCAATCCAACCATTCTGTGCCATTTTGTACGCCCAGCCCCACCCAGCACCAACTGAGCCCAGCTCATCCCAACCCAACCCAGCCAAGCCTAGCCCAGTGCATCCCAATCCAACCATTCTGTGCCAGTTCTATACGCCCAGCCCCACCCATCACCAACTGAGCCCAGCCAATCCCAACCCAACCAAGCCTATCCCAACGCATCCCAATCCAACCATTCTGTGCCAGTTTTGTACGCCCAGCCCCACCCAGCACCAACTGAGCCCAGCCCATCCCAACCCAACCCAGTCAAGCCTAGCCCAATGCATCCCAATCCAACCATTCTGTGCCAGTTTTGTACGCCCAGCCCCACCCAGCACCAACTGAGCCCAGCCCATCCCAACCCAACCCAGTCAAGCCTATCCCAATGCATCCCAATCCAACCATTCTGGCCCAGTTTTGTATGCCCAGCCCCATCCAGCACCAACTGAGCCCAGCCCCTCCCAACCCAAACCTGTCAAGCCTAGCCCAGTGCATCCCAATCCAACCATTCTGGCCCAGTTCTATACGCCCAGCCCAACCCAGCACCAACTCAACCCAGCCCACCACAACCCAACCCAACCCAGCCAAGCCTAGCCCGGTGCATCCCAATCAAACCATTCTGTCCCAGTTCTATACACCCAGCCCAACCTAGCACCAACTCAACCCAGCCCACCACAACCCAATCGAGCCCAGTGCATCCCAATCAAACCATTGTGTCCCAGTCCTATACACCCAGCCCAACCCAGCACCAACTCAACCCAGCCCACCACAACCCAACCCAGCCAAGCCTAGCCCGGTGCATCCCAATCAAACCATTCTGTTCCAGTTCTACACACCCAGCCCAACCCAGAACCATCTTAACTCAGCCCAGCCCACCCCATCCAAGCCAAGCCTAACCCAGTGCATCCCCATCCCAATTTGTGTAATCACAGTATATTTTCTGCTTAATTCCAGACAAGCTCAGTTGGAGCAGGAGCGACGTGATCATGAGCTGGCGCTCCGCCTGGCTCAGGAGGCTGAGTCTCAAGTAGTGCCAGTTGAGGAACCAGTCAGGTGAGTCTAATCTCAAGAGCAGGGCGAGGCAAGCGGTCTTTGCATTGATGTAAAAAGAAGAAAACAACAAGTCTGTCTCGCACTCCTGTATCTCCAGTTTTCTTGAAATGAAACAACTGAGAATATTTCTATTTCTCATAGATGGGAAGTTTTCTATCCAATCAAATGCAGCTACCTGTTTATACTCCTGCAGTGTGAGAGGCAAATTGGAGTAAAGTGGCTGGCCCAAGGACACATCATCAAGATATGCAACGGAGGGGACCCCCCCCCCCATTTTTTGTGTTGGGCATTTTGTTCCTAGAATCTCACGACTTCTTTTGAGATATGTAGGGAGATGGTCTACAGTGTGCAAAGGGTTTGGGGACCAAAGGGGGGGGGGTGTACCCCTTGGTCTCATATGGCCAGCAGCTGGTTTCGAACCCCTGACCCTTTCATCATGAGTCACAAACCGTAACCATGAGACCACTAGGCCACTTTCCTGATACAGCTGTGCTATAAGTCAACCCTTTCATATCCAGTACTACACTAAAATTTTATTGTCTGGAAGTAAATTCTTAATTGGGTCCTGATTCTCATTTGGTCACCAGAATGGATATGGCATCTGTGGTGAACGCTGCCATGGTCGCGGCCGCACCCCAGCCCAAGTACGACTTGTCCAAATGGAAGTATGCCGAACTGCGAGACACTATCAACACATCCACAGGTAAGCTTGTCCAAAGACTTCTGTCATAAAATGGAGTCAGGGAACGACTGTTATATTTCTGTTCCGTTGACCTCGGGGTCACTTAGTTATGGGCTACAGAAACCCAATGGCATATCCTCTTATTAAAAAATTTCAAGGGGCATCCAGCTACATGTAAAGTAATAGTGGCAGGGCTCTAACTTCCTCAACCCCACAAAATCCTCCGGAATCCTACAAAATCCTACGGAGTCCTACACAATCCTACGGAATCCTACAAAATCCTACAAAATCCTCGAACTTTATCAGGAAATCAAGCCTCTTGTATAGTAATAGCGGCTAGGCTATACCTTCCTCAATTCTACAAAATCCTCCATTAACTTTCGAAATCTGACAAAATCCTATGAAAAGTTTCCTGTGGATTTTGATGGATCTGGGAGGGTTTAGGATAAATGCTGTCCATTTCTGATGCAAGAAGACAAGTCATTCATTCTTTGTGTCTGTTTGATAGATGTTGATTTGCTGGCTGCTTGTAAGGAAGAGTTCCACCGTCGTCTGAAGGTCTATCACGCCTGGAAGATGAAGAACAAGAAACAGACGGCGGTAAAGCAAGAGAGAGCTCCTGAAGCAGTCATGCAGAACAGTGAGTTATCAATCTCAACAGCTCCTTAGGGCAAGCCCTGTCCCATCTAAACAAGGCCCCCCCTCCTCTCCAAAGCTATCCCCTCCCTCTCCAAGCAAGTCCCTCCTCTCCAAGCAAGCCCCTCCCGTTCCAGGCAAGCCCCTCCTGTTCCAAGCAAGCCCCTTCCCTCCAAGCAAGCCCCTTCTCCTCCAAGCAAGCCCCTTCCCCTCCAAGCAAGCCCCTTCCCCTCCAAGCAAACCCCTTCTCCTCCAAGCAAGCCCTTCCCCTCCAAGCAAGCCCGTTCCCCTCCAAGCAAGCCCGTTCCCCTCCAAGCAAGCCCCTTCCCCTCCAAGCAAGCCCCTTCCCCTCAAAGCAAGCCCCTCCCCTCAAAGCAAGCCCCTCCCCTACAAGCAAGCCCCTTCCCCTTCAAGCAAACCCGTTCCCCTCCAAGCAAACCCCTTCCCCCTCCAAGCAAGCCCCTTCCCCTCCAAGCAAACCCCTTCCCCCTCCAAGCAAACCCCTTCTCCTCCAAGCAAGCCCCTTCCCCTCCAAGCAAACCCCTTCCCCCTCCAAGCAAACCCCTTCCCCCTCCAAGCAAGCCCCTTCCCCTCCAAGCAAACCCCTTCCCCCTCCAAGCAAACCCCTTCTCCTCCAAGCAAGCCCCTTCCCCCTCCAAGCAAACCCCTTCCCCTCCAAGCAATCCCTTCCCCTCAAAGCAAGCCCCTCCCCTACAAGCAAGCCCCTCCCCTCAAAGCAAGCCCCTCCCCTACAAGCAAGCCCCTCCCCTCAAAGCAAGCCCCTCCCCTACAAGCAAGCCCCTCCCCTCAAAGCAAGCCCCTCCCCTACAAGCAAGCCCCTTCTCCTCCAAGCAAGCCCCTTCCCCTCCGAGCAAGCCCGTTCCCCTCCAAGCAAACCCCTTCTCCTCCAAGCAATCCCTTCCCCTCAAAGCAAGCCCCTTCCCCTCCAAGCAAGCCCCTTCCCCTCCAAGCAAGCCCCTCCCATACAAGCAAGCCCCTCCCCTCACAAGCAAGCCCCTCCCCTCAAAGCAAGTCCCTCCCTCCAACAAAGCCCCTTCCTGCCAAGCAAGCTATGCCCTCTCCAAGCAAGCCCCTCCCCCTCCTAGCACCACCCCCCTCCCCGCCTCAAAAGAAGACGATAAAGTATAGTGGTGATGAAATGCCAAATACAAATGTCTCAAAACCATTCACAATTATTACCCCTGTTCATTAAGCCATTAACCTCTTCCTGCAGAAACTCCAGGTCAGCGCAATTTGGTCTGTACTGTGACAGGTACCAAATTTATACTTCTGGTTAAGGAGGTTATTGTTGTAAAGTGTCTTGCCCAAGAACACAATCACCATGACCTCCTTCACGGCTCTAAATGTCCTAGTGTTACATATTGGATTGGACATTGAATAAAGCATTGGGGCAATTCCACAGTTACTCACGGTACATTTTCGTAATGTGAGTAAACGATTTTGTGCGTCTTGTTTATCATACATAACACATTTTTCTGGATGTCATCTTTGGTGCTTAGGTAGGTCTAGGTCTACTCTATCTACCATGGGGATAACAGTTATTAAACCTTTTTAGTGAGGTAATTACAGCCCAAGGAAACTCAAAAGTACATCAAAAATGTAACGTGAATAACCGTGGAATTGCCACTTGGACCTTAGTCTCAACAAACACAAGTATCATTTCTTATAGGATTTATGCTGATGAAATGGATTTCACCAAAATTTGGCAGATATTTTCTACTAACATAACTTGTCTTTTGTAGCCATGCAAGCCCCTCTCATCCCAGCCCCATCTGCACCCCAGGTCACCAACAACGCCCAACGCTTCTTCCGCGTGGCGTTCGCCCGTCCCTCTCAGAACCCAGGGGTACGCGAGCGCAGTGTCTGGTACGCTCACTTCGACGGTCAGTGGATCGCTAGACAGATGGAGGTTCATGCCGACAAGCCGACCATTTTGTTGATAGCGGGTAAGCACACAAATAGCATCTCTTTTACATTTATAATTTTTATTTTTTAACCCTAACATACCTGAATCCATCAAAATCCACACCCCTGTTTTGGGGGATTTCGGCGGATTCAGGATACCTCCATCTTGCACAAACTGGGGGACTTTGATGGATTCAGGATTGTAAGCCTAGCGGAACTGCAGGATTTTGATGGATTCAGGATACCTCCATATTGAGCTGTTGGGAGACTTTGATGGATTCAGGACAGTAAGCCTATCGGTACTGCAGGATTTTGATGGATTCAGGACAGTAAGCCTATCGGTACTGCAGGATTTTGATGTATTCAGGATACCTCCATATTGAGCTGTTGGGGGACTTTGATGGATTCAGGATCTCAACAGATTTACTCCCGCCTAACTGATGGATTGTGATGGACTCACTGGCCACCAACATTTTTTGGCATGGCAAAATTGATGGATTTTGGTGGATTCAGGATACTTTCTAGTAAAACCGACCAAGTGGTTAGGGTTAATATGTACAACTTAAAACACCATTCCCAGGGCTATTTTTGAGTTTCACCTCAATAAAATTGGTTTGCTTTTCAATTTATATATTATTCCCAATACAGGGTGTGCCAAGAAACAAATTAAAACTGTTGAATGTTTTTTCCTTCAATGAAATTATATATTACATCAAAGCCAGACTATTTCTCAATCCATTCTTTTTTACCCCATTCCATTCGGGTCCCTAGATCCAGAAATACAATCGATTAGTGAAAGGGTTTACATTTTACTTGGGCCACTCTCTCACCAGTGATGTCACCAACTTCAATGCCTATTCAATGCTAACCCAGATTTAAAATTACCCTTGAAGGCCTGCTGAAGTCCTACTTTTATCCTGATTATGTCTTCCAAGGCCCTGCTTTTGTTTCGTTTTTTTTTTTTTTTTTTTTTTTTTTTTCGTTTTTATTCTTCTGTTCTACCACTTTTCACCTGGGTCTGCTTGAAAGAAAACTCTCGCAGGGCGGGTTCATTTTTGTGGGCGAAATGTAAAGCCCTTTTTCAGAGGGTTGCAGACGCCAAAAAATTGGGAAAGCCGTTTTTCGTAAAAACTAAATATACAAATTGAAACACCGTTAGGAGAACAACAACAAAAAAATCAGTTTTGAGAGCATGGGTGATGCAACTTTAACCCTAACCAACAACAAGCCAATTTCAAATTTCATGATTCAAACATTGAAAATTAAGAAAGAAAGCTAAAAAATTGAGTACAGAACAGTACAGTCGGAAGGAAAAGAAAAGAAAATCACGACAAGGTAAACCTAGTAAAGCTAGTTCCAGAGTGCGCAGAGTTTTTTTCTTTTGATTTACGCAATGGGCCGGATTTAGCCCATTCATTGGTGTCACAGGGTGATCCTATACAATAGCACTGCCCAGCTCACAAGTGACAATCAGTGAATCAATCAGTCAGTGAGACAAACGCAACGAGCACACTAGGCTGGCCCTCTGGGACCAGCAAAAACTTTAAAAAAAAACAGAACTTTGAAGGAAGTCATTGTTAAGTGAACATATTTGGCCTTTGTTTAGAAGTACTCAAAAGGAAGAAAATTATTCAACATTTCTCGTCAATTTAACAAGTCCACTCAGTTTGATAGAATCCTTGAATACGTAAACAGGGGAAGTCAGTGTCTTTTTCTGACTTTACTTCCCTTTTTCTCAAAATAGGTTTTTTGAAAATGTAATTGAGGAAGTCAAAGTTGTTAAGAACATCACTTCCCTTTGTCTAAAAATGCACTGGTTTTTTAATGCCCCAAAAATGGTCATTTTTGTATTGATAGTCAACCACTTCCGTGAGTTTTGATATGTCGTGATGTCTGATTGGACAAAAATATTACACCCTGGATATGATGAGAGGGGCAGAGACAAGGAAGCAGACGATTGAAAAAAAAACAATTTGGTATTCAGAATTTGTTTCTTCTTCAAGAGCTTCAAAACCCCATGTCTAATCACAGTGGATAGTACATCTTGAGTGGGGCCATGCATTAAGGACAGTGGAGCTGCAACCAATCACTTTACCTGCAGTGTCAGGTGGATTCTGTCCTCAGTGATGTACGAGCCTTCAACCTGCCAAGCTTGATGTGAAACCACCGTTGTTCTTTGTTCCACTGAACTTGTTTTCCTGTGCATCTGACCTCATCAGAATTGTGTGAGGACATACCATTTCCACACGCAATCAGCAGCAGAATGATGTCAGCCAGCATGATGTCTCCAGTTGGTTTAGTCCTTGTGATGCTTCTGTATACAGCTGAGGGAGATTTCACAAGCGATCCAAGAAGTCAGACAGTATATGAGGGGGACAATGTCAGATTAACTTGCGAATCTCTATATATGACTGAATGTCGTAATCAAAGGTTCTATTGGTATAGATCTACCACTAGTCACCCATCACAACAATATGTTTCTGGTTGTTACCAGGTCAATCATATTTTAATGAATCATATGACTGTTGAGTTTGACAGAGAAACCAGGATGTTTCACCTTGACATCCAAAATGTGCAGCTTCAAGATGGCGGACAATACTGGTGTCAATTATTCTTTGCTCAGAACAGCTACCCAAATAGAATCTCTTCAAAAGCCAGACTGACAGTAATCAAACGACCACCTTCTTGCATGGTAACCAGTCCGTCAAACACCAGAGTGGGTGACAATGTTTCATTTACATGTACCTTGGAAGAAACTGACCCATCAGCTGATATAACTTGGTACATTAATTCATCAAGTGGTCATCGTCCACTCACTTCTATCCATGAGGTCCGAGAAGGTCGCGTTTCAAGAGTAAATCGAATACTGCAAGGAACTGACAACATGAAGGAGTTTGTCTGCGTGGCTGGTTCAGATTTTAACACTGGCCCAAGATGCTCAGTTACACCTCTGCAGATACCAACGAACGTTTCCATCTCACCAACTTTTCAGTCTGTATATGAGGGAGACAGTGCAGTGTTCACGTGTAATGTAGAAGCGATACCCCGTCTGACGGGCGAAGAGTACATATGGCGAATATATCAAACTGATGGATCAGAGGTGAGAGTTCAAGAAGCTACACTGACTAGTTTTGATGGCCGATATAACATGATGGGGAATACTCTGCAGATCCTTACAGTGTCTGCTGACTTTCATAACTCTTATGTAGCTTGTAGAGCCGTTTCTCCTCAAGGTTCTTCCAACAGCATCGACAGATCTCTCCTTACAGTTCTCAGTGTTACAACTGTGCTGTCCGCTACATCATCTGCAGCCACGGCAACAGTGCAGGAGACCAAGGATCCAAGTGTCCTCCAAACGGAAGAAACTCACTTTGGGGTGAAAACTCCCGACCACTATTCCACCAGTGTCAGGACCTCAATTGCTAACGAATCCAAAGAGGATGATGATACATCTCAGATGTTAACAATTGGAGTGCTAATCGGGGGAGTGTTAGCACTTCCTCTACTTCTGGTTGTCATCGTCCTTCTTGCCAGCTTCTTGCTCAGATAAAAGAGGAAAGTCAGGAGACTTTGTCAGACACAGGCAGGGAATCCTGTTCAGATATCGGCCATTGGTTCATCAGAAGGGACGGACTTGACATACCAGAGCCTTCAAAAAGACGTCGGAAATCAGGGAGCAACTGAACTAACGTACATGGATTTGAACCTTCAACAAGGCGAGCGAAACCAAGTCAGACCACAGGCGGAGTCTGAAGTAAGGTACAAAAACATCCCAAGAAATGACCCAAGTTATCCAGACTCGTCAGCAGGTAGAGAAAGACCAGAGGACATCGCAGAAAATGAGACAGGCCTATATGAGAACATTTCTGAGTAGATTAGATGCGGAGAGGAAGACTTTGATCCATGAAGTCTCACCCCATGAAGTCTCACCCCAAACGTACTCATTTAATACCGGCCAAGCACATATTTATTCCCAATCATTAATACCTTTCAGTCAAAAAAGTCAAAACACGTCACAAATTCATCATTTCCACCGATTCCGTTCAACAAATGTACCTCCCGTTTTGTGAGACAAAGGCGGGTCTTTTAAAAAAAAAGCTGTTTACTAATTTGACTGTTTAAACAAACAAATAAGCAATGGATAAGCGAAAGACCTCATACATTAAGGCCGAGTCAGACGGCAATGATTTTGTATTGCTGGGATAGACATAAGTAAACCTTTCATGCATTTATTGTAAATAACTTTAACTAAACGGGGGCTAGAACACCCTCTGATATACCTGCAATGCATAGGTCTGTACACAGAATGACATTTATTTTCAAAGTGTCTTATGCAGAACTTGTAATTAATGGGAAAAATGTAATGAAATGTTGTTCATAAAATATCTTTCTAATAAAATGTAGCATTAAGGAAAGAAAGTAGTAATAAATTCTTGAAAAGACTTTCAATGGTGTCTCACTGGATATGTTATCACATTGCCATAAAATTAAAATAGAGTGAACAAAACGACAAGTACAGGATTCTATGAGACTGGCTTCAAACATAAAGATTTGTGACAAATCAATGTGAGCTCTTTTCGACACGGAGTTAGAATTTCAAACGTTTTATGTTTGGAGGAGGTCAAAGTTAGGTGTGCACATTTGGTGTTTGTTTTAGAAGTATTAAACAGAGGAAGAAAACTAGTCAGTGTACAATTAAAGTGATCAGTGGAAGAAAATGGGTGGGTTTTTTTCAGCTCAGTTGAATCAGTCTGATCGGTTTAATAGAATCTATGAAATTTTAAAAGTTTTGTTTGACGTTGCTTTCCTTTGTCTCAAAATTAATTTTTTTGTTGAAGATTTGAAAGGAAGTCAAAGATGTTAATGACGTCACTTCCCTCTGTCTGAAAATACACTTCTTTTTAATGCCAAAAATAGCGTTTTGTAAAAAAATTTGACCACTTCCTTGATGGTGGATATGCTGTGATGTCTGATTGGATGGATGAAACTTGGCCTCCATAAATTCAAAAGGTGGGTGGGTGGGTTGGGGGAAGCTGGTACCATCTTCAAAAAAGGGGGCGCTCTTCAAAACTGGCCATTATGCAAGCTACGC